GGAATCATTTTGTTCTTGCGAGATGCAATATTCTTTAAAGTGATCTTTGATAAATTATAACTTATATGTTGAATTTGGTGCTATATTATTAGCGTTCAAGAAAAGCCTTTGTCACCGAAATGCTGACAAGTCAAGTGATTTGTCAAAATATATCCTGAAGAGAATGACAAAGATCAGTCCATTAATGTGTTTTCACATCTTCACTCAATCTTAACAAATTTTGTTGACAGCGTTCATGAGGTTTATATCTTGACCTCATCAGGTAGTGGTGGGGCATAGCCCTAATATTCTAAAGGATTAAAGCATGAAACTTCGCATGGTGGTTCTTCATGCACCTTTGAGAGGTCAATGAACTTTACACACTGTATTTATAACTTTTGTTCTTCAAACCTTCACTTTCCTATGACCCAAGTCTATGACATAGGTCTTCATACAACATGTACAATGGAAATAATGATCAGATGTTGGAACAATTCACATCTGACCAATTCATGCTATTAAGAGAATTGTCATATACATGTATAGAACATGATATATTCAACTCCTGGTGACCTTACGAGAGTCATGACCTGTGTAAAACAATAGCCTACCTATGGATATTAATACGATTAACACGATTGTAAATGTCACTTTTTCATGACCCAACTCTAAAATTTCACTTTCTGTGCAATGAAAAGAATTTTCAGATGTGGGGATATCATATTTGACATAGTGATACCCTCGAAGAGGTCAATGAACTTTGTATGCCTTATTGCCGTTATTTATCATATTATTCATCAAAACGCCATTTTTTTCATGACCCAAGCCTCAATAGTGCCAAAGAATGGTACTGCACCAATCAGTTTCATGTCGTGATGAATTCAGACCCCACAAACAATTTTGAGGTGACCTCTGACCTCGTTTCTCCTTGTTTTATTGGCAGACGCAATATGGTGAGATTGGAACTTACATTTGTCAGTCTGTTTTGTAATGGAAAATGTACATGTGTCAAGGAACATTCACTCTTGTGTATTTATTACACCCTGCTGTATCCAGATGGACTTGGATAACCACGTTTTTAACCTTTTAACCAAGTCCAATGGTCACTGTTAGAGAGTGATGCTTGTCCGATGTGCCTCTTTTATTCTGTTGCACCTGCGTTTGCCCTTATAAAAAGGAAAATTTAGATCAGAGGTCATGCAAAAAATTCTTTGGGGTTAGACTTCATGAAATGTTGTAGAATTATTATTTAAAAAACACTTTTTTGGCTCTAAATAGACTTTGGTCATGAAAAAGTGCCATTTGCAAGATTAAACATGATAAATAATGGCAATCAGAGTACACAAAGTTCACTGACCTCGTAAAGGTCATCAGAGGTCAATTATGAAATGTCTACATATCTGAAAATTAATATTATGGCAAGAATACCCAAAATTTCGATATGGATAATAAAAAGTGGTGTTTTGAATAGTTTATCCTCTTATTATCTTTAAATAGGATGCACAGAGTTTATTGACCCCTTGAAGGTCAACAGAGGTCAGACATAAGATTCCCTGCATATGAAATTCTTTCATAACATGAGCAACTTAACATTATGACTTTGGTCTTGAAAACGTTGGGCCTTAAAGGGGTAAATGGTATAAATAACTAGAGTTAGTGCAGTTAATACAAAGGTCGTTGACCTCTGGAAGGTCATCAGAGGTCAATTGTGATTTTTTTTTCTGTATTTGGTTTTATCTACATTGTATGAATTAGACTATACATAGACTTATAGGAAAGTGATTTTTGAGAACAATAGGTATAAATAAAGTATTCAAAGGTTATTGACTCCTTAAAGGTCACCAATGTTCAGATATGAAATGCCTCAATATCTGAATTTTTTGGCATGGTATGAAGACCTCACATGCCAAGTTTCACGCTTTTATCACAAATTGCACAATTCTGTCTCTATTGTTCATTCCGCACCTTAAATAAGAGGCTTTTAATAGTAAAATAGAAATAGAAATTTTGAGTATTACAACCACTTGAGATGTAGCCATACTACATGTACAAGTATTTTGTAAGATAATATCGTTTAAATTCATTTTAAGCATAAGCATCACCATGATAGTAAGTACTCATATTACTCCTCAATATCAGCCTTTATTTACTCAGTTTTTGTACTACTTTTTGTAGTTTCTGTTCACACGTTTGGATCTACAATACATTTATACTGAAGATAAATTACTCATTCAAAGGTTTGCGAGAGATGAGTGACAATGCTCATTCTTTTGATTTAATTTCCTGTCTGAATTCACAGAAAGAAGACTGGTGGTGACTGTGTTTATAAGAATGCTTTTATCTTGATTTGAAATTTGGTACTTATTTTTTTCTCGGACTGTCAAATATCCCATCAGTTTGTAAATCATTTTAAGCACAATGTACAAATCAGTGTACAAGCTATGGCCTCCGTTGCCTTGATTTTGGCCTGACCGCCACCTTGAACAATTGAATGGTCCCACAAATTGGAATTTCTTAATGCAAGCTTGTTTCTAATTAGCAAACAAAAAAAGATTTCCTTGCCGTTTCACGAATTGAATTCCATACTGATGTTTTAATTGGTTTACGTTTTTGGTTGCAATTTCAGTAAACTTGGAAACAACGAAAAATCCTCACTTCAGTTTTAAGTGCCAACCAAAACAATATCATTTGTGTGCATAGTCAATCTTATCAGTTACAATACAGTTTAAATTTAATTTTTAAGTGTTTAACAATGCACCACTGTATGTAGATCTTATAAGTAACAAGACTTGGTAAACTCCCTTAGATTCTTACTGTGCTATATGTACATTACATTTTCTAGTAATGGATAATTTTAATTATTTGTTCACTTCACTTTTTGCAGCCACGTCGGATCATTTGCAATTACCCAGATAAGTACATGTACCTACAGATTTAATGACAATACCCTCAAAGTGAAGATAGGACTGGTAGCCTGTGAAAAAAACCTTGTGAAATAATTCTGCCTGAAACGGTATTGTCAGAAAAAAATCATTGAGGTTGGTTTCAACATGGGTGCCTACAGAATCCAGTTTACGAGATCCAAAGAATTCTGCATTACGCTTTCTCTGTTTTTTCCAAAATGTATAGTAGACACTCAGCTAAGGCTTGAACAGAATAATAAAGTAATACTTTAAATGTTGAACACTTTTGATGCTTAAAAAAAACCTGCCAAAGGCAAATGATCCTATGTACAATATACCGTTAAGCAAATGTATCACTATGAAAGTTGATAAAGATTTCTTTCAAAATGAGTCTTTTAATATCCACTGAAAAAGAGGAGGATTTTGGTAGTTTTTGCATTTACAAGCCTTGTCCATTTGCATTTACATCAATGAAACACTAATGTTGATAATAATTTAATCATCAAAATGTCTGCTAAAGATGAACAAAAATACTTATCTAAGGCCAAAAAAAAAAAAATATTCGGTCTCTGGTCAGACCAAAGTTCCGAAATGGACACGGGGACGCGGCTTTTTTTTTTCTTCAAGCTTGGATTGTACAGACAAGGTGGGGTACTATTTTGCTTTTTTTTGGTGTCCTCATGTACATTGGTGTCCTCCGTAATTTGCCTTGGTGCAATTCCCCATTCCTTGGTGCTCTTTGTTAAAAAAATTGAAGAGGTGCGGCAATAGAGGGCGCTGTTGGAGCTACCGCGGAACATTTTGGAAAAAAAACACATTGACGCGCATGATTAAAATCGACGCGCGCGCTGACCAGAGACCAACATATTTTTTTTTGGCCTAATTTGCCTATCTGCCTGAATTCACAGAATAAAGACTGATGTGAACTATACTCACAATTGGATTGTCTTGACGAAATGTTTTATTTTTTTTAATGGTAAACACATTCTCGGTTGCAAATTATTGTAACACATGTTCAAGTCAATTGCTCTATTGAATTTCAGGAAGCTGTGGCCTCCGTGGCCTTCACTTTGGCCCGACTACCTCCTGAAGATTCTCTTGCCTTTTCGAGAATTAAATTCCATACCTCTATTTTCATTGTTTTACCTATTTGGTTGCCATATCAAAAACTTCTTTTCTTCATCTAAAAATTAAAAACAAAAATCATGCCTTAAAATAACTATACTGTTATTCCACTTGGAAACCTCAATCCCCAAAGAAACCCACAAAGTGAAGTCTCCTGAATCCAACAGAATCCCACAACTCCGATACATACAACAAAAACTGCTACTGTGGAATCGGGTTGAAACTATCACACGTGGTTAACTGTCAATGGCTGTGTTATGAACTATTTTCTACAAATTTGGGCAATTACATATTCATCAACTTTTTGGGGTAACCTTTGATTGACACATAAATATGCTGACAATTTTATTAGTGGATTCCAGCCGGACAAGTAAACTCCAGATTTCTTGGACCAGTCTTCATAGCCGCATGAAAAGGTCAATGGTTACACCTTTTCTTCAGACCCCCCCAAACAATTAAAATGCCACTGCGCCCTTTACTATGACTCTCGATCCCTCCATTAAATATTGAGTATCTGTAATTGTGCCGACACCTGTTATGATTACTTAAAAACTGAATATGATTAAAAAATAGTGCCGCCTTGTGCATTTTTTTCATAGAAAATTATCTTCTTGAAGTTGGCTTTTAGGGGTTGGCTGTTAAAATATGTATGTTCCTACAACTTTGGCTGTAACTTGGAATTTGCCAGCTAGAACCCTGACCCTGCAATACAGTCCGTGTTCTTAATCTTCACTTGATGACTATTATGCAACTTCAAATTTCACACAGTACATCAGGAATACATTTAAATTGGACTTGCATGTATTGCAGTACATATTAAAAGTATAGAGAAATATATAACAGACTTTAAGACCATCTCCAAATGGATACGGCTAGCAAAACACATGCGTCTATGAAAGCAGCTGAATCCGCATCCCATAGACACATGTGTTATGGTACAAGCTACTACCAATAATATTGAAGACATGAAGCTCTAATTGAGACAGGACCCACCTTTGAGTTCATGCCATGAACTTGCGTGGTGGCTACAGGGTTCCAGACTGTTCATTCCATGAGCTGTCATCCTTCCCCATCTCCAATGGCCATGTTGACTCGCTGTCACTTGTGAGCTGGGCAGTGCTGATGTATAGGATTACCCTGTAACGTACATCAATGGGTAAAATCAATTAAATAGGACTGTGTGTACTCTGGAACCAACTTTAACTGCCTTGTGATGTTGTAACCTGTTTTTAAGTCCTGAATTCATGCTGATTGAGTGTAGTAGAGGTGGTGAGCAGGTGAGATGCTTACTTGTTCCTTTGGAAGCCATCCTCTCTGGACACTGTCTTGATGGGGAAGTTAGGCATCCTGTTAGCGGCTGTGCCTGGTATGTCCTCTAATAAGTTGCTACTTGGGATCCAGTCACTGCTACTCCCTGGGGGAAAAATTCAGAAGACAAAGTTGTTTTTTTTTAGGAAAACATTCTCTTAACTGATACTGCTAATTTGAACATCCTGCATGTCCACTGAGTTTAGAAATCACAGTCGTCTATTTTCAAGTTAAATTTCATGGCTTGAACTTTTAGCTGAGTTCTTCAATTAGAATCTTTAAGCTCCACGCCGAAAAAATACTTCACACCCCCTTTATCTTGATGCTCCAGATATTATTAATTTCCTTGCATCTAATGAAAGTGTGTGGCAAATGAAAACTGAGCTTACCTGGTGTATAAGCCCAGATGCTACTCCCTGGTGAACCAACAGGGTAGCCCAGATCATTGACAGGTACAACATCAAAGCTGACAAGTGTCTTGCGTTGCCCTTGACTATGCTCATTGCTAACTGGAATTGGTATGCGGCGATCTGTTCAGTTGCCATGGTGACCAAACTAGGTGCGGTGGTAGGTGCATGAAGCATCAAGCTCAATGAAATATGGGTGAGCTGTGCAAATTAAATGAAATTGAAATTATAAAAAAAACTCACAATATGACATTATAATGATTATAACTGTTTTTCATTATTTGGTAAGCTTTTGTAATTTTGGGGGCATTGTGTAGCTGTGAATACAACTACATGTATATAATAGGAGAGGGTTTGCAGATACACCAAGTAAAATGACTGTCTAAAAATACTATTTAATAATTGATTAAACTAATATTGCGCTCTCTCCACAAATACTGCATCAGACAGTTACTCCCTTTCCCTGTATCCTATCACCAACATTTGCTGAAATGCTCCAATTTTTCAATTATTTGTAATTATAATATTTTTTTACAGCTGAGATACAGACGGGACTCGGAAGTTCCGTCATTTCGAGTGCGACATTTTGACATTTGAGTACTCGTACGAGTGCAAGTACCAGTATGAGTACTCTAAAAAAAAAAAAAGAACTCGAGTTCAAGTAGTACTTGAGTACCAGTACCGAGTACGAGTACTACATATACTACACTGGAACAAAGAGTATATACACAACTGTACATATTATTACACCAAATATGAAAAGACCAATTAGATTCCTCATCTGGCTCATTTTTATGATTCTAATCCTAAATGAAACTATAAATGTTTTACCTGCAACCTTTTTGAATGTCTTTTATAGGTTTTAACGCAATTTCAATGCCCCCTTTTTAAAGTAAGATAAATTGATTGCAACACAGTCTGTAACAATAATATGTATTTCTCTATATAGACAATTTTCTTTAGTCAGATCTGTATGCACAATGTTTAAACCTTTTCTAATATTAGTATTTAATGTCGTATTTTGTTTTTTAACTCGGTAGGCCTTTAACTTTTTAAAAAATGTATTTTTTTAAAATGTAAATCACGTGCAATTCAGCTGTGGCTGCCATTTCGGATTTGTTAATAAACCATGTTGAATTGAATTGAATTGAATAGATAATTAGTTAAAACAAAATGTAAGAGTCAGTTCATATAAATACTTCATATCAGTGTCCACGGTAAAACAAAACGAACTCTTAAAAAAGCAAAGGAAATCTGAATTTGGTGGCACTTGTCTGAAAGCAATTTACAAATTATTTGCGCTTGTAAAACTATGCTAGCTTTAGAAATTTTTTTGTTTCCTGAATTTTAACTTAAATCAAAGAAAAAACACAAAATAGTTTTCTCTATTATCATTTCTTGATTGATGCCGCAGAAAGAGCTACAAACAGTTGCCTGAAATTTTCTCATCAAATATTAAAAAGACAAATATTAAAGAAAAAATCATCACAGCCAACTGAACAGTACTCTGCGTTCCCAGCTGGCAAGTTGCTTTTTTTTGTTTAGAGGGGAAAGGTTTGTGGGGTGGTAAAATAGCATTAAATGCATGTTTTTTTCTAGTTGTGAAAACAAATGGATTTTAAAAAGTACATATAACATGAGGCTGTGTACCGTAGTGATACAGTTAACTGTGTGACGTTGTTTAGCATTTTGGCTGGGTGACCTTTAAAGAAAGCACATATATACATTTGTAACGAGCCCCAAAATTTGCCGAAAATTACAAAACATGTGACCTCTTACCATGGGAATGGGCCTTATACATATTTTAAACGACTATGTTTGGTCAATTTTTGATCATGGACCCTTGGCAACTCGTATTCAACAAGTGGCCAATTTTACGACTGAAAATTCTGAATGACGCTAGTTTGTGAGCTAGGTCAAAGGAATTATAGAAATTCAAACTTGTTCATTTGGGGATATTTTACAAACAGAACCATAAATGAGAACATTATGTCAAAGAATGGAAGGAAAAAGTAGGTACAGGTACATTATTACCTCATTTGATGAAACTAGTTTACAAGTTAAGAATGACATGTACAATGCACAGATGTATGGACACTGGTGGTTGCATGCCAGTTAAGAGGCCAAAAATCGCCTACACTGGCCAAATCAGGATAAGCACGCCCTCTTTTTTGGTGCTGTTAGAGCATTTTGTATTTCCCCTCAAGTTTAGAAGGGGGGGGTGTCTCTATCACTGGAGTCTATGGCAGTTTATTTACTGGTCTGCAACCTTACGGTGTACGTGTACATTTATGCAAGTATTTAAAATTAACTCAGGTCCGAGATACAAAAACTCAAGTGTAGAGTATGTCAGCAAACAAACAAAATAATGAACTTTACAAGTCTCTGGGAAAAGGCTCCCTCTAACGGTTACGACTATGCACACTCTAATCTAAGTTGAAAACATTTGACATTGTCTTTCATTGACTTGACTCCTAAATTCCTTCAAGGGTAACCAATGTCACACCTGGGAATAAACAGGAATCTAACCAGGGGCCATCAGAAATGAAGACACACAGAAGGATCTGACAAAGACTCCTCAATTCCTTCCAGGATAACTTAGGTCACACCTTGAAATAAACAGGAATCGAACCAGGGGTCAACAGAAAAGAAAACAAGAAGAAGGATCTGAATAAAAGATTCACATGCTTCATACCAGACAGCCCCACCATGCAGTACACCATTGCACTTCCCACGGTAGCACGTTAGTATTAAGCCTATATGTTGACAAGTTTAAAACTGAGAAGATTTTTTTTTTGGTCAAAATTAAACTTCAAATTGATTGAACATTTCTCATCAGTATAACACAGGAGAAACAAAAACTGCAATAAGTGTGTGGAGTATAAAAAGAAATTTGAGGGACATATTTTGCTGGGGTGTATATGCAATTGAAATTTAGCCAAGTACATAATGTACATGTAGATAGAATACACGAAACTATCTAGGGTCCAAAACTCAAGTGTAAAGTAAATATGTACCTACGTAGATAAACAGATATATATAGACTGTGCATGTGTGACGTACATGTACATGTATGGAGCAAAACAAAAATCCCAAGCTCTATATATAAACCATGTCACATGGCTTGATGACGATGCTGTGTTTGTCCAGCGCCATCTTTACCAGATCTGCCTTATCAAAAAACTCAACTGTGCTCTTACAGGGGAGAAAAAATACTTCAGTTTCAAAAAAGAACCTTCTATAAGTGATTTGCCTTGCATTATAAAGAGGTAAGAAAATATTGTCAGTTATTTTGAACGAGGTTAAAGGCTAGCTGTGTACTGTGAAATCACAGTGACGTAAAGTGAGTTCCAACAACGCCTTCATGTATGCAGTAATAAGAGCAGGGAGAATCTACGGTGATCTAAAATAGACTTTGTCCATTTCAATATTTGAAATCAGTTCACAAGATCATTAAAGATGTACTCTCAGTGCTCTCCAAAACTTGAACAGGAATTCCAAAAGGAATTAACAGGGTCATTTAACAATAAAAAAGTGGATATCTTTTGTCTGGCTACAAAATTGCAATTGAAAAGAACATATTCATACATATTCACTTTTTCCAAGAAAGAACTCAAAACACCTTTTAGTCAAGTTTTTGTTTTCATCATTTTTAGTAACCATGCCTTTTTCTTCTTAAATACTATTTGAATACAGATACAAATGGCCACGGCTCTTGAGAAGATAAGCAACCATCTTGAGTGTGACATTTGCAAAGAAAAATATAAACGGCCCAAGGTGCTGGACTGCCAGCACAGTTTTTGCGAGAAATGTCTGGAGCAATACTACAAAACTACGTATGGAGGTCAACGAAAGATTCCTTGCCCGGTATGTCGACGGGAGATGGTACTTCCGGAGACACGCATTCAAGGCCTGAAAACAAACTTCCATTTGATGGGAATAGTCGAGGAGGTCTCATTCCAAGAAAATGAGCTTTGTTCAGTGGTCAAAACACCAGAAGAAGCAGCTACTTTGGAGGACATTCGTCAGGGGAAGGTAACAGGGAAGCAAACACCAGAAGAAGATGAGTCTAAATGCCAGAAACACATGGGGGAAGTAAAATGGTTTTATTGTGAGACCTGTGAAGAACTAATCTGCCGAGCTTGTACTGTAGTAGACCACTGCAAACCAAACCATCACTACATTGACTCTAAAAAGGCTTCCCACAAATACAAAATATCACTGAAAGCTTTGTTTGCAGATGTCAGAACAGACATCACAACACTTGAACAGGATTTTGCCACTGCATCACAAGCTCAGCAGAAATTTACACTGAACGTCACAAAGACGGTGAAAGCTGTGAAAGACAAGGCGGATAAAATGAGGGCTGAGATAACATCTCAACAGACAAAGATGATTAACAAAATCAAACAGCTCCAGCAGGATCGCAACAGAACATATCATGAGCATCAGAACACACTGTCAATGATGCTACAAAGTAAAACATGCTCGCTACAGACATCTCAGGATATCACTAACGCTGCATCTGACAGTGACTTTTTGTCGCAATACCCTATCATCAGCAAAGACTTGAAATCACTCAAGAGTCAAAATCCTCCCCAGATTGATCCCAAGCATTCATATCTGAGCTTCACCCCCGGTCAGAGAATTGGTGACATCAATCTGGGTGAAATTAAGGAAGAAGCAGTTAAGTGGGAAATGTGTCGCGAGTTTGGTAAAACGGGTACATTTAAGAGAAAGTTGGATGTGGTTCACGGTATCGCTGCTACTCAGCCTGGTGAAATTGCCGTGGGAGACTTTCTGCACAAGCGAGTGGTTCTCTGCAGCAATGAGGGTGAACGTAAGGGACTCATTCCCCTAACATCACGTAAGTTTCTTTCATGCTCATATTCATCAACACCAAATTTCCAGAGTTGTAACGAGTAACTGATGTTTGTGAGTAGAGTCAAGTTGAGTCATTTTAAAGAAGTGACTCAAGTCGAGTCAAGTCATTAGGTCAAGCAGGTCGAGTCGAGTGGAGTCGAGTCACAGTGTGTAGTGGAGTGGAGTGGAGTCCAGTCAAGTATTTAGCTCGAGTCAATTCGAGTCACAAATATTTGAGCACTAAACAATAAAAAAAACACAAAAGAGAAAGTCATTTTTTGGCTTTTCAAATATTGCATTTGGGCTACTACATGTGGCGACACCACATTTGACTCTTAATGTAAATAAAAAGGGGGTGCCAGCTGATCGTCATTCAACTAGTGGGGAACCTGATCAAACCACGTATGTATACTGTACGTATACAATATTCACGACCATTTAACGTGACGTGAACAAAAACCGGCACCGACGTTAAGTCATTGTAAATATTTTTCGCAAATTTTTGATTTTATTTTTGGGACTCGAGTCTTATTAGCCTTCTTCGAGTCGAGTAGAGTCATTCTGATGAGGGACTCGAGTTGAGTCGAGCCATTTGCTTGCAGTGACACGAGTCGAGTCATTTGCCCTTAGGGACTTGATTCGAGTCGAGTCACCAAGAATTGTGACTCAGTCAATGACTCGAGTCGTTACAACTCTGCAAATTTTATAATCTTGTGGTACACGTAATTACAAGTCAGTCTCCCATGCGCATATGCAGATCTGACAACTGAAAATGAAAACCAATAAAATACTAGCAAAGAATCGATATGTGCTGGCTGTTTTTATTTCCTGACAAATGTTCATTTTTTTTACATGTACGCCTACATGTATGTTAATGTGACGAGACAGGGAGCAAGTCTGGTTCATTGAATGAGAGGTCTAGACATGACCAAATTGTTTTGTCTATCCTAATCATAAAGTAACGGGTAGCCCACAATGTGCTCTAGGGGCTTATGTTATTTCAGTGTTTTCAGAGTAGAGACTGTGTAGACTGAGAGCAAGTCTACGCGGTTGTGATTAAATCTGTAGTGCGTATGCTGTCGCAGGGCAGGGCTTTTACCCATGCCTTCTATTTGTGGCCACGGTTTAAGAAGCTGTGCGCAGGGCGGAAAAATTAGCTTGTTTGTATTTGTATTTTTTTTAGGAAGTTCAAAGTCATTCCAGTGCGAATTTGGTCGGTTGTGCCGAGGCCGGTGTGGGGCATGACCTCGCGTGTAAACAGTGGTGTTCTGGCTAGTGTGAGACTGTCGGTTAGATAATTATTTTATAGAGGTTCTTCAGTCATTCTATTTTATACGGGTTTTCAGTTGTGTCAGATTTGTGAATGAACCAGCTATAATCTTTCAGAATCAAAGAAGATTGTGGTCGCTAAGAGTTTATTTCACAGGAATTCAAAGTACAGACTATCAGTAACCAGTCGGAAGTTTATTTCCTCCAATTTTGAGACTAAGGCCTTTAGATTGCTCAAGTACTTTCCATTAATGATGTGCAAACCCCATCTGAACTGAAACCGACCTGACCTGAAACCGACTTCAGGTCGGGTCGGGTTGTCCATCTTTTCAGTCGGGTCGGGTGGTTTTTTTGGTTTTGCATTTTCATTTTCGGGTTGGGTTGGGTCAGTTCAGCCATCTTTAAAAAAAACCCCGAAATAAACCAAAATAACCGAAACAGTTGAGAAATTTAGGTGATGCAATTTTTTTGACAGTCACTGTGACCGCAGCCCTAGTGTGGTGTGGCCACTGAGCGCACTTTCAAGTTTCCATGGTATTAATTTTTCCAGTCGGATGGGACTGACAGTGAAATAGATACATGTACATTGTAAAAGTTTTCATGATACCACGTTATGATACCATGCGTTTGTTCAATAAGCGGAGCTACTCTCGATCAACCCACTGAGTGTGATAGAGAGAGAGAGAGAGAGAGAGAGAGATGATGGTTTTGCAAAAAAATTCATGTCACCTGGGTAAGGGTAGGCACAAAAAAGTGATCACTTTGTCCAAGTGAGGTATTTTTTTTTTTTTTTTTTTTTTTTGGTCGGGTCGGTATTACCTTATTTGTGTCGGGTTGGGTCGATTTTGGTTTGAGGGAGTTAAGATTGGTTTCAGTTTGAATTCGGTTTATATCTCTAATGTTTCGGGTCAACCCGACACAATGCACATCATTAATTTCCATGGCTCCAGGCTTGAAATCGACTCCCAGGAAAAATTTGCCACAAATGGTTTCAGACGTGGTATGATTGGTACTGATTAGGTGAGAGTTGCTCGGAGAGAAAACTTATAATCAGAGTAAAGCAGAGTTAAATAAAGAGTGAGTGAACAGTACAGAGAAGATGAGTAAAGAGACATTTTTGCAAAGGGACAAAGACCTCAAGGCTAGGAAAATTAGAGATGAAAAGTGCACAATCGATCAGATATCAGCTTGAGGTTGCCAGTAGAGAGTTCAGGTTATCTTTCCACAGGGGAGGCAAGTCCCTTGGCGATTACAAAGTCGCCTGGACCTGCCGTCATTCCGGAAAGACAGTACACTTTGGGGAAAGTAACCACTGCAGAGAACCATTTCGGGCATTCCCCAAACGAATAAGTAAAAGAATGCAGTGCAAAAAAGTCCAGTCTTTTCGGTCGACTCCGAGCGGCATTGCAGATGAAAAGAGTGGTCAAGGAGACTATTTTTCCGAAAAGATCACATAGTGACCTTTTGGGTTTTGCAATCATCCAGTGTGCACAAAGGTGAAGAACCCGACACAGAGTACACAGGTACAGACCATGGCAGTGTCAGGACAGTGCACCAGTATCTTCTGTCCTGCATGGCAGTCCCCAGATCTGATGCTTCAAGCCCCGTGTTACGTTTCAGTGTGTCAATGTTTGTAGAGTCCATCCTACTCTATGGCTGTGAGGCATGGACCCTTACTACAAGGCAAGAGGCTCAACTTGATGGCTGCTACACTTGCAAGCTGAGGATGGCTCTAGATGTGAGTTGAAGAGACAAAGGCAGGAATGAGGTGCACTTTGGCAGCCTGCCAAGGATCTCTACAACTATCAGGCTTGCATGGTCACTGCGTTCGGCAGCCAGAGATAGCTGTAAGCCAACTCATCTTATGGGAACCCACTCATGGAGTAGTCTCTTGAGGTGGGCAGACGCTAACCTACATGGACCACCTGCGTCGTGATACTGGACTAGACTCCGCATCCGAGATCAGGACGGCCATGGGAGACCTTGATATGTGGCTTGCCTTTGATGCAGTCCAACGAGAATCAACTTGATGATTTTGTTTGTGGTGGGAGGTCTACCTTTGCTCTTGTGGCCGTGTTTCGGTGTCAAAACTATCAACTTGGCTACAGATTCATTCTTGCTCCTGTAGCAGTGAACAGCAAGGCGTGTTCTTCATTTGCAAATTCTGTCAATGAGTTTTGGAAGGTCTCCATACAGCTTATTGTTTGTGATGTGTTGTTTCCAGTGGATATTTAGAACCTTCCTGAGCATACCGGTGTAGCATCCACCAAGCTCTTTAGCGATGGCGGAGGTGACTGTCCAAGCTTCACAACCGTACATCAGCACAGATTCCACTGTTGCACAGAAGACCCGCAGCTTGATTTTCGTAGAGCTGACTTCCAGTTTTCATCCAGTCTGTTGAAAGCTCTCCAAGCTGCAGCTTCCTAACTTTGACATCTTTTCCAGTGCTGGTCACCCATGACCCCAGATATTGAAGTCTTCGTCTCGAATTTCCAGTGCTGGTCACCCATGACCCCAGATATTGAAGTCTTCGTCTCACTCAAGCTTTGTTCTGTTATTTGTCTTGATGGTGATTGGTTGCTCGTGGTTGTAGGTCATGAATTTCGTTTTTCTGGCATTCATTTTCAGACCAACTTCTCCCACAGATGTTTCAACCCTTTGAAGTAGCTCCTGAGAGAGAACCAAGAGTTGTCAAAGTGAGTGGGGAGGGTTTGGAGTGGTCCAAAAGACGACCATTTATTACCACAGATACATATAACTGCAAAGTGTTACGGAGAGAGTACTTCCTGCACTTTGAGTCCTGCAAAGTGGTGAATCAATGAGTGAGCAACAGGTTGCTAGCTATCTGCATGGGAGCGCCCTTAGATTGTTAGGGACATTCCTGCAGGACAGAGACAGGCGTATAGTGAGCCATTCAAGTTTGCTAGAGAGAAGATTTGGTTCAGGCAGGCAGCGGAAGAACTATTTTGTCAAGCTAAGGTACCACTGACAAGGACTTAAAGAAAGCCTACAAGAGTTGGGTCAAACTATACAAAAGCTGACTGCAAAAGCATATCCTGACATACAGGAAGAGTTACGTGACCATCTAGCACAAAATCATTTCCAAGACATAGTAGAGAGTCCGACAGTGAGAGAGGGCATCAAAAGAGCCCATCCGAAGAATCTATATGAAGCCATATTTAAGCTGCACTAGAAACAGAGCACTTCGAAAAGGTTAAACAACAGACAGCTCTTAATGGCAGGAGCAGTAGATACTGGTTAAGAGCAGAATAGTGCTGAGTGGGCTGAGAGATGCTGGGCTAAAGTTTAAGCCTAGCAAGTATCACCTTTTTGAGAAGTGGGTGGCCTACTTAGGCCATATAATTTCTTCAGATGTTGCCACAGACCCAAAGAGAGTCGAGGCCATCAGAGATTGGCCAGTGCCTACATGTAAGTGTGTCCAGGATGTAAGGAGCTTTGTAGGCCTTGCATCCTACTATAGAAAGTTCATCAAAGGGTTTACAGAGATAGCTAGTCTTCTGGGTGCCCTGACAGAGAAGTTGAGTTTCAGTAATGCAAATCAGCTTGTGTGGAAGACAAACTATTTTGTATATTTTGGGGGTCTGTAACATTCAGAAATACGTGGTCCTTCATAGCAATAGCAGGAATCCTTCAGGGACACTTTAGCTTCATTCCTCTTTGTGATTGTGGTGGACTACATCCTTAGGCAAAGTCTGGATTCCATCCACGACAAATTAAAGGTCTACCCATCAAGCAGAAGAAATCAAGACGTCATCAAAGCCTGCATCTCACTGATCTTGACTACACGGATGATCTGGCCCTCATGCACGGCTGATCAACTGTATGATGCTCAAGACCTGTTAACATTTCTCGAGAATGCTGCAGCCTAGGTCGGCCTGTTTTTCAATGCAAAGAAGACCGAGTACATCACCATCAATGAGTATGAGAGCCACTACCCCATATACACCAGTGACAACACCCAACTTAGAGAGGTCAGTGATTCCAGGTACCTTGGGTCCTATGTTGCCAACAGTAAGGACTTCTTCACTCGCAAAGGAAGAGCCTGGAGTGCCTGTAACAAGCTTCATGACATCTGGCAATCAAGTATAGCACAATCGACAAAGCTGGCCTTCTTCAGAGCCTGTGTGGAGAGCATTCTTCTCTATGGAGCCAAAACTTGGACAATGAAGGAGCTTCAAGATCACCTTGATGGCACATACACCTGGCTTCTTATGAGGGTGCAGAACATCTCATGGCGTGAGAACTGGAGATAAGAACGATTTACGGAGACATTCCACCTATCTCTGTTATTGTTGCTCAACCGAAAGTTCGCTTTGCTGGCCACTGCTACCATGCTGCAAACCAGGTTATATCTGATGTATTATGTTGGAGACTTCCATGCCCTAATAGAGGACGAAGACCCTTCAACTACATGTGATTGGCAGAGACACCCAATGTGAAATTGAAGACCTTCCGTACATAATGAGGGATAAAGACACCTGGCGTGGCATTGTGAACGAGATCTCGGGAGCACCCGCTAGATGATGATGATGATGATTATAAAACATTTATTATTAGTCGAACACTTCTAGGCTAAGGTCCTTGGGGCTTTACAAGTTACCTTGTTTGACAGGTACCTTGTGTTAAAACAGGTACCTTGCATTATCAGTAATGGAAAACAAAACAAAACAAAAAACCACCAAAGACTTGGGGTCAAACATTTTCCCTGTTAATAGCAGGATGTTGTATTGACAGTGCTCTTCGTTAACATCAGGATGCTGCTGTATTACTATCATTATTGGGCAACAGTTTTGACTTCCGGGCACAAAACCATTTGCGCTTTACTTCCGAGGTTAGCGAAGGTGCAATATGATAAATGAACAACTTGAAAACTGAAGCATTGCACAAAAGTAATAATTCTAATATTCAGAATATATTCAGTGTCTAAAAGTGAACTTAATAAAACTCATGATGGTGTAATTGTAAAAGAGGGCACCCTCTTTCTAGCAACATGTCAAAAAGTTGGGTTTTTTTTTCAATATTTAAAGAATATTTGTCAAAAATCTACCAAATTGCTTATAAATATTCTTTGCACAATGAAAAAAATCTTTCCAAAGTTTCATGAAGATGACCTCATCAAACTGAAAGGTATTGTCAGAAGACTTTGAAAATGATCCATTTTAAAATTAAAATCATCATTCGCTACCTGTTTAGTGATCATTGTTGCAAAATGACAATGTCAGCTTCATTGTCAATGATTAGGCCTACCACCCTAGCACTGTGAGGTCATCAAACCAGATATCGGGGTGTCATAATTGAACATCTTTACATTGCTAAAAAAACCGTAAAAAATAATCAAGGTAGATATAAGAATACATCTATTTTTAGATTTGAACCATGAGAATAGCACAGAGAGTACAAATACAACTTTAAAAGTATTTGCGAAACTGTGTGCCTCCAAGATGTTACATTTAATCATGTTGGCAACTGCACGATGTTTATCAATACTAGACAGGGCTTACAGGTAGGTCATGTGTTCATTGGGTATTTCATGACTGAGAATAGTGACACTGCATTTATATACTATGCATTTGTTACATTTGAGTTCTTCTTTACCCACAGATCCACAGGCAGTTGCAGCCACGCACAATCCTGAGAAACGCTTGATTGTGTTGGAACTTGATAGCAAGTATGTCAAGGTGTTCAACATGAAGGACAACACTCTTGTTATGCAGTTCCCAACGGTGTCTAAACATCAGGTAGACAAGACACCTGTGAAGCTACAGAGCATAGCAGTCAGGACAAATGGAACCATTTTAGTAGGCGACACAAGAAGGAATGTGTTGACTGAACACAAACCCACTAATGGTGAGATCCTACACACCATACCAGTACAGACTGAACCTTGGTTCCTGGCTGTTGATGACGACACTGATAAAGTCTTCATCAGTGGAGGTCTAACAAATCAAGTAGATGTCGCCAATAGCAAAGGGACTATGCTTTTCACCATCAAGCCAACCATTGATGGTCAACCAGTGTTGCGCACCCAGGGTGTATGCTGTGACAGGTCAGGTATCTACCTTGGAGTGAAGCAATCTGGGTTTGGCACTAATCATATTCACCATTACGACCTAGATGGCAGGTTTCTTGATTGCCTGGCACAGGATCTGTATCTCCCACAGGCAATGACATTCACATCGGATGGGCAGCTGGCAGTGGATGACTGGCATTCAGTCAAGATGTATCGCAAGGTGTGATGCCATCCAACATAACATTGACAACAATGCATGCACATACATGTAGCAATTGTCATCCCTACTGCAAATGTTGAGGATGAAATTGTCCAGTCATTACAGCACCAATCGGCATTTTACAGAATTAAATTCTATACATTTGTTTGTATAGTTTCAAGTAAGATTCAAAACTTTGCATGGTAGCCATTTCAGCTAACTGAAAATGGTGAAAAAATTCTCATTGCAGTTTCGGATTCAACAAAAAGTATTAATTTGTTCGCAATAAATAATCTAATTGTAAAAATTAAATGTTCAAGTAGAGTTTTAAGTGTTTAACAGTTCTCCACTTTACCGGTATGTAATAGTCACAAGACCTTGTAAATTCCCTTTAATTATTGTTCCTAAAAGTACATGTACATATACTCATTCTATACTGTGCTATCTGTACATTACATATGTTTCATAAAACATCATTCTGTTTTACTGTTAACTTCAGTTTTTAAAGCCACATAGGATCATTTGCAATTATATAAGAGAACCTACCGATTTAATGACAGAAACCTCAAAGTGAAACAAATACCCTGTGAAATAATTCCCGTGAAATGGTATTGTCAGAAAACAATCATTGAAGGTGGTTTCAAAATGGGATGCCTACAGAATCCAGGTACGAAATCCAGACTTGTGCTTTGTTTTCTCCAAAATGTATAGCAGCCACTAAGATTAGACTTGAACAGAATACCTTAATATGCACTGTACTGGTACTTAAAATATTGAACACTTTTGTTGCTTCGGGAAAAAACCCTGCAAAAAGCAAATGATCATTATACAAAATGTACCTTTAAGCATTAAAATTACTATGAAAGTTAAAGGTATAGTCCATCATTTGTAATTTGTGCATTTTGTTCATTTGAAGCAACAATAGTGCTCAAATTCTAAAGAAGGGTGCTGAACAGCTAATCTAATGAAGTTTCAGCTCAGCTTCAGCTGTATATTTCGAGAAAAACAACATTCTAGAATCTCGATTTCAAATCAAAAGTTGCTGAATCATGTTTTGAATTGCGCCTAAATTCAGCGTCCGAGACACGTTCTCACTGAGCCGATTGCAGCTACGCGATGTCGCGCAGCGATCCGACAAATTATAGCAACCGCACGCTTGAGCGTCGTGCCAACGCTTGCGCGCACTTTGCCTATTGAAAAAAAACGAACTACTAAAGGAATTTCCAACGGTGCTTCTTAAGACGCACCATTGGGAAGGCGTTCTTTCGTTGATTTCTTCAAAATGACAGCTTGCCAGAAAGAATAATTTCACAGGGAGTTAATAGTCCCCTTACTATCTTTCAACCAAGTATGTTTTTCAACAATAAATACGCCAGTTATTTTTTGGATAGCTGCAAATGATGGACTCTGGCTTTAATCAAGATTATATTAAAACTTAGTCTTTTAATATTCACTCAGTTTCTTAAAAAAAAACAGGCGTTTTCGTATTCCCCCTCATTCGTAGTTTTCATAGAAATCATGTTTATTGTTATTATTTACAAGCTTTGTACATTTGCATTGATATAAATGAGACACAAATGTGGATGATCATTTAATCATCAAAATGTCTGTTAAAGATGAGCAAAAATACTTATCCTATTAATTTGGTTTAGGCTGTGTGAATTCACAGAATAAATTCCTGTGTAAACTTTACTCACAAGGGATAATCTTGATGGAAATATTTACTTTGTTCTTTGAAGGTTAAAATTGTTCAAGTGTGAAAGGTTACCAATCATTTTAACAAATGTTCAAATCAATGGTATTGAATTTCAGGACGCTGTTGCCTTGATTTTGCCTTGAATGCCTCTTTGAAATGTCCTTGCCTTTTCAATAATTAAATTCCATACCTGTTTTCATTGTTTTACCTATTTGGTTGCAATTCCAGCAAACTTCAAAACAATGAAAGAATTACCCCTCACATACAGTGTGAGTTTCAGCAAAAAAAGATTACCAAATTTTGATGACACTTTCCAAACTCTGTTAACAATTAATTATTTAAATTGAATTGTTAAATTGAATTTTACAGTTGAATGTTCTGAAATGAAATGAACAGAAATAATTTCATTCATTTATTCAGAATACTTTTGTTTTCTACAAGTTTCCGCAATTACAAAATTTATCCACTAATTTATTATTTTTTGGATTATCTTTTTTTGACACATAAATACAGTGAATGCAGGCAAATTTATGATTGTCTTCCTGAAATGACATCACAGTGACAGTGCCCTTAGTTGTACGGAAAAGCATAGAACATTTTAAATGTTTAAAAAAAAAAACACATTTCAAAGAAATTAACCAAAAAGGGATTTCAAATAGTTTTCATAAATCTAAGAGTAGAAAGTTGCACAACATGGGTTACTCACAAAATTTCATCACTGAACATTACAATTGTTCCCTGAACTTATTTTTTAAGCATATGCGTCACAGTGACAGTTAGTAGTAAGATTACTGTTCAATATAAGCCTTTATTTACTTTAATTCCATGTATCAATCTACGTTACACTTATACTGAGGTTAATATACATATTGAAATGTTTGATAAAGATGAGCGACAATGGTCATTGTACTGATTTGGTACCTGTTTGAATTCATAAAATAGAGACGACTGTGTTTATAACAATGTTACTATCTTGATTCAAAATTGTGTATTTATGCATAAACATGTATATTTTTGTCCCCGAACAGTCCAATATTTTTTTCAGTTTGAAAGATTGGAGATCATTTTGAACATTTGAAATTCAGGATGCTATGGCCTCTGTTGCCTTGATTTTAGCCTGTTTGCCTCCTTGAAATAGTCCCACAAACATTTGATCAAATTAATTGTTTTCCTCCTTTTAAAGAAATAAATTTTGTACCTTTTTTTTTATTGCTTTGCAATGTTTGATTGTCATTTCAGCAAACTTAAGAATAATGAAAACAAAATCCTGACTTTAGTTTGGGTAAAAAAAAGTGTTTGTAACTTGTCAGTTATTCAATGTTTAAATTACCACTACATGTAGATCTTATCAGTCACAAGAAAACTCCCTTAAATATTAATTCTTCCAATAACTTCACTTTTTCAAAAGCCACATAGGATCAATTGGGATTACAAGTAAAACAAGATATGTATGGCCACATTCCTGTTTTCTCATTGGCTATTTGCCACAATACGTTCACAATTGATTAGTTGAGATCTTTGTAAATAAGTTGAATATAAGGCGTAAGAACAAGAATAAATTGGTTGAAGTCATCTCAAGCTTCATGTGCTGTTATTCGTTTCTGTGTCCCTTACTACCTTACAGCAATGAACCCAGATGAGTACCTATTATTTATCGACAGAAACCTGAATCAATGTCAGTAATTCTTTTTATTTCAGACGAGTGGAAGAACACGCTTTTGAAGTTATACTTCATGGGCGTTTCTTTTGAAGAAAAAAATTTATCCAGATTACTTTCTTTCACTCAGCTTCAATCGGTCATTCCATATGAACTCAACCAGTGGTCTCATGATGACCAACACAGATTTGGCTAAAAAACGCTATAAGTAGCTTTCTAAGTATAATGAACTACGAGGTTCCGGCGGTTCCCCGGTTTGAACAAGTTCCAAGATGGGAACCGAAACCACAAGTCCAATCTTTTCAAGAACCGGGTACCAACTCGAAAAGAATTGGTTCCAGAGTAAATTACCCATTCTCTGTGCACAAAGCCCAGAGCCGAGAATCAGCCTCACAATTACTACAAGGAATTCAATTGCGCGAAGGCCCCGGACATTCACTCTGGCTAGTCAAAGCAACGGCAGAAAAAACACACAGACTCTCCCACGCATCATGGAGTGTCGGAGACAAACCACTCGACTGAGCGCTTTTCGGTCACGACTCACAAGGTATAGAGCATAGAGCATTGAACCCAATACTGTACTGGCCCTGTACCATGGATAATAAACGTTTTGAATTACCCAATAATTGCATGGGGCGAGGCCAGACTGATCGGGGTTACTCGGACAAGCGGTGGTGTGAATTTAGGTTTGATGAAATACGGACTCATTGGTGGTATTGCGCATGCTCATGCATAGATAATTAGGAAAAAGACCAATCACGTGAGAGGGTTTAACCAATCAAACGTAAAGGAGTTCGATTTTCACAGGAGTCCGATTTTCATATCACACCAACTCTGCGTGCTGGAATAGGATCTGTTGGACCCAGCTCCGAGTGCCGCAGGAATTGGCCCTACGAACCCTCACCCGAGTAAAAATGTACGTACAGCTCCAAAATACCCAGCTCCAAACGAGTCATGATTCACGAATCTACCTTTGCATGAAAATGTATTAATCCCTTGCTTCGGTTCGTTCTGATCGGTGCACATGGTTAAGAATGAACATTTGCGCAGTTGCGCACTACAATACGTGGGCTGCTAGATAACAGCACTTCATGTCCATATGCAACTTAAGCCCAGTAGATACGGCCCGTCCGCGACTCATTCGGATCGGAGCCGGATATTTTGTACCCAGGTCCTTCAGTGCCGATTCCAGCACTCGACCGGTTCAACTCTACATGCAATGTACATTCAAGGCAGGGTACTAGTGGACGTGTTTACTGCGTGCACGTGTAATTGTGCAGTGAATCATTCTATTCTCTGCGGCACGGCGGTTGTTGCGGTATATAAAATCATAGGCAAGGAACAGAGAATAAAGAAACAAACAGCAAAGCTAAGTTTGCTTTTAATAACACAATATCCGTAGTTTCACAGGAAAAAGAGTACGGACACACATTTGAAACCAAATACGTAGTGGAATAACATGTATTGCACGTCAAAATCCAAGGAGCACAAGCCTCACAAGGTGACACTGTTATTCTTTACATGTAATTTCAAGAGTTTATGTTTTTCATTGAATTTTCTGGGAGCCGGTCCCGACTCGGAACCAGTTCTTTTTTAGAGAACCGGAACTGGCTCAAGAAATTTTGAACCCCCCCCCCCCAACCTACAGAGTACCGAACCACTCATGTTAGGAACCGTAACCAACTTTACATGTTAATGCTGAGTAACTTCGCAGACAATGAAAAAAAAATGTTTTGAATGTCATTTGTGGAGAATTTTCAAAATAAAACCAGACTTCGTTCAATACATGGAAACACAAGACAGATTCATGTTTATGACGCTTGCGAAAATGCCATTTACACCGTAAAGCTACATGCATTGAGCTCACTGTATGGAGCATTTTCGAAGTATTTTCTCACAAAATTTGACACATTTTTCAGTCTTAAATTCTTGTCTTTTCAACACTTTTTTTTTTGCAATGACTCACCTTCACTGAGATAAATTATATGATGAAAAAGTGGTGTCAGGATGCAAGATTCTTTCCAAAATATAATACTTTGCACGATATGCGTGCTACCCTTAAAATGAAGCCTTTTAAAGTGGTCATATAGAGCCCCCTCTACTGTCCGTGCATGGTGTCCATATTTAATACTTGCCTGAAACATTTGCATCATGTTGTAAGAGATGAAACTGGCATATGGCAAAAAAATCGGAAAATCGGCCGAACAAAAATATGTGTTCGAAATCTGGGCCGCACAGCAGTTACACACATGTATGCATGTGCAATACACTTCATGCCCAATTTCGGGACACCAACTGCTGCTATATTTTCGATTCAAACAAAATTTTACGATGAAAAAAAAAGGTCAGTGTTTTCATTGCATAACACGCCTGAAGTACGGTTAGAGTAATGGAATCATCAACAAAGAAGTTCACTTCTTACTTGAGAAAGTCGAGGAAAAAGTCCGAAAGACAAGGGCACCGTTCATGGTGCTTCATGATTCAACCACACAACTCCACTACTCCACTTGCATTCGTACGTGGGGAAAAATCAATCTTCCAACAAATGCCAGTGAAATGTTTCGCTAATGCTCTCTTTGCTATCCTCGAGATAATCATCATGATTTTTAAAGCTGCTTGCATTTTGTACAACTAAATCTGAAACCTCCGAAAATCGCACAACATAATGATTTTATCCACTGGATCGTTAACAAGGCTGCCCGTTCCCGATCCCGACCGGCCATGTGCTATCGGACGGTACGGTACGGTATCTTCTTTGTACAGTACAATGCACGCATGTGCGACACAGCGATATTTCCATGTCACCTGTCAATGTTTAACCTTTTGTCCAGCCGGTAAAAGGCTACGATCCGTGTTATGGCCTGTGTTTCTACCGTTGAAACACTCCAATAACGACTGGTGAAAGAGATTAAAACTACTTTTGCAATGATTTTAACGTGCAATTTCCATCGACTTTTCATCGACTTTTCTTCGAAATTATTATTGAAATAAAATGACATTTTGTGAAAAAATCGCTACAAAATCAAATTTTGTGGGACACATTGCAAAAAAATCGGAAACTTCGTTGGAAAATTCAAAAAGTCGGATTTCCGATTAAAATCGGAACAGTTTCATCTCTATGTTGTAAACTCGCCGATGCACAAGCAAGCATTAGTTCCGCCGAAACCAAACGAGTTCGTCAGAGCTATTCTTCTTGTTTTGTTCGTCAAGTCCCAGTTCTGAGCACGATGCGGCACATAGTTCAAATCGTAATCCTCGGTTGTTGTATGCAAATTTATCGTCGGTGGAAGAGTTTTCTAAGGACACAAAGAAAGAGAGACATCTTTTAAAAGCGAATGTTGGCTATGGTTCTGTGGTTACGGTGTTTGACTCATGTACGATGGTGTGTGGGATCAAACCCTGCCAGGAACATGGTGTTTGTGCCCTTGGGCAAGACACTTAACTACAATTGCCTCTCACCAACCAGGTATCTGTGAGGGTAGAGGACTGAGTGTCGATACAGCAAGATACAAGTGTGTACAGTGAGCTTAAATCTTGACGGTGTCAACTGCAACCTTCCGCAATAGTCATTAACGTGAACAATTTGTTTGTTTTCCTATGAGGCCTGGTTTTCATTTTGAAAATTCGCCATAAATCACATTCAAAATCTTTATTTTTCAGAGTCTGAGAAGTTCCTAAATACTTTGTAAAGTTGGTTAAGGGTACCTGATTCCATAGTCTGGAACCGGTTCCTGACATCAACGGTCAGACACTCGGGCACCCGGTTCCGATGCACAGCCCTACGCACATCATGATGGACAACGGGGCGCCAGGAGTTTTGTCGATCGTTTACCGAGTGGCGCTGACACGTTGCTATTAGTGCACAGCCCTAAGTTACGCCACGAGCCAACCACCAATTAACTAATGGTCCACACCAAACTAACCCCTATAATAGGCCCTGCCTTTAACCTTTGACCTTGGCACATGTGATCAATGGCACTCCACCCGACCAAAAGTCATGATCGGATTGGTTAATGATTGATTGAAAAAAGTCCGGATAACTACTCACCGTTTTGCAAGCCATGACCATGAAGACAGCTTCCAACGACCCAGCCGCACCTAACAGATGACCAGTAGCACCTTTGGTGGACGATACCGCGAGATTGTTAGTCTGGTTCCGGAAGAGTCTCTTAATGGCATGGTTCTCAGCTGCATCACCTTTAATAGAAAAAAAAACACAAAATAGGGAAATTCCAACATAGGAATGGTGGCTTAGTTGGTAGAGCACCGGAACGGTATTCCGGAGGACGCAGGTTCAGCCCTAATCTACCAAATATCGCCTTGCACAGCAAGGGTCTATGATATGTGAGCAGATTTGGCGATTAATCATGCAAAACAAGACAGCTGCTTGACCTCGAGATTCTGACCATTCAGCAGGCGCCTTCTATATCGGGTCTTCCGTAACCTGTTGTTGTGTTACACAACATAGCATCCAAATTGACCAATCAATAGATTAGTCCACATTTCCTATTAAAATGATGTCACAGTTTCTAAAGTCGACTCCGATTGGATGGCTGGCACGCGGGTGACATAAAATTGGCATGTTAGGATACATCATACGTTTGACCATGGCTCTGCACACGTGAATATCTGATCCTCAGTTAAATCAAATCAAAATTTGTGTGGAAGAAATGGACTCAATGCAAGATTTTCAGTTGTTTAACTTAATGGATACAATTTACCATATTTACATGGCTACTGTGGTCAGGAACAGTCACACATGAAGTGTATTTTAAACAAGACTATATCATTAGTTTTATATTTACCATTATTACACAACTTTTTATGGGAATTTCACATAAACCTTCACCAACCCCTTTAAAATCCAACTGCATGTTTTGTGGGAATCTGTTGGTGTGAGGACTGTACTAGTAAACTGACTATGGGTTACGTGGGGTCAAGCATACCACCATAATCAGAGTCCAACAGTTTGGGTGTAGAGTTTACCATAATATTATGGTGTTGGATTTTACACCAGGCTTCTTATGAGGGTGCAGAACATCTCATGGCGTAAGCACAAGACTAAAGAACAGATTTACGGAGACATTCCACCTATCTCTGCTATTGTTGCTCAACGACGAGTTCGCTTTGCTGGCCTCTGCTACCGTGCTGTAAACCAGGTCATATCTGATGTATTATGTTGGAGACTTCCATGCCCTAATAGAGGACAAAGACCTTTCAACTACATTGATGTGATTGGCAGAGACACCCAATGTGAAATTGAAGACCTTCCGTACATAATGAGGGATAAAGACACCTGGCGTGGCATTGTGAATGAGATCTCGGTAATGACCGCTAGATGATGATGATGGATTTTGCAAGAGTGAGGGAGGTTCCAAGTAAATCACTCAAGGGGCGAGGGTTAAGAGGAAATTCTTTAAATATTAGATTTCCTTGGTTTTCACTGTTGTATTAATGACCATTATATGTGATGCGATCAAGCTAAATGAGTCGTTTGTCGGGAAGTTTTATTTGTTGATACAGGCCAAAATAGGGCCACTTCATCGCATCACTTCATCACATCTCTTAGTTATCCAACTTCAATAATTTTTTTTCCTAAAGATGGTATCAGCATGTGGTTTTCACAGCAGTAATGCTGAGATTGTGCTCTTTTCAAATCTATAATACGCTTTTTTTTTTTACCAGGGTCGACAAATGACTCATGTACCGGTAGCTTGATCACATCACATATGCTCAGTGCTCTTCGAGAGCACACAAGAAAGTATTTCACAACCTTAAGTAGCAAGACGAGACTCTAACTACGACCTCATGCTAACAATTTGTTAAGCGATTGTTTTCCCCGCTTACCAAGCGGCGTTGAGGTTGCATGTGCATTGATGTACGTCACTTCATCTGCAGCTATCCCAGAATCCCTCAGGGCAGCTCTCATACACAGCTCGGCTCCTTCACCGTCATCACGTGGTGCGGTCATGTGATTGGCATCACCTATTATATGAGCATGACATCATACATATTTATGAGCAAATGCTCCTCTTTCATTGGTCAATTGAATACATGTACAATTGGACACTCGATGCCAAAAATGACAATGAGCATGGGCGTCGCCTGGGAGGGGGGGGGGATGTTGACAACCTTATAAGTTATATTTATGAGAATTGTATCTTGTAAGCTATCCATGGGGATTGTCAAATGAGAAAAAAAAAAAAAAATAAGTCATCAACAAAATAGCAAAAATATATCACTGTTTGCTATATCATGTCAATATAACCTAGTGTCGCGTGATGTCGAGTACTGTCCAGATTGAAGATAATGTCCAGTCCCTCCCCTTTCCGCAATGTTGCACAAGTTTGGGAAATTCCGTAAAATCAAATTCTCTGCGTACGTCCGACCGCATAATGTACAAGGTCGTTGAAGGTGGTGGTATCTAATTAGTCTGTACCTGTTTTCTACTCATTAGATGTCACATATAGTACATTCCCTTTTCCAACAGCAGCTCATTAAAGTGTTTGACATGTACATCCGCATTTAAATAACAAAATTGCCCAGTTGAAAGATAACCAGGTCGTAGTTTCTGGTTATGTTACTAACGGTAAACAGTCGTTTGTTGGCAATTTCGTAGACACAACCCCAGAATTAACCTATCACGGTAGAATTGCGTCAATGAAGCTTGTGAAATGTTGTCCAATGACATGATACACAAATGGACGTCGATCGCACAAAAACTGAAACAAATAAAACTTAATGTAGACAATTCCATAGGGTTGTCTAAGGGGCATGGCTAACCTGCAATTGGCGATAGGTCGATTGAATTGAATGGGAATAAAACAGAAGTTTTGGAAAGGACTATGGCTAAGAACTAATTTCACTCAAACACAGGATAGTTGGACTACTCTAGTCGAATATTTGGAACTGGACCACAGGGCACGTTTGCATCACTGGTTACCAATAGCCACGCATCATAATACACAGCAGGGAGCCAGGATCAAGAGGTTTCGGGATTACGTTTTGACTAGCCTTTAATCAAGTCCCACGCGCCTATACCCGGACCATCCGGACGCGTAACGTACCCCGGATGCTGGCACGTAAAAAGACAAGCACGATCGGCGAAGCCACGAGGGCCTTTACTATCTCATGGAACTAATCACTTATTCATTTATTCACGTAATATAAATCAAGCAGTATAAACCAATCATCTAACGGTGGTTTGCGGTTACCAGCAACAGCACACGCGCCATGGCACCAGACGACGTCTGGCGCCAGACGACGGCTGATTTACGTTAGTAATTCTGCATTTTCATTGGTCAATTCACAACGGGTAATGCATTATGCATGTCTACCAAATCGGTAGACAAATGTAAAGAAAAACATAAGCGTTCTCCACGAGATGGTAAAGGTCCTCGCGGCTACGCCGCTCGTGTTAGTCTTTTTACGTGTCAGCATCTGGGGTGCATCACGTGTCCGGGTAAGCGCGTGGGACTTGACTAAAGGCTACGTTTTGACCAGCGTTTGACATGAGGTGTTCACATGTTGCTGTTAGTGCACACGTTTAATACGTCACAAATCAACTACAAGTTGTCTAATGAACTTGGCATTTGCGGACAAGATTGCTCAACTGACCTGAGAGACCATAGCCAAGGATTTCGGCAAGAATCGTCGCACCACGATTACAAGCATGTTGATACTCCTTGGAAAAAGAAAAACAGAAAAAGATTAGGACAACATATGAAAGATTGCACAAAAATTATTTAAAATATTTATAGCCGAATCAATTTATTGTGAGTCACAATAAAGTGTACCATTATGAGACAAATTTTCAACTTTCTAAATGAGCAAAATTACCACTTCAAAAAGGGATTCGCACAATAGCCACTAAAGGGCACAGTGACTGTTGTACAGACCATGTAGCGTGATCACTGTATATATCCCCCTCAATGGTGAAAATGCTGTGCTGGCTATTTTACAAACCCACTGCCTTAACCGCCCTGAATCCTTTAAAATCTTCTTTGCCAAAGTGGAGGAATTTGGAGGATAGAGGTTACAAGGCAAAAGTGCGTTACTGATTTCGTAGGATGCACTTTGTCAAGGTCTTGGGCCAGACCTTGTGTTGCTTTTGCTCAGCCATGCATAAATATAGGCCTGGATTATACTTGAAATCCTCACATTGTTCCAGGATGTCACTGGCCAAGCCTCAACATATTGACAGTCACTGCTGCAGGATTTTGCAGGATTCAGGCAGTGGTCACCCTTCCATGGACCATATTCAAGAAATAATGGGAGGAATTAGCAGCATTGAGGCTATACATTGTACATGTATATATGCTACTTTTCCATTAGGCCAATTGGAAGATTTTGCAGGATTGAGGCTACATCCTAGCAAAAAAGGCCTAGGGAGTTAGGGTTAAGATGGATTATCTAAATAGCTAGCTCAATGCTTTGGCCATTGATGGGGGCCTTCGTGATAGAATTGACAGCATGCACAATTACCCCCTCAACGGTACAAAGGAGAGACTTTAGGGGAGATCACATGGACAGACATTAGAACGCATTGCCGAAAACGCCTGGTGCTGACGTAAAGACGCTGGGGCTTTGTGCACATTCAGAATAAAATACATTGGCGTACTTTGTGCAATAAAAGCGTGAACAAACACGCACAAGTAGTATGTCCCGTCTATGGGGCTCTCAAAAGTGGTTAAAAGCGCCCTCTATTGATTGCACGTTCAGCCCATAAGAATACTTACCTCCAATACTACGATGGCTGCTCCTTCAGACATAACAAAACCATCCCTGTCCTTATCAAATGGTCTTGAGGCAGATGAAGGCGTCGCATTGAAATTCTTACTTAACGCTCTAGCCCTGAAGAAATTAAAAAAATATTGCCATTTCGAAATTGGGTATTTTGGATCTTTGGCTTTGGTTTTTGCCATTGGCATAATACAGTAGCTAGCCGAAGCCATACAAAGACCATCTTGGACATGGCCTGAACCATGGTTCGACTTAACAGGTTTTTTTCACTAGCCAGCCGGGCTACTGAAACAGACTCTTAACTAGCCCGCGGGCATTTTCACTAGCCCGCATGGTTTTTTCCCTTTTATAGAGTGTCTCAAACAACAATGTGCAATGTCAAGTGGTAAGATGTCTGCACTAGAAAGCAGGAGGTCGTGGGTCCGAGTCCCGCCCGAGTGATTATTTTTCCAACTTTCACTCGGGAGGTAACACACTCAGTATGTACAGTGTTTTTACGTCGGTGAAGGGCAAAACCTAATATTGATTTACATGTACATCACCCCGACACAAATTCCATCTTATGAATAGACTCAAGAGTCAGTATTGGGGGGGGGGGGGTGTGACTTTTTTTTAAATTCTAAAATTTGGCCAATATGTCTTGTCTTTGTCAAAAAAAGGATTTTTCGGCCAAAAAATAATCCAACCGTTGAGTGGTTCAGAGTCTGTTACTTACCTCGCAAATCCAGCGATGGCGATCGGGCTGATGCAAGCTTCAGTGCCACCGGCGACCATCACATTAGCGTCTCCGTTTCTGATAAACCTGAATGCGTCACCGATGGCATGGGCGCCGGTCGTGCACGCTGTGGATACTGCATGATTGGGACCCTAAAAAACAAAGTAAGCATTGAATGGTTGTTTACAAAATGCGATTTATTCAGTTGAAAAAAAAGTGACAAATTTGCACCACCTTATGAATATAACAGCAGTTTTTTAAACTTCATTTTGTGCTTGATTGTCATCTGAAATTGTGTTTAACTATCATAAAACCCATATACAGGGTGAGTAAAGAAAAACGAAACCCAAATGTTGGGACCATTGTTTTAGTGAAGTTCTGCATGTAGCACTTTCAAAATCTAGGATATGAAAGCCCAATTCATAAGCTTTCTTTTAGTACCTGAATCATTCAAATCACTTCTGTATATTTCAAGTTACGGAGTTTTAAACACAACCGCTGTTTCAAGGTTCTGTCCACCGCACACAAAGAAGCTAAGTGTTCTTTCGGCAAAACGAAAACAAATCACATTAGGATGTGTGTGAATTGTTTTCGTTTTGCTGAAAGAACACACACTTTTTTGGTGATCTGTGGACAGACCTTTAAAACGGTGGTTGTGTTTAAAACTCCGTAACTTGAAAAGTACATGAGTGATTTGAATGATTCTTGTACTAAATGAAAGCATATGAACTGGGCTTTCATATCCTAGATATCCTTTCATATCCATGCTACATGTAGAACTTCACTAAAACAATGGTCCCGACATTTGGGTTTCGGTTTTTTGTTTACTCAGCCTGTATATCCAAACTGACTTTGGGCAGCCAAAAGAGAGTTCGATTCTAAAAGGTAACAAAATGGCGTATATTGGTTTTGGAAATTGGCCCAAAGTTGCTTAAACTTTCCGCAACAATTCCGTAATCAAATTTGTTGATTGTTTCTGAACAGTCACCTTTAAGTTGTACCTGATGCTGATGTGTCCGGCGGCCATGTTGGTCAGAATACGAGGAACAAAGTAAGGGCTAACCTTCCGGTAACCCTGTAAACAGATAAAAACCATCACAAAATTCCATAAATAAAAGTGGACCACAGAGTAAAAATTTAAAATGTTCCAAGCAACAAGACCAGTGAAGTTAAGATGACCCCCGAGCGCACAAATTCCATTCTATCCATTCAGAATGACTATTCACAGAAAGTCTTTTCATGTATCTGGTCCACACATTGGCCATATTGAGTCCATTATGGGGTAATCCTATACAATAGCACTGCCCGGTTCTCATCATCAGCTAACAACCAGGCTGCATCACAAGAGAGAGTGTAAGTTGACCTCAGAATCCTGCGAGATTTTATGACAATACCATGTACAGGATCTACAACGTGTGTAACATCCTTTTTTTTTTGCATTTATTTTGTATCCTGAAGGGGCCAATCCAATCAAGGGAAATAAATTTTCGGTATTTCCAAAGAAAAGAAAGCATTACGATTTACAACATATTGAACATTTTGCGAATGATGACAATTATCAAATTACAATTGTTGACCTCAACTTCCATGCAATGGATCACGCATACAACAATCGGGTAAGTTCAAACACGGGAGTCTGTGACTAGACTAGTCAGTGTTTGGTACCAAGACATTCAAAGAAAAAGTGAACCTTGATCTGAAGCACGTTTTGGCGCTGTGACCGTAAACATGTTTCTGGTTCGCGGTCGTTTTGCCGCTTCGGTTACACTGAAATTACGTCATTGTTTCGACCAAAGTTGAACCGAGGTTTCCGGTCGGTTCACTTATGTTTCAAGATGGCGGAAAGGTAAACAAGCTTAGCAGACGACGTTACTTTTTACCATAAACAGGGTTTAAATAGTGGGTTTTTACCTTCAATTGGTACGAAAATTGATACAGAATATCAGGCCGACTCTTTTTAGAACTTTAGGGGTAACGCTATAAAAAAAAACAAAAAAAAACTCCCACTTTTGCCTTGAATGTTATTGTCACAATCATGTCCGGTCGCCGCGTGATTTTTTGGGGGTTGTGTGCAGTCACGTAGGCAGTAACATGACGTCATGAACGATTTTCCGGTCAGTCGTTTTCGCGGTGCACAGGAAACATGTTTCAGTTCACGGCTGTGACGTCAGAAACATGTTCCAGTTCAAGGGCCACCAAAACGTGCTCCCGGTGAGACTCGCACGCTCAAGTGACAGTCTTTTCGTCAGTCAGTCAGTCAGTCAGTCAGACAGTGAAGTACATTTTTTTCTTACCTTATTTTGGAGAGTTATTCCTGTGTTTACAATATCTTCTAGACCGACCATTCCCATACCAACAGCAACACCCTGCACAGAAGAAAAATCAATAATGTGTATTAAAATCACATACATGTACAACTTTCTATCAGTTCTTCTCATGCAATGTAGAGGGTGCTGTTTTGCGTACCTAGCATATTCGAAACCTTGGACTCCCTTCCAGCTATGGCTTCATTTCTGACTTCTGAAGTATTTACAAAACTTCAATAGCATATTGAATGGGAGTACATATGTGACCCGCTCTGCAAAAATGAGTCTGATGTTGCATAGCTTGAATTCCAGCTTTTACCACTTTTAAATGGAAACAGTGAAAATGTGCTCAAAATTTGGATTGTTTTATTTTGTTTTATTTTGGTTGTTTTAGTTCAGATATCTTACACAGAAATTTAAATATTGTAAGAAAAAGACTAACAAATTTATGATTTTTGGTGCTTTTCTTGGTTAGTTACAGTGTATTTGTAATTTTTCAACCCTTTTTTCTTCATTGAGACATTTCTTGCTTTTCAAAAACTTGACAGAATTAAAAAAGGCACAACAGTGCAACCAAACGCCCTAGAGAGGCCCATGATATACCAAATGAAAGCTTATTTCATTCCCATTTTATATGTAGTTAACTCAAAATTTCAGTTTTGCCACAACAGACTCACTTTTGTGGAGCGGGTCACATATACTCCAAACTTCGGCCTAATAATGCACGATTGAATGTTACAGGAAGAAGAACATCCATGTTGAAAACGAGTCCCTGAAGCCACAGCTGAAAATGAAGCCATGGTTTCAAAAATACAGCTTACTTATTCTCATTCCCTTATGTCAAAGAAAATGTAACTAAATAACTGACAGTTTGATGAACCCTCCTGCTATCTGAGCAGTCACAGACAGTCAAGCAATCAATCCTGTTCCCTGCCATGCCTTTCACGCAGGCTAGTCACCAACAGTCAGATCAGATTTCTTGTAGGCACTGTGACAGTCAAATTCAATCAACAGACAAAAGCAGGTGACTGGTAGGCACAGTTGGCAAATCGATCTCCTACAGTCAAAGCGTAGCTATATCAGGTTTCATAATAATCATCACAGACAGTCAATCCTGCTTTATGAAGGCAGGGCGCACTCAACTGTTAGAAATAGTCACTTGATTTATTTGAACTGCTGGGCTGGCCTCGTTGAAATTGCCAGCCAGAGAGGGAGGGTTAATAAAAGATAACTGTCTATTTGTGGCAAGGCCTAGCAGAATCTTTTATCGAAACTCAAATTTCTTTTTCAACATTGGGTTTTGCCCATAAGTACGAAAGCCCATTAGCGCCACTGCAAGTATATAAGTTACAGATTATGTAATTCGTTGGTACGGATTATTAATTCGTTATTACCGATTATTAATTCTTTATTACGGATTATTTAATTCGTTATTACGGATTATTAATTCGTTATTACGAATTAGGTCTGATGTTCTCACACGTGGAGAGCACGTGACCAGGGGCCTGTGTATATAGGGCCGCTAGGCGGCGCTATATCTTTGTATACAACGTTTGCACCCCTGTGCCATACTTGCCAAGTAATGACTCAGAACATATGAGTAATTCGTAATAACGAATTATAATCCGTAATAACGAATTAATAATCCGTTAAAACGAAAATAATCCGTAATAACGAATTAATTAATCCGTAATAACGAATTAAATAAACCGTTATATCGAATTAGTAATCCGTAATAACGAATTAATAATCCGTAATAACGAATTAATAATCCGTACTAATGAATTAATAATCTGTAATAACGAATTAAATAATCCGTTATAACGAATTAGTAATCCATAATAACGAATTAAATAATCCGTAATAACGAATTAATAATCCATTATAACGAATTAGTAATCCGTGATAACGAATTAATAATCCGTAATAACGAATTAAATAATCCACAACTTTATATACTTGCAGTGGCGCTAATGGGCTTTCGTACATAAGTGATCAGTGTTCTCCTACTTTAAAAATTAAAGGTCAGTGCGCCGTCAAAAAGCGAAGGGGGCATTATAGGTGCGCTATTTGCAGTCATACATTTCTTTATACTACGGCGCGCTACTTGCAGATGAACATGTAATTTATGTATGGATAACAGCTTTTGCTCAGCATCATCTTTTTTTAATACATCAGTGTCCAGGGACTCTGAGGCAGTTTGGCCTTGAGACTCTTGACCTGATAGACTGCTACAATGGGCAGGCTTGTGATTTTGACAAGTGTTGCATGTTACTGCTTTTGGCAGAGTTTCTGGCCAAAATATACCCTGGAGGGTAAGGTTGTCCCACTTACAGTTTTTTTTTTTTAATTATTTTTTCACTTTTTTTTTTGAAAGCATGGCGGCAACTTGAAGCTTGGCGGGTGCCTCAGAAAGCATGGCGGGCACCAGGTTATTTTTACAGGTTGGAGAACACTGAGTGATGTAATTCTATAGGCACATGTTGTCCAAGGCTTTGTGAGAAACACTTCACAAGCTTACTCGGGTGGGACTCAAACCCACGACCTCCTGCTTACTAGCGCAGGCTTCTTCTTCCTCGACCACCGAGCTTGCCGGGGTCGGCTGGCTGGTTCGAATCTGATGATTCTGATATATAGTTCAAATCTGATGTAACAGCAGGTACCGCAAGCAATATTGATTTTACACCCTCTATCCAAAATGGCATCAAATGAAAAGGTTTGCTTGAAAATCTGCTCACTGATTCTCGTTTGTCGTCTTCGTTTGTTGGCGTCCATTTTGCTTGCGTCAAGGCTTCTTCGGCTGCTGCTAAGGCGAATACGGAAGCATCACTCATTGTTCTCTGCTCCTGAAAAACGCAAATTTGAATTGATATTTTAGTTTGGATAATAAAAGGACCTGACTGCAACACGAAAGGCCTGCTAATTTCATCTACTGACCAGAAAGTAATAGTCTGAGTATCTTCCATCTTCCTGTCTCCAGTCAAACGTGTGATATATCTAGAAATGCAAATTTATGCGATGCCACGCGTCAGCCAATTGGAGTCAACATTACTACTTCATGATATCATTTCATTCCCAAATCAGGACTAAAACTGTGATTGGTCGATTCAGGTGCAGTATTTTTAAAATACATCAACCGCATCTAGAAATCTAGAATAGACATGACCTACTAAAACATAGACATGACCGTGATCAGGCGGCTCTATTATTGCCCACATATCGCGCTACATATCGCCACAGAGCGCATGACTGTAGACTTTTTTCTCCAATCCACAGCGTGTCTCAGTTTTATTTACATTTAGATAACCTGACGAGACCCCGATACGGAGAGCGCCCGCTGATTGCTCAAAATCTAGAGGTCCAGAGGCGGTTATCTTGTATCATTAATCAGCAAATTGCAAATCAGCTCACACATGATAGTTCGCAAGGGTCTATTTCATAGACAAGAAACTTAGGGCCCCATCTCAATTCATATCTGGGATGCGTTCTGGATAGGTTTAAGACATCATATTGGGTAAAAGTTGCAGGATTCTGAACAACTTCCCCGCAATCTTCCTGCAATGAAGTTATCAGTATTGGTTAGTCAAGCAGTTGCTAATGAAAAATACCACTCTTTTTAAAAATTACCGAGGAAGACACAGTCTTCGATGCTTGGAATTGTCCGACTCCATCCCCTTTAGGCACATATCCAGCTGAAAAAAAAAAAAATAACACATAACAATAAAAAATTGCCAATGAGTGGCGTACATTTTTCTTAGTCATTCTAACGAAACTGGGAATTTGGTGGTCTGTACAGTGAAGTCAGTTATGAGAGAAATTTGCTGTCGTATCGTATGCAAGGATCTCTTTTTGTGAGTTATACTGGTGGGAGAAAACACAGATTTCAAAATGCTCATTTTTTTTCCCAACCCGAATAACAGTTATCTGATTAACGGGAAGTTCAGCTCAAGGTCATGCCAACAAAAAGTGACGAGTGAGGTGCTGCATGCAATGCTCCCCACAATTAATGGGTAGGCCCTATAGTTTGCAGGATTGAATGACCACTTGGCCTTGAGAGAACTGTAAAGTTGAACCCCAAAAAAAACAAATAGAAATTCTCTGATCAGACGAATGGGCAGGCTATTCATGAACCAAGAAGACTGCTAGAGAGTGATGATGCAGTTTTTATCAGAGACCATGGAGTGAATTGGGGGATGTTCCAGTTGTTTTCTTTAGCCATAAAAAAGACATGGAAGGCTGAATATTTTAAAGGTTGGTTTCGAATATCCAGTTTCAAAAATTTAAACTGGAAAGTGCAATTCAAACTGAATTTTAAAAAATCTGGATTTTAACCCTAATCCTCCTCAATCCTCCTTAATCTTTCTGGCGGTTTTGAAGGATTTTGGAGGATTGAGGATCAATGGTGATTGAAGCACAGGAGGATTTGGAAGGATTGTGGATGACCAGTGTTTGAAGAAGTGGAGGATTTTGGAGGATTAATTGAGGATGAATGCATTTTGAGAGGCAGTACTGTCAGAGGATTTTGAAGGATTGAAGCGCTGGGTATCCTTCATTTGAACATAAAGTGCAAAATTTTTGGAGGAAAAGGGCCTACAGGGTAATACGCTTAATCCCAGGATTAGTGAGATTACTTGGTTTTGAGAACAACTGACACCCACTCCATGTTACAAATCCCTAACCCTGCTCAATCCAACAGGATCCAACTATTTGACATACCCGCTGGGTCCTGTTAGATTGAGCAGTACTAGTAAGGCCAAAAAAAAAAAATATTCGGTCTCTGGTCAGACCAAAGTTCTGGAATTGACGCGGGGACGCGGCTTTTTTTTTTTTCTTCAAGCTTGGATTGTACAGACAAGGTGTGGTACTACATGTATTTTGCTTTTTTGGTGTCCTCATGTACATTGGTGTCCTCCATAATTTGCCTTGGTGCAATTTCCCATTCCTTGGTGCTCTTTGGTAAAAAAAATTTAGGAGGTGCGGCAATAGAGGGCGCTGTTGGAGCTACCGCAGAACATTTTGGGGGAAAAAAAGATTGAAGCGCATGATTAAAATCGACGCGCGCTGACCAGAGACCGACTTATTTTTTTTTTGGCCTAAACCCTTTAAATATTCCTGTTGCAATCTGTTGGATTCAGTAGGCAACTAAAAACATTCAGAGTCGGCTTCTGTTGGATTCTGGTAAATATCACCAAGTTGGACTCTGTTGGATCCAGCAGCAAACAGAAAAATAAGGCACAGTTGGATTCAGTTGGAATGAGCATGCCAGTCGTGTTAGCGTTTCAGGTACCCAGCAACTTGGCAAGTTGGGTTGTGTGGGACTGTGTCAGATTGTGCAGGGAACTCACATGGGTAACCGTTGGACTCTGTTGGATTTAGCAGGGTGGTCCTGGGGCACTACTAGGGGGTTAGGGTAAAGTTTATTAACCCTAACCCACTAGGCCCTTTTGGCTAGGAACCATCCTCAATCCTGCAAAATCCTCCAATTGCCACCATGTAAAAATTGGATTTATCCTCAATCCTCCAAAATCATCCCATTTCTTGAATTTGTTCAGTGGAGGGGTGACCATTGCCTCAATCCTTCAAAATCCTCCTCCATTCACTGCTATGGGTTGAGTCAGTACCGATGACATTCAGAAGCAGTGCGGATGATATCCAGCATAATGCAGGGTTCCATTATGCATGACTGAACATATTAAAAAGAATGCTGGGTAGACGTACAGCCTACCTCGAGCCATTGCATTCTCCAAAATCAACTGGCACTTTTTGCCATTCATCCTCAATCCTCAAATATTCTCCAAAACTGCAATGAGGATTTTGGTGGATTGAGGAGGGTTACATGTGGGGTTAAAGGGAATGTACAACATTTGCTTTTGCTGCAATTTTCAGAAATAAATAGACAGGAGGATGTTATAGCAAATATTTTTAAACTGACTTGTTTCATGTTTTGGGTTCGGAGATGCTGGAAAATCCAAGAAAACCAACCATGTTTTTGTAGTCTGGTTCCCTGACCCCACTATAGATGAGACGGAGCAATTTATAGAGTTTAGGGAATTGTAAGGTCAGAGAATCAGTCTAGAAGGCTTGCACCCCTTCACAGGTGTGTAATCAATTGCAAAGAAAATGCGGAATAACTAAATATAAAAAATTAGGAGCACTTTTTGAAAAAAAGTCAGTTTTCTCCAACGCTGGTCGGCCGACCAGCGTTGGAAAAATACAACGTTTCTTGAAAATGTCAACACACCAGGAGCCATGATTTTACAAGACGCTTGAGACTGTCATTCCCTAACAATCCAGTAAGATATTTTGTGATAATTTGATCATTTGGTTTTTAGATGTTTACAAATGTTGTATCCTCCCTTTAAGCTGTGCCCATCTTCAGGAGAATTGGAAACGATTTTCAGTTCACAAGCTTTCGTGGTTTTCTTCTTTTTTTTTTATTTTGGCAACGGCTGCCAATCACCGAGTTCATCGATACTGACAAAAAAGCCATCATTATATTGCATTCTATTTGAACTTCAAACAAGGCCAAATCTTACCAACTTGACACGGGATCTTCTCGTAACCGGGACCTTCGACTTCCGATATTCCGCAGTTTCCATCAATAAGTTTGGGCCAAATGTGCTGCACCCCAACACCCAGAGGGCACACAACACCTGAAACATGCAAACAACTTCATTATTGAGTTTTGCTGGCCAAAGCAAAAGCAATATTTGGTCCCTGTAACTTTCTGACAAATTATAGAGTCCAGCAAATATATTTTTTTAAGAAATGTTATAAAGAGAGAATCACACAGCAAAGTCAATGGCATTTTAAAGCAGCTTTATAGGTGTTTGCATTTTGGACAACAATTTACATGTATGCAAATTGCCAAATTATGCAAAAGTTTCAATTCTGTAAGATTTGCATTAGGCCATATTACTTCCAATAATATGTTTTAAACTTCATAGAAATCCATTTTAAATAAGGGAAAAAATGCGTGTTTGGGAGGTATTAGGCCTATAACACTCTGTTTAAGACCGGTTGGAGTCTGGGGTGGGTGATAATTACCATGGAGCTATATCTCCATGTAATTACAGAGTGTTTAATACCGACCAAGCACATATTTATTCCCTTTCATAAATACCTTTTCGGTCAAAAAACAAATCTTTTCGGTCCAACCATTTTGCTCAACAATTTTACTGCATGTTTTATGAAACACCCCTCGGACTCAATATGGAATGTCCCTCTACAACTCCTTACCTTTTATGAAGATTGGCGCACGCATCGTGCGTACTGCGCGATGTCGCGCAGAATGCACCTGGGGCGTTGCGTTGTGAATTTAGGACTATAAAATACTGACTCACTGGTAGTATTGTGCATCCAATAAAATGGTTGAGGCACTGGATTTTTAGGAGTCCAAATTTCATGTGACACCATGAGCTACATGTAGCCATGTCTTTATCATCCGTTTAAGACTGGCCACGTGACGGGCTCTCAACCAATAGGAATGGGTAAGCTGTCTTAGGTATTTACAATATATGAATAAACAATAACTGGACTTTTGAATCAGATTTTTATCGCTCACAGTCACAATATAAAAGTAAATGATTTTTCCCCCCGGTCCTTCGCACTGTCCAGGCATGCACTGGGCCCTCTCAGCGATGCGACCAGACAATGTCAGATGGCCCGCCGTCACAGCATGAACAAAATAGGCCTACAGTTCCTATCCCGCTCCACACAATGCAGTAACACGGAACATGTACTGTGTGCACGCGTATAATCACTATTAACTATACAGTGTTAGTTAGGCCAACAAAAAAATAAAACTTCTGCTTCCGGTTACCCGACCGACCCTATTTTTAGGCTGCGACCCTAAAAAATTTATCGGCAATTCCAAAAAAAAAAAAAAATAATGATTGAATAAATAAAAATAAAAACCTGTTGTCTTTTCTGTCTTCACAAAATACCTCTCAACAAGCCTTTTGCATAAAAAAAAATGTTTGTATTTATTTGTTTTCTTACTTACATTCGCTACTATTTTCAAAAGAAACCTCCATTATTTTTACATATTCGCTTCGCGATATGTATAACTACTTCGCAATTCGATGTCACGGTGACTATAATCACGTGCATAAACCTCGCTCAATGCAGCGACGACTGGTTCCCGCTGTGCCGCGCAGGGGCCGATTTAGAAGACATGATGGAAATGCGGTTACTAGTCTGTGCACGGCTATGCGATTGATAGCGCTAGCATGGCTATGCATTGGGCACGTGCACTGTCAACTGGTTGGATTCGACATTGTAGAAATGCCAAGAAAACACCGATGGAGAAAGAACAATTTTGCAAGTTAATTCACAAAATTAATCTAGCTTGTCTGTGTATGTATTTTCAGTGTTCAAGAGTTCATTTTGAGATCGCACTACTCGTATTTGGAGTGATACATGCAGCATGTTTCCCGAAATTTTCGACCGTAAAACGAAGTCTGTTGGCCGTGGGCCACACATGCACAGTGCATCACATACTTCGGAGTTTTGGCCAGCTTCCCGTCTTGACTAGCGTTGTGCATATGGTGCGAACGACCTGAATTTTCCATCATTGTTTACGAATTATCGAACGCAAATATATTGACAATAATTAAGGTAGGTTTTATTCACTTTTTGTGGCCACCCATTCAATCTGCATAAAAAAAAAATGGCAAAAAAAAGAAATTTCCGACCGACCGACCCTATTTTTGAAAGGCATGTCATCGGAAGCAGAACTATTTTTGGGGGGCCTTAGTACATGCCATTACTAGTCCGAGTAACTAGGACTCTACAAACCTCATGTAAGTGCATGAAACAGTCGTCGGGTGTTACGCTTCCGCATGACGTCATGCGCCAACTAGTACCAGCGCGCTGTGCATGGTAATCGACCGCCATTCATTGTACACAAAGTTTGTTTGTGCACAAATCCAATTGCAGTCCTCACCATGCCTGCAAGGTTGTCGGTTATTCCTCTTTTTTTCACTGCAATTGTAGGCTGAATCTTTATCGTGGATCGTTTTTTACTTCGAGGACCTGTGTAATGGTTATTCCAGGCAAGGTTTGGGTGAGTTGCAGTTGCAATTAGTGTGTAACAGGGACAAAATTTTTTTTGGACCTGCCAATGCTGCTGGTTCGAGTGAAAAACTTCCTCCAGCCCTAAATGACAACCCAATGATAAAATTTAGGGCTGGGTAACTCCAGCTACCTGATTCTACTAAAATAAAAACCAACCCACACTAAACGCCTTCAAAACCCAACTAGACAAGATAAATATCGGCCAACTTTCCACCCATGCGCACTTCAAAATTTAGTGATCGACCAGCACCATATAGTCGTGTTCCCTAACATGGCGTACTTCGAAGCTTACCCAACTTTCCTTGTGTAGTGTTGCCAAATCTCTTTGTTGAGCAACCTCAAATTCATGCAGTGAAATACTGGTACTTTTACCTTTTTAATGCTTGCTATTAAACCTCTGTGAACAATTTCGGTTTCATAAAATTTAATCCGAAATGCAAAAAAGGTCGCGTCCGGAAATTGGGCACAAATTGGCGGAGTGTTCCCTAACTTGGGGCACTTGAAAAGATCTCGGAAAATTCCAAATTAACATTAAAATTACATAAGAATTTCTGTAAACTTGATAAATTCTGATAAATCATTATTATCTTTACTTACAAACCCTGCCAGATGTTTGTCAGAAAATTATTTTCTTATTTTTTCGGGGCATTTTCAAAGGGTTCACTTTGCACTTGAAAATAAAATTGCAAAATCACGCCAAAATTATTTTTTCTTTTAACTTTGTAACAGGTAAATAAACTCGCGATTTACAAACGGGAGTGTTTAGAACTTGATGAAATTTCACTTTCTGTGGAATTTCAGTTAAAACTTTTGCTCTAGCAAGGCGCTACCGGCGAAAAATCAGTGCGCCACGTATAGGGGCCGCGCCATGTTAGGGTACATCAACAATATGTGTAGCTTACACAACAGATACAGACACTACAGTCATGACAGTACTGACATCTGCACAGCTGCACACACATGAACGATTGACGCTATGTTAAACGTTCGGTAACAGGTCATCTCGTACCTTGGGCAACTCGTACCTTGGACAACTCGTACCTTCGCCAAGTCGTACCTTCAGTTAAGACAACTCGTACCATCACGCATAAGTCAAGTCGTACCGTCAGTCAGGATAATGATCCGAGGCTGAATGAAGTGGACCGTAACTCATTGAAAGTGGCTTATTTAAATAAAGGCGAATCTCTTTTTGGTATGGGCTCTCTTTCACCCCCAAAAGAGGAATTTATTTAGCGCGAAGCCGGCCGCGGCAGGTTACACGCACTGTGTGCGCGGCATGCACAGGCCCACGCGGTACGTTTGCGGTCAACCTACGGCAGCCATCCGTGCAAAGTGACACGGTTCTTGCGCCGCACAGACCGGTCAAAATATGGACGTCTGTGCACGGTGACATTGATGCAGTCTGCTGTTACATTTAGAGACTTAGGCTACGTGCAAATATTATGGAACTGATGTTTTTATCCAAGATTCACGTCTTACCATCATTTTTGCAATGAATGACCATCATTGAGATATAATGAAGAAAAAAGTGGCGTCAGGTTGCAACATTGTTCCTATTATTGATCCCTATAAATCACCTGAACTACTTTTTTCTTCATATATATTATCACCGCAAAAATGATAAGACGTGAATCTTGGACTGACAAATATTTCCAATTTTGTTAGGAAATACTAATTTTCATCCCAAACTATGTGTTTACCGCAATTTTTTTTTTTTTTTTTACAGATGAACCTGCGGGTTTCTGATGAACCATTGCGCTGCTCAAGAGATGATTGCTTGTCTGCAGTTCATCGTGAATCGATTTCATTTCAACAAGTCGAACTATGACGAAACCTCTGGCTAAACCCCCGCCCCCACAATTTGTAAATATTTCGAATAAACCAGTTGATGAATAAACCAACTCTGATTTTTTTTTTACATTTTAGACTTTCAGACTTATAGCTAGCTATAAATAAAAAATTCCCCGCCCCCCCCAAAAAAATTATGAATCCTTCTGTTAAAAAAGGTAACCCGAAGAAAAGTACCAAAAAATAATATTGAAATTTTAACAAATTCTGATGATAAAAAAAAAAAAAAAATTATTTTGCAAAATAATCGCTAAAACTTCGTGGCAGCATAAGTAATAAGTATATCTGCCAATTCATGTTACCACCAGATTTTCTGAAAATGATCACGAATAATGATTCTGAATAATCACTGACGACGTCACCACGCCAAATCCAGAACCTAAAAAGAACAAAAAAGTATATTACATTTTTGGATATGACCAAATCAAACGGTAATTATGCAGAGTATGAACAAAATTACATTTCTCCGTTAATAAAAAACAACACAAGGACCCGCCCCAAAAAAAAGACTTAAAGAAAACAAACATTCCCAATAATATTGAATGATATTGATAATGACCTCTTGTTTCCTACCTCCATGCAATAACCAAATATACAACCAAGCCTATGCCAGTAATCAGTTCACACTCAAACTAAATAATCACTTTTGATATCACCTGGTCCTTACCAAATCCAGAACCTAAAAAGAAAAGAAAGAAAATAATATGATTTAAATTTAGATAACAATTTAAATTCATAGTTTGATTAATTATGCTAGACTATGTACGAATTTGTATGCCCCGGCCCGACACGGAAAGCACGTGCAAAGCCATTGCAATATGGTTCTTTGGAACAAAAATTAAATTGCAAAACATCGTATCATGTGGGAGTCAAGGAACCATACACTAAAAGAATAAACCGTCGATGTCATCTGGTCCTTGCCAAATCCAGAACCTAAAAAGAAAAAAAAAAGTATATTAAAATTTACTTCACAAGTTATCTTACTTCTTAGTTACCGAATCAAACGAATACAGGTCAACTCGTACACGAGCCAACTCGTACGCGACCAACTCGTACGCAGGACAACTCGTACGCGGACCAACTCGTACGCGAGTCAACTCGTACGCGGGATAACTCGTACGCGGACCAACTCGTACGTGGACCAACTCGTACGCGTGAGTATAGACTAGCAGCCGTAGCACAAGGGATTTTACTGAAACCGTATGTTCGGGCGTGTACATGTAGGAAATGAGGGTCAGTCAGTTGTCCGGCACATTCTTTTTTCCTTAAGTTAAGGGGATTATTTTGTGTTACTGAGTAGTCCCAATTAGTTCATCTTTAAATCAGCTTGTTTTGCTCATAACAAAAAGGTTATGATTTGTTTTCCTGGACCCGCACTCGCACACTGTCGATGTCCGGTCCGTTCCTTGCTCACACACACCGTACGCTATACAAGATAATGCCACGTAGTGAGAATTTAAATCGTATAATGTCCGCTGCATTTGTAGACTTCCCAACATAACAATACACTGTTATAGTGGCCCCGCACTATGTGTAAATCAAATCGTTGTATATCTTGACAAATTCTCCACACTAGCTGCGTGGTTGGAAGTGCATGCCGCGGCATTGCACTACACATCGATCGCAATTAAAATGGATCATGCTTTTTTTTAATTTATCATTGAAACTTTTGAACCTGAACCTGAACATCATTGCATTTATGGAATTTAAAATTGTTGAAAATACATAAGGCTACAATCCCAGTCTTTCAGTCGTACAATCAGACCACTGTGATAAATCGTTAACTTTGGCGTGTGTTTTGGGGTAAACTTCAAGTTGGCGATCGTCCGTGTACGAGTTGGCTGGCGTACGAGTTGGTTCGCGTACGAGTTGGCCCGCGTACGAGTTGTCTGGCGTACGAGTTGGCTGGCGTACGAGTTGTCTCGCGTACGAGTTGACCAATCCGCGTACGAGTTGTCTCGCGTACGAGTTGGTTCGCGTACGAGTTGACCTGTTTCCAATCAAACGTTGAATATGCACAAGGAATGTACAACTACAAGTACATGTAATTCCATTAAAAACAGAATATCAGTGCCACGCCCGCCGCGCAGGCCGGCCGCTTCCGAGTCACCTGCATTGGTACCGCGCCCGACCGACCGCTGCTCGCGCCCTCGGAGGTCGGCTCAGCCTTCAATTTCATTGCCCTGCGCCAGGCCCAACGCGGAAAATCACGCTGCCTGGCAAAGCCATTAGATCTTGAATGTAGTTCTGTGGAATAGAAATTAACTTTGACTTGAAAAGAATCGTATCGTTTCGGAGTCAAGGAACCACACTGTGCATACTTAGTCACGCACGTACTCTACTTTTTATTCTGATGGTACTACGAGTCGTCTTAATTGAAGGTACGAGTTGTCCAAGGTACGAGTTGTCCAAGGTACGAGATGTCCAAGGTACGAGATGTCCAAGGTACGAGTTGTCCAAGGTACGAGTTGTCCAAGGTACGAGTTGCCCAAGGTGAAGGTACGAGTTGACTCGAATTTTAAGTCGAAAGCAACTTTTTACGGCAAATTACGGGCATACAAAATTCTTACCAACGCCAGTGACAACAACTCGTGTACTGCCCGTAGAATAACTTCTTCCTCTGGAAGCTTTCACAGACTTAAACAACGACAAAACTTTCCCTTTCTGCTGAACTGTCAGGAGTTTGATCCAGCAGAGCATTTTTATTTCGAAGTGGCTATCGTTACGGCACTCGTTGTTTAGCGCCCTCTACGATATTTTTTTGGTACGCACGCAGGTATATAATTATTTGTTTCCACATGTTTTATCGAGCAGTGCGCCAGCTCAGCCGATAGAGGGTAGGATTTTGCACCGCGAGGTTGCGGGTTCGGATCTCAGTTTTGCACTCGAATTTTTTTCCTTTTCTAACCTGAGGCTTTGGAGGATTTTTTTTAAAAGGGAAATAAAGTCCGAATTTCATAAAGTTCAAATTCACTTTTTTCCTTCTAATTTTATATTTTCTTGTCATGTTTTTTTTATAAAAGTTGCCAGGTTGCAGTCTACCGTAACGATAGAAAATGGGAAATGCGTTACGGCTGCCGTAACAATAGCCACTGCGTTTTTATTTACTTTCTCTCGATGGAAAAGCTGCGTGCCGCTTTATTTAGAAAATTGACTTGCGCCCTCTGCAGTTAGACATAATTAAAAGTCTCACGTTTGAGGGCGCCCTTCTCAATTAATGGTGAGTAAAAGATCGATATAGGTGCACTGAACTAATTCAAGCCCCATTGAAAACAGTGTAAAATCAACAAAGTTCACTTAATAACATGCAAGCCGACATCACTGGGGTTTCTCAAACAAAAATTAAATTATTGTCTTGTACTTCATCTTTTCATTTCTTTTCAATTTTGGGTGGATTATAGCTGACTACATTTTTAAATATTCACACCAAAACAAATCACCTCCCGAAAGTGATAGTTCCCAAGCCTGCATGTAGCCGTTTTACAAGTGGCATCCTTCCACTTTCTCAGGCAAATAGGACCCATTTTTCAACCGTAATTTTGTCAAACCTGCCCTCAGATGGAAGCCTAAAAACCAGGGAGTTGATCCATGGCTACATTTACACAATTCCACCGTTTTTAAAGCCAACTTGGTCTCCGTTTTCAAAAGAAACTGTGGGGTCACTTTTTATGCTAATCAGCTCAATCAGCTCGCGTAGAAATTCTCACTTGAATAAGTTCACTGAACCCCGATGTACAATTACTGGGGAAACAATTATCTCCAAAGCTGCAAGCCAATGCATGAGTGACGTTATGCCATGTAATTTCTGGAAGGAGTTGCATTTTTAATACAAAAATCAGGCTTTTGACCCTACATGACCCCATGCTGACCTTGCACCCCATACAATTTGGTGATGTGACATACAGTCATGCGGTTGAAAAACGAAGGCGATTTCTAAAGGTTACGTAACACTTCATTTTGAATGAAACTACATGTGGACACACATGTTCACGTTGGCGGGCGAAATTTAATCTTTGAAATTAATTTCTCCCGTTTGGAAGACCGTATCTTCATGCAACTTTCGGGGTTTACTTTCCTCATAATGATTCAAGTATGTGCTAAAAATCGTTGTGATGTGTTCAAGACTCAAACAATATCACTAAAAATAATATTCTCTCCGAGTCTCAATTTGGATTTAGACAAAATCGTTCAACTGAATTAGCGATACCGTATGTAATTAGTAAATTATGTAATGCACTTGATCAAAATAACTTCTCCATAGGCATTTTCTTGGACTTATCTAAAGCATTTGATACTTCACGATATTCTTATAAGTAAATTAGAACATTACGGAATGCGGGGAACAGCTTTGGACCTACTGAAAAGTTATGTGTGTAACAGAAAGCAGTATATGTGTCATTTAACTCTATAACTTCAACCAGCCGATTCATTACGTGCGGGGTACCTCAGGGTTCCGTATTGGGTCCTTTACTATTTCTTCTCTATATTAATGATATATGTAATACTTCAGACACTGTAACATTTTGTTTATTTGCAGATGATACAAGTTTGTTGTATACTTACGATAATGTAGATGAAGCAATTAGTAACCTAAATGTGGAACTTGAAAAAATCAGTACATGGCTTCTCGCAAATAAATTATGTATTAATGTCGTCAAGTCAAATTATATGATTTTTTGTGCCAATCAGTTTAAGTACACACAATCTGTTCCTCTGATTTTGAATAACTCAAGGCTTAATCAGGTTAAGATAACTAAATTCCTGGGTGTAACTATTGATGAAAATCTCACTTGGAAAAATCATATTGATGAAGAAGCAACAAAAATTTCAAAGAACATTGGAATAATGAACCGTTTGAAATATTACCTTCCGAGTAAGATTTTATTAACATTGTATAATTCATTTGTTTTACCATACTTAAACTACTCAATCTTGACCTGGGGTAGTTCGCCATCTAAGTGTAACAAATTACTTACTTTACAGAAACGAGCAGTTCGTATAATTTCGAATGCTGGCTATCGTGATCATTCTGCTCCATTATTTGCTAAATTAAATATATTACAATGTAATGACTTATATTACCTTAATTTAGGAAAACTAATGTATAAATGTATGCATAATTTACTTCCGTCATGTTTTAATTCTTGTTTTACCTTAGCATCTAGCGTTCATGTATATAATACTCGAAGTAGTGCTAGGGGAAATTTGTTTGTCCAATTTAACAGAACGTCAATGTCAAAAAATAGTGTTATTCACCGAGGCACTTTAAATTTGTACTGGAATAGTTTAGATGATACTCTAAAATCGTTACTTTCACTATCTGTCTTTGTCAAAAAATTTAAAAACTCATTTTCTCGAATCATATTCATAAATTGAAATTCCATTATTTTGTGTATTAATATTTAGGCCTTGTCTCACGCTTGTCCTGTCTGTCTCACGTATTGTTTTGTTTGTCCTTTGGTCGTATGTTTGTCCATAGGTAAGGGCACAAAAGCGTTCTGCTTAACCTTATACCTAAATGTTGTCATTTAATTTCACACTTTATAATTAATCACTGTGTACATATTGTTGCGTTCCCTAATAGCAGCTCGTGAAACATTTATTAGAGTCAACAATAATTCAATAAGTTGGAGGGAAACAGAGCTTTGGGGTGACAGTCACACATGTCAATACACTGATTTATTCATCTCTTCACTTTGCATAACTTTGTTAGATTTCATCAACCTATAGGGTTTCTCCTTTTGGTAGTCTTTGGTAGCGTTATAGAGATAACAGGTTGGCGTCTACAAAGTCTATACATGTAATATGTACAATGGCAAAACCATGTCAACCAATACGAACTGAGTGGGCACCGGCACGGTACGGGTTATCGACGGTCAGACCGAAGCGGGAGCGGTCCGCTACGGTGACCGGGGAGGCAACGGCAACTGGACGGGGCCAGCAAGTGTACCAGGCCGCACTACAGTTCGAACCAAAGTGTGCATGTGGCGTATCGGGTATCCAAGGTCAATCGAGGCACTATGCACCAAGGATAGTGTTTATGACAAGACCGGGCTAGCATAGCTGAACTACGGGGGAAATGGCTACGGGGAGCCGGCTGGCCACAGCGGGAGCGGTCCGCTGTGGTGACGGGGATGAACTAGCTCTGGCTGGGCTAGAACACCAGACAACCGCACAACATGTTCAAGCTAAGACTAGCAGTCCAATGGCCATTCGAAACCGCACAGCACCATTGGGACTAGTGTATTACTATTTCACCAGCTTCTACACACTCCTCGAGGGATCTAGGAGAAGGATGCTTCATAATAACACTAGTACTAGTGATTGCACTATTACTTCACCGCGCCTCAACCACCGAGGGAGGCCGATGCTTCGTAGTGACTAGAGTCGCACAACAATTGGTCATTGGTCTGTCAGAGTCGAGTTCGCCGCACATCATACGATTTACCACACAACATATAAGTTGATCGCCGCACAACTTTGGGTTTAGGGTTCGTTCGCACTACATTGGTTTCGTGGTTCGCCGCACTGCCGAAAGTGAGGAAAACCTCCGGTATTTATAGGCAGTAGAAGTATCGGGATTAAATAATGCATGATCACTGATTTAGGAATTAACCAATAGTAATCTTCCATGTCTAAGGGTCACATGTCTAGTCACATGATTTACTAAGAGTGCCTAGTGCAAGAGACTAGAAACGTGTGCATTTACATGAGGGAAAACATGGAGAGAGAAGTGTGCAAATACAGAGAGAGATGTGTGCAAATAGTGCGATCAGAGTGCAAAAGTGTTTACACAACATCTCGAGCAACCTTGATGGAGTGAGTGACAAGCTAAAAGGTTACTATGTCACAGGTTATTTACATCACAGGATGTCTTACCACGCCCAGCTACGCGACCACGCAAGGGTAACATTCCATTCCCTCGAGCTAAGTACGGGACTGGGAAACTGGACCGAGAACTCCAGTTAGTGTTCATGGGTAACGCACGGGGGAGAGAAATGCTCCGTGCCGCTGAGCAGTCTCTCGGAGATCGCCAAAGCACGCATGCTATGGGAAAAGGAACTTAGCTCGCTGGGGCGAAGGGAGGTGTGGTCAGTCGCGCACATGTACATCGCTACATGAATAATGCATACAGTAGCGCGCGTGGTATTGCATCATGCGCTGTGTGTGTTCTTATTCCTCCATGGTAAGAGACCCTGGGAATAAAAGTGCAAGTTGGCAATTTACGATAATTAGGTAACATAAATGAACAGCAAAAGACAACAATAAGATTGTGTACTTCATGGACAGAGTGAATCCAGAGGGCGCTAGATTTCCATAATCAAGCATTCTGGGTTCGTAACACTATTCCCCCTCAAGTTTTTACAACGTCCTCGTTGTAACCAAGAGGAAAACAGTAGAGTCAATACAGTTATTTGAAGGTGGCTCGTAGAAACTCCAGTTCATGAGTTCAGATCGAGGTAGAGTAGTGAACACAAAAAAACACGAATTACGCAGGGCACAGCATATAATTCGTTGAGCAAAGCCTAGAGTTCTTCTAGAGTTCGTGGTGACTGTCACTTTTTGATGTTTTGTATCTAAACTACTTGTAATAGAACTAAATTCTACGGAGACTAAAAGCTACTAATTCGGAAATACAAGAAGGAAAATAACATAAACAAAACAAGAGTACACTGTTCGAGTTCTTCGAGTGTCAGCGACATTGTCCTTGGTTAGACACACTGTGATCGCAAACACAGCTGTTGCGTCCGGATTTATGAATGGACGGTCACTGCATTGTTTACTTCCGCATTCCTGACCTTAGCGGGTTCAACAGAAAACGGACTCGTAGAGGGCTAGTTGAGATCTACGAATCTCGCTGGTGTACGCTGAGTGCGAGAACTTCGGCGGATGGGGGAAGTGTTCGTTGCAGTTTTTGTGGGGGGGAGCGTTGACTGCAACAGGTAGTTCTGGGATGTTGTTCTGGGCTGTCGAAGGAATGGACGGTGTCTCAGGCGGAGGACAGTTTAGGCGCAAAGTCTTTTGCAAGTCTGTCATCCATTTGGGAACATCATCGCTGTGGTACTGTTTCAGTCGGTCACGGTGGTCGATGGGGTGATTGGTCTAACCAATCAAGTACAACTTTCAGTCCGGGGTCTGCTCGTTGCATTGCAGCAATCTCCTCTGATGTGTAACCGTTAACCCAAGATGAGTGATGTCCAGCACTGGAACCGGTGTTAGCGACCATAGGGGCACGATCACTTGAACCATCATTTTCTTGGTCGTTTTGCTCGTCAGTAAGATTAGATAGTTCTGCACTTTGCGATCCGGCACTTGAACCGGATTCTGCATCTTTATCGGGGACACAGGGCGAGTCGCAGTTCTTTTCTTTTCTCACTGAGTCAGGGGAGTTTTTAGCACGTTTTGGTCGTGTTGCCCGAATGGCGGCGGACGTGGGGTGTCCGGGAGTTTCTCCAATAGGGATGGCTGTGTGCGTAAAACGACTATTGAACTTTCCATCGTCAAAGTCGCCGGTAAACTCACTGCACGAGCGCCAAATGAGTTTACCTAAGCTGCACACAGGAACCAGTAGGAGGGTTACCATCGTTGCCATCAGCACGAGGACTGTCGCAAAGGATACGGGCTTGACCGTGTCGGAGATGACGTCACTGCACGGGGGCGGGACATCAGTCGGCTTGGTTCGAGGGATTTGAACTTCAGCAGAGTCAGTTTTGATGGTTCGGGTTGATAGGGGGATTACGTTGTCGACTCGGAAGGACACGGTCCGCCGTGGAGCACTATGGTCGGTGCGTACTCCTTGGTGACACGCCGGTTGACGACTGGGGTGTTCCTGGCGATGGCATAGAGGGCGTGCTTGCCTTAAGCAGTGACGCTGCCCGTTGCTCTGCCTCAACAGCACGCTTTTCTGCCTTCTTAAGTTCTCGTTTCAGAGTGTCCAGCTGGTCTGCTTCATCAGGCCGCAATGATACGGAGCCGAATGACAGCTCAAGGTCATCTGCTTCTGCAGAGGCATTAAGCCTACGCGACTTACGATATTTTTTTGGCATGGTGTATACAGGGGTATGGCACCACGAAGATAACGTGTATAACCTCGGTCGAGCTGTAATGGCTGGCTAAGTCGAAGTTACTAAAGGTGTAACTCAGAGTTCAGTGTTCAAAGGTTTGAAAAAAATCAGATAAACGATTTTTCATATATCGGCGGAGTGTATCAGTCTGTATCTCACCGCTGCCACCAGTGTTGCTGTGACCGGATAGCAGTTCGTGAAACATTTATTAGAGTCAACAATAATTCAATAAGTTGGAGGGAAACAGAGCTTTGGGGTGACAGTCACACATGTCAATACACTGATTTATTCATCTCTTCACTTTGCATAACTTTGTTAGATTTCATCAACCTATAGGGTTTCTCCTTTTGGTAGTCTTTGGTAGCGTTATAGAGATAACAGGTTGGCGTCTACAAAGTCTATACATGTACTATGTACAATGGCAAAACCATGTCAACCAATACGAACTGAGTGGGCACCGGCACGGTACGGGTTATCGACGGTCAGACCGAAGCGGGAGCGGTCCGCTACGGTGACCGGGGAGGAAACGGCAACTGGACGGGGCCAGCACGTGTACCAGGCCGCACTACAGTTCGAACCAAAGTGTGCATGTGGCGTATCGGGTATACAAGGTCAATCGAGGCACTATGCACCAAGGATAGTGTTTATGACAAGACCGGGCTAGCATAGCTGAACTACGGGGGAAATGGCTACGGGGAGCCGGCTGGCCACAGCGGGAGCGGTCCGCTGTGGTGACGGGGATGAACTAGCTCTGGCTGGGCTAGAACACCAGACAACCGCACAACATGTTCAAGCTAAGACTAGCAGTCCAATGGCCATTCGAAACCGCACAGCACCATTGAGACTAGTGTATTACTATTTCACCAGCTTCTACACACTCCTCGAGGGATCTAGGAGAAGGATGCTTCATAATAACACTAGTACTAGTGATTGCACTATTACTTCACCGCGCCTCAACCACCGAGGGAGGCCGATGCTTCGTAGTGACTAGAGTCGCACAACAATTGGTCATTGGTCTGTCAGAGTCGAGTTCGCCGCACATCATACGATTTACCACACAACATATAAGTTCGCCTCACAACTTTGAATTTTGGGGTTCGTTCGCACTTCATTGGTTTCTTGGTTCGCCGCACTGCCGAAAGTTAGGAAAACCTCCGGTATTTATAGGCAGTAGAAGTATCGGGATTAAATAATGCATGATCACTGATTTAGGAATTAACCAATAGTAATCTTCCATGTCTAAGGGTCACATGACTAGTCACATGATTTACTAAGAGTGCCTAGTGCAAGAGACTAGAAACGTGTGCATTTACATGAGGGAAAACATGGAGAGAGAAGTGTGCAAATACAGAGAGAGATGTGTGCAAATAGTGCGATCAGAGTGCAAAAGTGTTTACACAACATCTCGAGCAACCTTGATGGAGTGAGTGACAAGCTAAAAGGTTACTATGTCACAGGTTATTTACATCACAGGATGTCTTACCACGCCCAGCTACGCGACCACGCAAGGGTAACATTCCATTCCCTCGAGCTAAGTACGGGACTGGGAAACTGGACCGAGAACTCCAGTTAGTGTTCATGGGTAACGCACGGGGGAGAGAAATGCTCCGTGCCGCTGAGCAGTCTCTCGGAGATCGCCAAAGCACGCATGCTATGGGGAAAGGAACTTAGCTCGCTGGGGCGAAGGGAGGTGTGGTCAGTCGCGCACATGTACATCGCTACATGAATAATGCATACAGTAGCGCGCGTGGTATTGCATCATGCGCTGTGTGTGTTCTTATTCCTCCATGGTAAGAGACCCTGGGAATAAAAGTGCAAGTTGGCAATTTACGATAATTAGGTAAAATAAATGAACAGCAAAAGACAACAATAAGATTGTGTACTTCATGGACAGAGTGAATCCAGAGGGCGCTAGATTTCCATAATCAAGCATTCTGGGTTCGTAACAATATCTATCTAATATTATACTAGTGACTTTTTGTAATGTATACATGTTTGTACATAATTGTAATGAATGACATCATTGAAATAAATGTTACTACTACTACTACTACTACTACTACTACTACTACTACTACTACTACTACTACTACTACTACTACTACTACTACTACTACTACTACTACTACTACTACTACTACTACTTTTCGTTGAAAGTGGAAAAATAGTCCAGACTACGTGTATCATTGAAAGTTGTAACACTGACGTTTGCAATAGTTGTCAATCCTTTCAAGCCTCAGGAATATTGAAAAGGTTCCTATCCATTATGGTGTGCAGTAAACATTTTGAGTATTTTAAGCCTCCTTTGCGAGTTATTAATTGATAAATATCACCTTTTTTTGCGGGCTTCCATTGGTCGATACCGAGACCCACGCCAAAACACGCCTAGTGACGCTAATGAATATGCTAATCCACAATATTGTGTGGCTTGGCCGAAATCGATCAACCGACGTATAGCGCCTAAGGTGCTTTGCTGAACAATGCAAGTGACTTGGCTCGGCAGAAATCATCGTCGAAATTTTCCATGGAGATGTTTTAAATTGTAACACTAGCGTTTGCAACAACAGATTAAGCTGAAATTCGGAATATATTTCGATGATAAAGGTAAGGTGTTCAACTACTTGTGAAATATAAATTTTGAGAAATTCCTAGAAATATATATAAATACAGAGAGTTGGGGAAGTTTTCGAGCGATTTCTTCCAGACTTGATAGTCAGCTATAACAGTAACCAGCCCAGTGACGGCGATTTTTTTTCACTGACATGAAGCTAAGAATTTCTTCTTCCGTTATAATTTAACTTTTCAATCATGCTAAGCATATTTTCCGAGAAACACAACGTTCAAAAGGCCATGTTCTAAGTACGTAATCGGATTAGTTTTGCTTAACAACGGCAGACGCTTTGCCTTAGCAACCACATGACTGTATAGTGGGGCTGCATGGATTCGTGGTTTGACAAAGAAATTGGTGAAAATATGTAGGAGGGCAAGACAATGTCATCAACGTCTGTAACTGACCGATCGACCGACCGACCGACCGCCGACCGACCGGGCCGACTGACCGACCAACCGATGTACAGTGTAATAAGTTGTAATCCGTCCCTTGAATTTCTCCATATTGATAATGTCGATCAACTTCAAGAAGAATGTTTTTCTCCGAGTCCAATTTTAAAACACATTTTTACATCGACAGTTTTGTTTCTCTAGCTTTGGGGTCCTTTTCAATGACGCTGGCTGGTTAAACGAGGATTTCTTTACTAATCATTTGCTTACATATGAAGTTTTGTTAAAAGTAAGTGAGTTACATGGGGCGTGCGCAGCAGGTTTTACTCATTACGCCGACAACCCTCTAATTAGTCCTTAAATAGTTCTGCTATCGACACTGTATTTGATTACACAAAATAGGAATTCCCCAAGTTAGCCAGAACATTTTTTTCACAATGCTAAATAAATGTAACCCCTGCAAATTAATAGCAAAGTAATCACGCGGTTTTGATCTTGTTTATTTTTGCTGTGTTTTAACAAATGTATTCAATTTAAATTAGAAATGGAAACAGAAGTTGGCCTATTTTAAGTGGAGGAGTAATTATTTTACAACCTTAATTTTGAATCATCCCCCGGGATGACTCACTTAAAACACTTTTCAGTACGGCACCGAAGGTGCATGTACCTTTCTTTTCTTTTTCTTTTTTACCTAAAACAGTTATTCCTGTAAATAGGATATCTCAGCTAGAGTGGTTATGACTTCCATTTTTAATTAAACCTTTCTTTTTAAATATCCATTTCTAATTATTTCTTATTATGTGTCACCATTTTTAGTGCAATCTGGTTCTCAAAAACCAATATGCAATTCCTGAAAATTGGGGGTTAGGTAAGAAAGGAAACACCGCAGACAAATACATACTCTAAACAAAAGCTGAAAATGATTCTGACGACTGCCAGCATAGACGCAGTTTTAACAAAACAATTATTACCACAAAATGTCACCGCAGTTTTTCCTTTATGAAATTTCGCATGAACAATAACTTCTCATACAACATTATACTCCAATTCTATGACCCTTTAAAAGCTGAAGTGTTTCTTTAAAAGATCACGTCGATAGAATGTTGATGGAATTCGTTTACTTTCTGCTTTTAATTTATTAGCAGTAAATACAAACATTGGAAACCAAGGTCAGAAACACTTAATTATGACAACACGAATTTTATGAACTGAAAAAAGAGGGAGCAATTAAGGGAGAGTAAAAAAAATTGAAACAGAGTGGTCAACAAGTCATCACATGTCAGAAATTACATTTACATTTCCCTTTCTGGAACTGAATATCTAGCGGGCATGATATAGTCAAATGCATACGCCGACACAATTAATTTTTACCGGTTATACGCTTGTGTATTTTGCTTGAAACCAGTGAGTTTTATTTCATTTCCGGCTAAAAAGGGATAAGATTTTAAACGTTGCATATCTAATATAAATATCCTCAATAAAGAATATCTATATTACAAAAAGAAAACCCAGGGTTCTAATAATTACAAAACAATTAATACAATTAATGCAATGAATAAAAAAGGGGAGACTAAAGGTCCTTTCTTGATCCGTTGTTGTAGACTTGCTTGACGGGACTTGCTTGACTTGGCGGAACTTGCTTGACTTGACGGAACTTGAAGGAACTTGACGGACTTGCTTGACTTGACGAAACTCGACTTGGAGACTTGACTCGACTTGAAGACTTTTACTCTCAATGCATGAATACATGCCCCTTCTGCACTGGCTGCCATGCAGTTGATGAAGTAAAGGGGGCTCACATATCCCTTTTCGGGCACGTCGATGACTCCGGTTTTAAGAAAAAAGGAAAATTTCCGGATGCATAATATATACCGCCCTCATTGTTTTAAAGGCCGGAGGTACATTCGAACCCTCCTACCCCCTCCCTAACACATCTATCCCCCTGCCCCCAACCCCCCTTTTCGAAAAAAAAAATCACTGACAATTAATAGATTTTAAAACATAATATGTCTATACAAACAAATGGACATTGGAAAATTGCAAACATATTGAAAAGTTTAGGGCCCAACTGAATACGCAAAAGATCAATGTGCGAGTGAGACAGCTCCACAGCTTGCCCACTTGACCAAGCGATTTGCATATCACATGCAACACGCTGGCCACGTGCACTCACACAACTGACCTCTGCAAGAAATCCAGTCATTGGGGGAAAACTTTGACGAAAAATGATCAGTGGTTTCTTATCCAATGAAATCGAGTCTTATATGAATGGAAAGAGAACTTCATCCTCTTTACAAAACCGTATACCCCCAGTGTGCTCTGACATTGGGTTCTCGATAAACAACCAAAGGCCTGTCACAAACGGTCATTTTCTGTTCTGCTCCACAGGCAATTGCCTCATACCCCACATTTTCAATAAAAACATGATCAGTGGTTTTTTTGTCTTTCCAAGCCAAACATAAATAAATTTAAAGCCAGAAGAACGAAATTTCATAATATGCAACCCCCAGATTTGTGCGACCGTCCGTTCTGAAGATACAAGGAATTTAATCTTCGTGTTCATTTCCCCACGTTAAAGCTTGTGTGGACATTTCCGGCAGATGCGCGCTACTTCTCATTATAATGGATATTAAAAAATGGTAATAATGTAAAAAAAGAAAGGAAAAAAAAGGCAAAACCTAGGCCTACTGAAATACTTTTTTTTAAAGTTAATATAATTCCGTTTTGTAGAATGAGATGGGAAAGTACGGAAGCGTTAAAGGGACATAATACAAACTAAAAAAAAAAAGAACTAAGTCATAATTATGACTTATATCTCATAATTATGAATATTATTAAGTCATAATTATGACTTATATCTCATAATTATTATTAAGTCATAATTACGACTTATATCTCACAATTATGACTTATTATTAAGTCATAATTATGACTTTTTATTAAGTCATTATTACGATTTATATCTCATAATTATGACTTAGTATTAAGTCATAATTACGACTTATATCTCATAATTATGACTTAATTATTGTTAAGTCATAATTATAAGATATCCTAAGTCGTAATTACGACTTAATACTAAGTCGTAATTATAAGATATAAGTCATAATTATGACTTAATACTAAGTCACAATTATGAGATTTAAGTCATAATTATGACTTAATAATAAGTCATAATTATGAGATATATAAGTCATATTTTGACTTAATAATAAGTCATAATTATGACTTAATAATAAGTCATAATTATATGGCTTAAATAATAAGTCATAATTATGTGAGATATAATTATGACTTTTTTTTTTAGTAGGCCTTATTGCCTTTAACGCCTCAGTAGTGATTCCCTCGTGCAGATCGCGAAGAACATGTTGAACAGTTGGTCGCAACCTCGTCCCCAGTGATTACTTTATTTCCAACCGCGTTTCCAATAGTAAACCCTGGATAGGAAACTTTCTTCCTCATACCGCAATTGGCTAGTAATGGATTTTTATCGTGTACGTACTTGGTGCTATATATTCACAACGTGCATGCAGTACGTGTTTTCGCGATCATTCGTCCACGCCTTCTCGAAAATACTAATTTCCTTTCCAATTTGCTCATATTAATATGAAATATGATACTGCATGTTGTCTCGATAAGATCGTAACAGTTTGATTTCAAAAATCGTGTTTTCGTAACTCGATCACGCCGTGCTCGCGCTGCTACGAATTGACTCTGTTTTTTACCCCAGACACCCCATACAAAAACAAACGCTAATGTGTAACGCATATCCAGTCACCAGACTGTTCCTCATTTGCATACGTGTGCAAAAATCTTGCACATGCAAATGATCCAATACCAGGGTGAGAGAGCAGGTAGTGGTGGGCGCGTACTGCTCGAGACCCTGGGGACGAGGTTGAGTTGGTCGCGAACATGATCTACTAGCTGTGCAGAGTCGACGTACCCAACAACCAGAAGCACACGAAAGCGCACAGGGCGTGCTGTCTCTTGGAGGCGCTCTTCATGTATACTTTTCCACGTCGACTTCCACTTCCGTGTTACTGCTTAGAGGAAACCAACCGAAATATTCGCTTCTTCCTACTCATCAGCAACTCTCAAATTGTTTACCATACAAACCAGAAACGTCAGAAAAATGTGAGCAAACAATATTTATGTAATTGAATCATGGAGAAAACATTTTGTCGTAAAATTCTCATGTGATCGTTCTGGGTAGCTGGGGGTGTAGCATGTACTGATGTAGGCATACAGATGTATTGTTATTGTTAGTGTTATTTAAATTTGTTATGATGCCATTTCGGCCTACTGGACATGCTAGCTGTATCGAGTGACATGCTGGCTGTATCGAGTGACATTACTCGATGCAAACTTGCAAAATACGGCGATCGTGTAGTGTAGGGCCGACGATCCCCCAACTATTACTAGCGATATTTTGATGGACGTATATGGCAGATTGGATTAAACCTTTAAAATGTCTGTGAATTCGCTTCTTCACGTGGACACGGCCTCATGGCTTCTCTTAATTTTACCTTTTTTTGTGTGCCGTTTTCGTTTATTAAATGTTAATTTGGCTGCTGAGGTAGACTCATGTCTTGCAAACTAGCGTATGCTAAAAGAAAGTACATGTATATGACACATTTTATGAAAAAGTCTGTGTATTTGTCTTATTCCTCCATGTTAAGACTTAACCTGGCTACTGATTTTTTTTTTTTAGAAGGCAATACGTGTATAGTCCTATTTGGCCCGCGCCGTTTTGTTTGTTTTAGTACGTTAATTGGCAAAGGTGGTCTCAGATTCCTCCAGGAAAAGCCTGTGCATCCTCCTAATTATTTTTAGCCAACTGGGAAAATCTTTCTCAAAATAACGTTCACCCACTGCCGTTTTATTATTTTTACTTATTTTAAAAACAATTAAATGACAGCTTAAACAAAAGTAATCCGATGAAAATTAAATCATGGTAAAGAGGAAACCATGTCATGTTATCTCAGAAAATTGAATTAGAGAGAAGGTAGTGTCTTGGAAGACGAGATGCGAAGCCATATTAGTGTTAATTTGATGGAGGGGGGGGGGAGGGGGAGGGCAAATGCTCCCTTGCTCACGCTCGGAAAAATGATAAATTGAGAATATCATGAAAAAGGTAAGGAATTTTAGGGAAAATTGCCTTTGCCCCCCCCGGAAAAAAATCCTGGCAACGCCCATGAGTGTGACACTTCTTTTGACAGTATAGGCCTGTGGAAAGCTGTTACACAAATTGATGTCTGTAAACTAGAATGTACGTGTTGTTAGCTCAATAAATGTGTCACAAATACTGGCCTTCCTCTGATTCCTCCGATTGTGCTAAATTTCATCCAACGATGTGTTTCTTGAGTTTGAAATGTAGACTGTTTTTTAAATGGTGCCATGGAAGCTACTTACCTGCTAAATTACAAGGACAAATAAAAAGGTCAAAGGTTCATGTCTATGACCTCGAGGAAAACCATGCAGTTATTCCGGACAAACACACTCCAAATTTCCCCTGGTTATTAACTAGCAAAACAGTTTCCTCAGTTAATTTCCTTTTCACGAAATGTAGCGTGATAATTTGTGTGGCTCTAAAGAAGAAAGTTCAGTATTTGAGGCACATAAACATGTATATGGGAGCACTATTTAGCATCGTACATCTCTTAACTTTTACAAAATTGATAAACCAACTGGTTCTTCTCAGAACCACGCCACTCACGAATATATATCATTGATCACATTGTGTTACCGCAAACCTCCCATTCATTGAAGTAAATTGATATTTAGCATTTAGAAACTGGACGTGAATGATGAATTGCAACAATATATGACTAAAGTCAATTCCATATTTCTTTGCCTTCCCGGATTAACCCACAGTGCAAACAAATCCAATGAAGCATCACTGATGAATAAAAGTTATAATATTTTGAAGAGGCTGTGCAGTTTATTGATAACGATGTGATTTTGCACTTCTTTTTTTAAATTCACATCTGGAGAGCCCTGTACCTGTCGATTCGTTTCAATGCAAAAACACACCCTGCCAATTACTATTGGTCCCCACCCATATAAGAAGACATGTGAATGATAAACTTATGTTAATTTTTTATCACTCTTGTTAGACAAACATGGCAACTGGACCTGCGGTAAGTTCAGCGCTAGAGACGATCAGCAGACATCATCTTGAGTGCAGCATCTGTCAAGAGAGATACCAACAGCCCAAGATACTGGAATGTCTGCATAGCTTCTGTGAGCAATGTCTGCTGAAATATCGTAGCACGAAGCACGAGGGCTCTACAGCGATTCCTTGCCCTTTGTGTCGACAGGAGACGAAACTTCCTGAGACGGGGGTGAAGGGTCTGAAAACCAACTTTCATCTGATTGGTCTGGTTGAGGAGCTTGAACTTCAGGAAAAGATAGTGGGATCGAGTGATACTTGTCTTTTGTGTGATGTATGTGAGGGGGGCAACGAGGCAACGCAGCGATGTCTGGATTGTGGCCACAATTCGTGCTTAGTCTGCAGCAGAATACATCTTCGATTCCCTTCCTCATCCAATCACAATGTAGTTCCTTTGGAGGAAATTCGTGAGGGAAAGGTTACAGTGACAAAGAAACATCAGAAACAACATCCAAAATGTCTGATCCATGAAGGTGAAGTGACACGGTTCTTTTGTACGACGTGTGAAGTGTTGATCTGCCGAGATTGTACTGTCATTGACCACTGTAAGCCAGAACACTCGTACATTGACAGAAATCTGGCAACATCAACGTACAAGCAATCGTTGGCTGAACTGTTTTCTCCGCTGGAAAACACAATGAAGGAACTCCAGAAATCACGAGAGAAAGTCTCAAGAATGAAAGAAGATTTAGGTGTCACAGTTAAAAGGGTCATGACAGAAGTGCAAGACAGAGCAGCTGAGCTCCGAGCAGAGGTTACGGCTCAAGAAACTCGCATCCTTAATGACATCAAAAACATGCAAACAGATCGTGAACAAAAACTGGATGAATGTGAGAAAGATATGGGCTTGGCAGCGGAGAGATTTCAGTATTCAATAGACACAGCACGAGAGGTGACAAAGACTGCATCAGATAGTGACTTTCTCTCACTCTATCCCACAATCAGCAAAGACTTAAAATTGTTGGCAGGTCAGAGTATTCCTAGAGTTGACAACAGGCTCGCTTTTCTGAATTTCAAGCAGAGTGAGGGGGTTGGTAGCATCAGTCTGGGTGAGGTGGTGACAGAAGGCAAATGGGAGCTGTGTCGGGAGTTTGGTAAAAAGGGAAGCGGTCAAGGAGAGTTTGATGTTGCTTGGGGCATTGCTGTTCGTCAACCCGATGAGATTGCAGTGGCTGACTCCAACCACACACAAGTTGTAATCTGCAACATCGATGGCAACCAGAAAAGCACAATCCCGATGCCAAGATGTGAGTTAAATATCCATGCAACATGCCGAATTATTTACACAATCAACATCTAATTAAAATGAATCACATAAAATTGTGAGACGAAACGTTTTGAAGAAAAACCAGGTACATAAATGTATTCTTAACATGCGATGTTAATATAAACTGCATATTGTTGATATAAATGCATAGACCGCGTCACAAACCCAATTTATTTCATTCTTTAATATTAAGTGGACTGCACAAGAAGAGTATTAACCCAATAAATTTCGTTTGCTTTTTTTTTTTCGAAAATGAAAGTAAGATTAGAAAAATATTATTGTGATTTGGGTCGAGTAATAAAATATTTATTGGGGGGGGGGGAGTACAATACAGGAAGTATTATGTTTTAGGATTAATGAAGTTGTCATCCAAACAAAACGTTGATCCCGATTTTTTTTCTTTTACATATTAATTCCTACAGGTCCACGCTGCATCGCAGCTACACGTGGCGACAATCGTTTGGTGGTTGTTGAGATGAACAATCCCACCGTGAAGGTGTTTAACAGCGACAACACACTGGCATACGAGTTCCCAACGGTGCCACCTATTGAGGCCGGTAAGACCGCAGTTGACCTCCACAGTGTAGCTGTCAAGAATGATGATACCATCGTAGTGGGTGATATCAAGAGGAGGGTGTTGACTGAGCACAGCCCCACTAATGGTGAACTCCTTCATACCATACCAGTCAAGATTGATCCTTACTTTCTGTCCGTGAACAGCAATGATCGAGTCTTAATCAGTGATTTTTCACAGCATGTAGTACATGTTGCTGATGATAATGGTGCTACAAAACGCACAATTAAGCCCACCATCCATGGGCAACCAGTACAATACTGCAAAGGTGTGTGCACTGATGGCTCAGGTATCTATGTTGCAATGCATAACATTGAGAACACGGGTCATATCCACCACTATGACCCTCAAGGTGGCTTCCTAAAGTGCATCGCACAGGGTCTGCACTGGCCCATGGATATAACATTCACATCAAAAGGGCAGCTGGCAGTGGCTGACAGACAATCTGTCAAGATGTATCACCAGGTGTGATACAAAATTGTAATCAGTCATGTCAATCATTGGAGGCATGTCGTTAAAAAATGAAGATAGAGCGGTTAATCTTACCTGTAAAATTGCACTAGATTAATTTACCTGTTGTATTTGAATGTTTTGATGAAGCGATCCATTCGGGTCACAACTGTAGTGGGTTGAAGATTGTGTGTCTTAATTTCATCGTGTATTTACAGGTACATACATGTATATTTGGAGCTGTCAATGTGGGGCTTTGATTTAAACCTCATGATAATAAAATGATCAGTTGAAAGAGAGGAATTAAGAATTAAAAAAAACCTATTCAATACGGATACATGTACATGTACATGTAACATTTTTACTGTACTTCAAGCAGTTTATATTTCCTGTGGCTGTAGGTGCAGGGGTTGGAATAAGTTGGCGTGTATTCTAACGGGTGCCGTCACTAAGTTGGTAGGTGCTAGGACTGAACCGACGAGCGATTTGCTTCGGCTGTGAGAGCGAAGATGCCAGCTTGTGACTGCGGTTTGGGCGTTTGATTCTGACCCAGTCACCGGTCTGAAACTGTGGCATTCGAGCACGACGCTTAGTGTCGGTGTAGGACTTGGTCTTCTGTTGGCATTTTGCGATTGCAGATGCTTGGGCGGTTACCTTCACTATAGGTTTGGCTGGAGGTTTGAGAATGTCCAGTGGGAGGCGAAGGTTGCGGCCGATCATGAGTTCTGCAGGCATCTTCCCTGTCAGCGAGTGTTGGGTCGAGCGGTAAGTGCGAAGAATGGTTTGAATGGCCTTGTCGAATTTTTGGCCTGCTGCAAGGTTGGCTTTCAACCCGTCCTTGATAACGCGGTTAATAAAGCGCTCAATGCCACCGTTACTCTGTGGATTGTATCGGGCAGTGAGATGGTGCTCGATACCGTGGCTGGTGAGGAAGTCAGCAAACTGGTCTGACACAAAGTGTGGACCATTGTCAGTTATGATGACTTCTGGAAGGCCCCATTTCGTGAACATTCGCTGAAGAATGTTGATCACTGTGGCAGAGGTGACTGTACTTGTTGTAGCGATCTTTGGCCATTTGGAGTGCAGGTCATGAACCACAACGAGGAAACGCTGGTTGGCTGGGGCTGCCTCAACTGGGCCGAAGATGTCCAGCTGAAGTTGTTGCCATGGTTTCTGTGGCCATGGGATGGGTTGCAGCGGAGCTGGTAGGATGTTGATGGCCTTTTCGCTCAAGTGGCATGCTTCGCAAGTGGAAACAAACTGTTCGATGCGAGTGTCAATTCCAGGCCACCATACTGCATCGCGACATCATTGCTTCATACGGACGATGCCTGGATGTCCGTCGTGTGCGAGTGACAGAACGCGTTGCTGCAGGGAGCTGGGATTACTGCTCTGTCCCCACTTGCTAGGCAGCAATCGTTCCACACTGAGAGTTCATCCCGAAGTCTGTGGAAGGGCTTGAGTTCTTACGTGAGTTGTTTTGGCCACGCTGTCTGGAGGAAGTGGCATACCTGCTGTAGTGTCACGTCGTCTTGTGATGTGGCTTTGAGTTCCTCACAAGACACAAGGTTGCTGAGGGAACCGGTGATGAGCGACATGACATAAGCGTCATCATCAGTGTAGAGGTCAGAGTTAGAGTCTGAAGCAGGTGTCAGGCGGCTGAGCATGTCGGCAACATGGTTACGGTTGCCAGCATTGTACTGCACTGTGAAGTTATACTGGTGAAGACGGTCAGACCAACGGCTGATTCGTAGTGGTCTGTGGCCGGATTCAGTTGTTGCGAGAATTGTAGTCAGCGCCTGGTGATCTGTACGCAGAGTGAATTTTCTGCCGTACAGGTAGACATGCCAATGTTCACATGCGTAGATGCAAGTGAGGGCTTCGCGTTCTCCTGTGGGGTACTTTCGTTTGGCTGGGGAAAGCGTGCAAGAAGCGAAGGCTACTGGGCGTTCTTTGCCGTTGATTTGTTGCAAAAGCACGGCCCCAATGGCAGTGCCGGATGCGTCGGTATGTCATGGCAGCGGGATCAAAGTGTGCGAGGACTGGTGGAGAAGTGATTTTCTCCTTGAGCATAGTGAAGGCTTGGACTTGGGGGTCACCCCACTCCCAAGGCGTGTCCTTGCGTAGTAACTTGCGCAATGGCTCTGCGATGTCCGCGTAGCATGGTACGAACTTCAGGTAGAAGTTGCAGGAGCCGAGAAACGAGGCAAGTTCTTTGGTGTTGGTTGGAGCCTGTAGTTTCAGGATAGCGTCCATGTTTGCGAGCGTAGGCATGACTCCTTCGGCTGAAACTCGGTAGCCGAGGAAGTCAATCTCTTTGGCTGCGAATACACACTTGTCTGCATTCAGTGTGATGTTGTGCTTGGCAAGTCGAGCAAGCGCAGCATGGAGTCGCAAGTCATGTTCGTCCATGGTCCGTCCATGGACAACAATGTCGTCGAGTTGATTGATGGCTCCGTTGATCCCTGTGAGCATACTGGTGACGATCTTTTGGAACGCACTTGGTGCTGAGGAGAGTCCATAGGGCATTCGGCGATATTGGAATACCCCGTCATGTGTCACGAATGCTGTGAGCTGTTTACTGTCCTCGGCGAGTGGAATTTGCAGGTAACTACGACGCATGTCGACTTTGGAGAAGACTGTGGCGCTGTGGAATTTGTTGGACAACTCGTTGATGGTGGGAAATGGGTACTTGTCTGGAATGACAGCCTTATTCACCTCTTTCAGATCAACGCAGAGGCGAATTTCTCCATGGAGAAGAGTTGATCCAGGGAGAAGAGTTGATGCGCTCGATGATACCCTGTGATTCGAGTCTGCGAAGTTCTGTGGAAACTTGGTCGTGAACCACGAAGGGGAGACAGCGAAGGCGTTGAGAAACTGGTTTGACAGCTGGGTGGCAGAAATGCTTGATTTCTCCAAAGCCGTTGAAAATGGTGGGGTACTGCTTGTCAATGTCCACCATGTGCATGGGAGTGCCAGTAGGATCGAACACCTTGAAGCCGAGCTTGTCAAACAGGTCAACACCCATAAGACTTCTGCCTTTAGCGACGTGAAAGGAGAAGTTATCCAATGTTATGTCCTTGTACTGAACTGGAACAGAAATGACCCCACATACCTCGATTTTGGAGTCGGAGTATGAGTGAAGGGTGGAGGTTGCTGGACATAGCGGGTGGTGTGCGAAATGCTGCTTGTATGTAGCCTCGCTCAGGATGGAAACCTTTGCCCCGAGATCAATGAGGAGGCGTGTAGGTTTGCCATCGATGATGAGTGCACAGTCCTTGAAGTTACCAGAACCAGTGTAGGTAGGGTCGCTAACTGTGTAAACCATACTGGATTCGTCACTGTCGGGGTTGTCCACATGGCGAATATGAGTGTTATCACGTTGCGATGAGCGGCAGACGCTGGCAAAATGGTTCAATTTGCCACATGCGGAGCACTTTTTCCCGCACTTGGAGCTCTTTGCCGAGTGTGATTTGTCCCCACAGTTAAAGCAATGGAAGTCTGGTCCGCGAGCAGTAGTGGGTGGTTTTGTAGCCTTGGGTCGACGCTGTGGTTGACGCTTTGGGCGAACACCTTGTACTTGAGCCGTAGCTGTAGTGGTCTGCTGTTGAGTAGGGGCGGGAGATCTGATGGCTTTGGAATCGGTAAGTGCTGATTCGATTTGGATAGCCAGTTTAGTGGCTTTGTCCAGTGTCATCCTCCATGAGTAGGCGTTCTCTAACGCAAGGGATGGACGTTTTCTCAATGATCTGATCCCTGATCATGTCTTCATGCAATGCCCCAAAGTTACAAGTGGATGCAAGTTCAGTCAAAGCTACAACAAATTGCTTGATTGGCTCACCGTTGCCTTGTCCCCGTTTGCGAAATTTATACCGTTCCATCATGACGCCCTTCTTTGGGCCGAAGTATTTCTCCAAAGCTTTCACAGCTTTATCGTAGGTATCTGTGTCTTCGAACTGGCTGAAAACACGCTGGCCTTCGGTGCCGAGACAGTGGATCAGTATCGCTCTGCGCCGAGCCGATGTCACGCTGTCGCTGTCCAAAGCACTCGCGGTGATGTACGTTTTGAAGCTAATTTTCCACCTGGTCCACGGGATTGCAGGATCCCCAGGCGTTGGAAGGAAAGCCGGAGGTGTAGGGAGGTTAATCCCTACACCTCCGGTGCCGAGACAGTGGATCAGTATCGCTCTGCGCCGAGCCGATGTCACGCTGTCGCTGTCCAAAGCGCTCACTCGCGGTGATGTACGTTTCGAAGCTAATTTTCCACCTGGTCCACGGGATTGCAGGATCCCCAGGCGTTGGAAGGAAAGCCGGAGGTGTAGGGAGGTTAATCTGATTAATCCTCGTCGCCAAATTATGTTAGGTTTGTGAAATAAATGGACATAAAATACGAGCTTAAACTGTCGTGTTACTTCATATTGTAATCCGAAGACCAACATGGATGCCAGAAGCGGCAAGGTTACAGTGGGTATGAACAGCGCCCTCATGAGAGCTTAACTGGTACATGTAAACAAGTTTAAAGCAAGTTACAAACACAACACTCCGCATAGTGAATCAGATTTTGCGACAGAATTATGACCATACAAAATATGTCACATGTAGACTGTCGAGTTTTAAGACGGTTGTTAGAAATTCGGTGGATTTAAATTAACAGCAAGAAACTAATGTGTTTGATCTGTGTTAGAAGAATATTTTACTTGCTTATTGTATCAAATGAGGGTTTTTGATTTCCCTTAAACTGCATTTATCGTAGCTTTGCACACACTATTTTTGCTTGTTGAGTACTAGGCTATATATTACAATTATTAGGCTATACATTGTTTTTAAATTATTAATATACTATGTTATAATTTGTGTTTTTTATAACTTTTGGTTTAATTTCATTAGAGCATGGATTTCTTCAGTATTCGTGACCTTAGATTTGATTTCTGTTCTAATTTAATACATGTAAGTATTTATTGAGTTATGGCTACGTAAAAAGAAGTACATGTACCACTTTTTGTCCACGTACGGCGCACGATTGATAATTTGACTGCCGCAACAAGAAGAAGGACCGAGACTAACATTTGTGAAAAGGGCCACAGAGTAGATGCAAATGAACAAAGACAAAGTACATAACCTAAAGAAAGATTAAAATACTGCGACCGTGGACAGATTGAAATTTAAAATCGGCACTTATTTTGAATTGGCCATAACAATAATAAATACTTACCAGATTAGAAAGATTCTCTTAATAGGTATACTATTTGCGATGTATTTTTTTAAAGCTGTGAAAAAGAGGACGCTTTGAGGGTTCGGATTTTTGTTGACACACACATCCTATTCCACTGATTCTGCACCTCCTGCTTCCTGCCTCTTGGCCCCTTGCCCAAGGCTATAGGCTCTGGCTTCTTGGTTTTTGGTACTGGCCGTTGGCACATGGCATCTGCTTCCCGGAATCTTGCTCATATGCTTTTTGTTCCTGATTCGTTTCCCCTGGCTCATGTTCCCTCTAATAAGCTGTGATTAGAGCATGCGAATTACGTAACTTTTCCTCAATAACTAGTCAATAACATAATTATGTACTTTTTCTTATGTTATTTTATTGTTGTTAAATGGGGTGACTGTGAGCCACATGTCCAATCACCCTAGCGGAAAGAAGCATTATTATAGTCCAGCGGATATGTAAGAAACATTGTGCGTTTGTGGCAGGGCCCACAAACTTCTGGCCCGGTCTCCACAATGAAACAATGGAGTACATGAGACTGCACAAGAAGCGAGTGAGGCAACACTGTGGGAGGTTGTCCACCAGAGATTCCCCTCCAGTCGAGTTTTGAGATACCAAGTGACGAGATAACAGCCCTTATGACAGAAGATGTTTGTGTCATCCCACCTCCCTTGCATTCCAGGATGTGGAAGGGTCCTACCAGTGTGGTTGATTGCCAGGTAGTTCATTGTCATTAATTATTTATTGAAGTGTTTTGTTTATTTTTTTTCCATGTTTGTTGAAATCATTTTAATTGTATAAAGTCTTGTATTTGCCATTGCTGGGGACAGCAATGATTTTAAGATGGCGTGAATGTGGCAGGGCCCAGTTTTAGTTGTATATTTTCATGTATTTAAGGTATAGTGTATTAAATAGGAGAAGCTCCCCTTACAAAAAGAAATAATTTTAGTTTCTCAAGATCCCCCCCCTTTTTTTGTTGGTAGTGTGTTCCTCTGTTTGTTTACTTTAGCCCACATGTTCCAGTTCACATTCAGTTTACCCAGCAGACCAGCAGAGTTATATATACATTTATGTTCCTCCTACCTGGAGAGTGTTTTCTGCTTGAAGTTAATCTGCTGTTGGAGTCATTTGATATTGTCAGAGCGTATACTTTACGAACACACACTGTGCAGGTTTCAGTCTTTCGATTTAAGGTTTTATTCTTTGCTCTTAGTTTCTGGGTTTTTTTTTTTGGTTTCAAGGTAAATAAATTCTTTTTGGTCGTTTTTGGTTTGAAATCTAGAATTGTGTCCCTTGTCTCTATTAATTCAATTTCCTCACGACTTTTCCTTTCAAAGATCCTGAGTTTAGTTTAGTTTGGTTAATTAATCCCCATTGAGTCTGTTGAGTGCGAGTTCTACGCTACCACACGCTCCTTCCCATCATGTTCTTGTGCAAGTACTGCTCCCAGGCCACTGCGAGATGCATCAGTCTGCACAACAAACGGCTTCGGCGTAAGCCAGGATAGGTGCCGTCGATAACTTTGAGATCAGGGTCTGACGCATCTTCGCACTCAACCGTCCATGCAAAAACGGGGTCTTTGGCACCTCTTTCCCCTCCTTTCAGAGCGAAGAGTGGGCGAGCAATTTTGGCATAGTCCTTGACGAACTTACGGTAGTAGCCGGTTATACCGAGAACGCCACGAACGTCTTTCTTGCACTTGGGCGTTGGCAAACTCCTTACCGCCTCAACATTCTCTGTACTGGTAGCAATTCCTTCGGCTGACACAACGTGGCCCAAGTACTGGACACTCTTCTTCAGAAAGTAACACTTTGAAGGTTTCAACTTCAAGTTGTGCTCACGGAGTCGATGGAACACTTGAGACAGCCGGGTGACAATGCGCTTCTATACTGGAACTGAATACAATAATGTCATCAAGGTAGAGAAGGACGCTCTCGAAATTCAGGTCGCTGACACAGTAGCCATCAATCGCTGGAACGTGGCCGGCGCGTTGACTAGGCCGAACGGCATCCTGTTAAACTCGAATAACCCCATTGGTGATGTAAAAGCTGTCTTGGGCTGATCTCCGTCAACCTCGACTTGAAGATACCCAGAACTCAAGTCTAAACAGGAAAAATACTTGGCCTTGCCTAGCGCATCAAGTGCCTTCTCTATCCTTGGCAACGGGTAGGCGTCTCGGACTGTTTTGGAATTTAGACTCCGGTAGTCAACACACAGTCTAATATGGTGCCATCCTTCTTCCAGACTACAACAATGGGCGACGCAAAAGGACTCTGAATTGGCTTGATGATGTCAGCTTTCCGAAATTCTGCTTGGGGAATACGTCTGTATGGCATACGGAAGGGTGTCGGGTCTACTAAGGGGATTTCGTGTGCCACTGTCTGAGTTGATCCTATGTCGAAGGAATTCGTGCCGCCAACGTCCGTGTCTGAGTTGATTTCGGTGCGCGTGCCCGGGCAGACACAACCACCTCTTCTCCAGGTCTGACCCTCATGCTGTTTCTCCCGACATAGCGCAACTGGCCGATTTCTCCATCATGTCTAGCCAAGTCCAAGCCATCATCATTCAGGTACTGGAATGCCGAATACCATATAGATTTAACATCTTCCTAACCTTGGACATAAATCCCCATCTGTACTTGGTGTGCAAATTACCTCGAACTGCAAGATTGGATTTGGCACCAATCAGGAGAGGACTAGACTGCCTGAAGTTTGGGAGTACGAGGGTTGGGACATTTTCCAACAACTCGCCAATACAAGGACCTTGATGTTCAGCAGAATGTAACCCCTATGAGGGACAGCATGACCTCCAGCTCCATATATGGTTACGTCCGTTTCTCTCGGGACTTGATGTTGAAGCTCAGGGTGTGTGGACACAAACTCATCAGTGATGGTGGTTACCTGCGAACCAGTGTCTAGCAGTGCTTTGCAGCTCTTTCCCGAGACGTCAACAACATGGTGCTCACCGGTCCCACTAGCTGCTCCTCTGTTTCACTTTTCTGGCTTAATTATGTCGCACTTGTACCTAGATTGTCTACACAATTAGGGCTGTCCTCCAATTTGCCCGCTGAATGCCCAGTATCAGCAGGCTTCTCTAGTTTAGCTGCTGCATTCTCTGCCCTCTGCGCATCTGTGCTCTACGTTCTGGTCGTGCACACTGTCTGGGGAAGTGGCCAATCTCTCCGCAGTTGTAACATCTTATCTCCGGATTGGAAGGGGGGCAGCGTGACAACACCTTTCAGGTACTGTATGCGCCGCCGCTGCCCCTCCATGATGACGTGGTCCATTGTTGACAGCTGCCGTTGGACCAATGTAGACAACTCTGCAAGCTGACTGGAAACATCTCCTGTAGTCTCCTGGTTCGCCTGGGTAGATGTGATCTTTGGTTCCGGTTGGACTTCAGTCTTAGGCTCGGTTGGTAGTTCAACTGGTGAAGTAGAGTGTTGCTGGATTCTATATGTGTTGTGTTGTCGCCTTTACTCTCGTGCTTGACGAAATTCCTCGGCAATGATGTGCAGCTCTTTCCGCAATATCTTGAAGCTCATTGTCCTGGGCTTCATTGGGGGCCAAGCGTTGCCTCACCCCATGTTCATGTAGGCCCGACATGAATTATGTGGTAAGTAGCATGCTAGCTAACATGACAAGCAAGCTAGCACAAATTCAAAATGTCAATTAAATGTTATTGTCTCTTTTTAATAACCTTTTCATGTCAATTTCATTTTGTGCGAGGTAAAGTGTTGTTTGCCTGAACAATGTATATGTCCTAGGTTGTTAATTTCAGCCTTGCATGTAGTTTGCAAAATCTGAAGAAAGTAAAAACATTCAACATTCTGAAACACATTACATGTATTGAGAATTTATTTCAATGTTTCACCAGTTTATCATGTCACAGAAAATATAACTTTCTGTCTGAAATTTTAAATTGATTATTTGCTATTTGCACAATAATATTGGACGGAATTGGACATAAGGCAGGATACGGTTGCATGGATTACAAAGTAAAACAAAATATTTGTCGTATCTGTTACTTGTCTTTAGAACAAAATTAGGTTGTATACTGTGAAACATTCCAATTTAATACATTTAAAATGTCCTCCACAGTCCACACACAACACCACAAAAGCTGTAGTCTCATATTTAAAGGGAAGATACAACATTTGCAAACATCAAAAAAGAAAATGACCAAATTATCACAAAATACCTCACTGAATTGTACTGAATTAGGAATTGACAGTCTAAAGTATCCTGTAAAATCGTGGCTCCTGGTGTGCTGACATTTTTGAAGAAAAAAAATGTATTTTTCCAACGCTGGTCGGCCGACCAGCGTTGGAAAACGCTGGCTTTTTCAAAAACTGCTATTTTTTTCATATTTAGTTATTCCGCATTTTCTTTGCAATAGATTACACACCTGTGAATGGGTACAAACCTGCTAGAGTAATTCTTTGACCTTACAATTCCCCAAAGTCTTTACGTTTTTCCGTTTCATCTTAAATGGGATCAGGAACCAGACTTCAAGAAAATGATTGGTCTGCTTGGTTTTCCAGCAAAAACAAGCCCAAAACGTGAAACAAGTCAGTTTAACAATATTTGCTATAACAAGCTAATCCTCCAAATTCATTTATTTCTGAAACTTGCAGCAAAAGCAAATGTTGTACATTCCCTTTAACCTAAATTTGTGAAGATAACAACTAGCACATTGGTATCAGAAATCATAGTTAAAGGTCGACATAATCGACATAATAAACGCAGAGAGCAACGTAAATGAGACCCAAACTGCAATGCAGACACATGGAAACATTTCATTTGACGGTCACCGACCATCCAGACAGACGCAGGCTACCGTGCACCCCGTCGGCAAAGTTGAACCTGGTTCAACCTTGTCGACAGTTTTCGTACACTGTCTGCATAAGCTTAACGTCGATATGGAAACTAGGCTTAACTATTTAGTGTCTTTGCAACACAGCACAAAAATCTCAACTAGTCAAAATATAAACGTCAGCAAGTATCAAAGCCAAAGTAATGAAATGTCAAATCTTCATACCTCTTATACTGGTTTCTGAACTATAAATTGGAAATGCTGGAACTGGAAGCTTAAGTTAAAAAAGAAACACATTGTTCAGTGTAAAGACAAGCCTTTGGACGGCCAGCGATGGACGGATTTTAAAATGGCACCTTGGATGTTGTTGAACAAGAATGTTGAACAAAGAGCATACAATTCCCAAATCGTGTTTTTTTATAGAGGGAGGGGGGCCAGTTACTGCTATTTTTTTTACAGGAATTATAAAAACTATACCCATTTCTTCTTGCCCTCCGGTACATTTAATGTAGTATATTTCAAACAAGTTCAAAATATCTGTAATTAAAAGACCATGAAATGAATGTTCACATATGAAAATATTATGTGCAAATTTCCACGACTCTGAAATGTATGAAATCTATGTGACATCCCTTCAAGCAAGGATAATGTCATTAAATTCGTGCATGTGGATCATTTTATAGGAAATTGCAAATGATCCTTTGTAGCTTTTAGAATAGTCTGGTTTCCAGTCAATGTGGAAGAATCTCTTTTGAGAAGATGTGCGGCGAAACTCTTTTCTTTTCTTTTCAGAACCACACATCTTTACAAAGGCAATTCTTCCACATGGTGTTACCATTAAACCCAGGTTACACTACACTATGTTCATCCCTTGGAAATTCATTAAAAGTCCTCTTCTCCGTGAAAAGAATCTTTAAGAGATGTTTCACGGACATTTACATGGGGCTTATAATTATATAGGACTAATCCTGTAAAGGTATTTTCACATTTTTTTAATGACCCTGGCCACTGAGGATTATCATTGGTTATAAAGGTACACTGGGTCTATCTCCATGGGCAAACAAAGGACTTTCTTAAGGGTGTTTTCACGGACTCCTAATCTGGCTTAATATGTTGAAAAATCCGTGAAAAATTAGTTAACTGTAATTTCAAGGGAAAATGGCTCTTTAAAGAATTCTTAAGGGATGAAGATGTTCATAGTGATATACCGCCATGCAAAGTTTCAGATCTTATTCAATTTCAAACAACTTTGGTTGTTACATCATGTTCTCTGTCACACATTTTGCCCCTCTTAACACAAAGTAAAACCTTTTAAAAATGTACACATGTTAACAATTCCCTTAAATACAGGTACTTGTATATTAGTTTAAAATGCTTTAATGGTAAATTTCATTTACAAACATTCCAGAACATTTTTTTTATACAACCAATATTTTACTTAATCATTATGGACTGGTTAAATCACCTCCTAAAACAGTTTACACAAAATATAATATTTCTTTATAGGTTGCAAGCACTCGATTCTGGCTATGTACAAACAAAAACAGTGCAATGTAGGCAAACATTTCAGGTGCATGTAGGCAAACGAAACGGCAAAACTTTACAATAAATGATATCTTCTTTATACAAAAAATTCCATCAAGAAATGTATCTGATTCAAATTGGATGACATGTACATGTATATGTATCCCCTAACTCTATTCAAATTTCAATAATAAGATGACCATGATGTTTGCAAATAGTGAAATTCGGTTGGAAAAGAGTTCACAAATGGACGGAATTCTTCAGCAAATTGAAAAAGAGCAAATACAGGAAGCATCACTTTGCAACACCGCAACAAAATACTTAAGAAGAAATCAAATTTTCCTTTGATTTCAGAAGCACTTTCGACCAGAAAGCATTTTTTTTTTTTACTTTAAAACATGTGAAAGATCATTAACCCTAGCCTTCACAATTCTCCAAAATCCTCCTTAAAAAAATGGAGGATTTTGTAGGATTGAGGCTACCAGTATATGGCAAAAACATGTAGTTAATTTTGAAGGATTCCCCGTGTCAAGGTTTTAGGCCGGACCTTGTGCTGTTTATGCTCAGCCAGGCCTAGATTAAACTTGTAATCATCCACACTGCTCCAGGAAGTCACTGGCTCTGCTTCAACATATTGACAGTAATTGCCGGATGATTTTGCAGGATTGAGGCAGTGGTCACCCTTCCAAGGACCACATGCAATAAATAATGGAAGATTTTGGAGGATTGAGGCTGTATGCAATTTATACATGGAGGCAGTAGGAGGATTTTGCAGGATTAAGAGTGCATCCTAGTAAAAATCCCTAGGGAGTTTGAGTTAAACAGCTGAAAATAAACATGCACTCAACTATCTCCTGGAAATCTGCACTTTGTTTTCATCACGCTAAGGAATTTTGGGATGCACATATTTGGTGCTCGAAAACAACCCGTTAGAGTGCTAGACTTGATTCAAGTCACGTGTATCTTTTCGCTTTAAACACATGATCTCATTATCATGGGACCTGAATTCCTGCACTGTATTTACACTTGCTTGGTATGCATGAAATGAAGAGCAAGTTTTTCTTTCCTCAGCCTGATGTCTTAAGTAGGTCATTCTTCAAGACAGTGCCTCCATCTTCAGTCTCTCCACTTCTTCCTTCTCCTTCATATGACGAGCTCTCAGCTCCTCGAGCCTGGCCATCTCAGACGCCGCCCTCTCCTCATGCTCCTCCTCCTCCTGGGCCTGTTGCCGTGAGGATGCTCCAAGTTGCCGTGAGGATGCCCCATGTTGCCGGGACAAGGCCCCGTACATGCGCTCATGCAACACCTCAGGCGGAGTGGGCATGCGAGGCTTAGGGATCTTCTTGGAATACTCCATGGCCTGCAACAGAAACAAATCATTGAATATACGCCAATCAGGTATTTCATTCCAGCACGCCGATGAAGTACATTGTACACGTATGTACATGTAGTTCAAATCAAAGCTCACTGGGGATAAAGATGTCCAACAACCGACAAAAAACAAAGGTTGCTGAGTACCGTACCTTTAATGAATTTGTTAAATGTGACACTTGACAAAATCAATTGCAGAAAGTACCACAAAGAACCAGTAAGGTTCCATTATCATGGAAATTGCAGTTATGCTCATCCCAAATGACCTTTGCACCATATTAAATGCATGCACAGTTTGAATACCAAATTGGCTTATTACATTCGTAGCTGCAGCAAAATCTGACTTTACGAAGGGTTCAAACACCAAAGTTGTTTACAGCATGTTCTTTATTTTCCAAGGTCAAGCCTGAGCTACTAGGACCTTGGATTATAGTACATGTGCTTTATTACTAACTGGAGCCCAGCACAAAGCAGTGTTTTAGCCCATCACAAATCCTTTCACAAATCCTTTCACAAGTCCTTATAATAAGTCCAGTCACAAGTAGCAGGATGAACAATGACAAAGGAATGCTGTTTTTAAACAGTTCGTTTGAATAGCTAGTGACTTGACTTGAGACTGAAGGACTTGTGATGGACTTGTTGGGGCTTGTGATGGACTCGACTACAACACTGGCACAGATTTATCATTTTGTTTACGCAATCTTAATACTAGTTTAATTTTGGGTGTTAATATTTAAATTAATTGTAAGTCAAGACTGCTGTCTCAAACTTTAAATTCTGACACACCAAAAACAAATTGTACAAAAAGAAAAAAGGTACACTGTCCCAAATTTAAAAGTTAATCTTTAAGGACTTATTTGTCAATTCCTTGGATTAACAAAATTTTCCTAATGAGCCAATATTTATTCTTTCAGGATGTTGTTAATGAGGGACCAACAATTGTTGTATATTTCCTGAAAAAAAATCATAATATTGGCTTATTTGGAAGTTTTCTTAATCTGTGGAATCCACCATTAAAGTTAAACCTATTGCGTGACAACTGGCAAAATTCACAGACGTTGGAGGGACAGAAAGTTCCTGAGGTAAGAGCCAACAATTTTAAGGAAAAAAAGGTTTAGTCATGTAACTCATTCATTGTAGTTTACTGTTAGTGTTATTCAATGTAGTACGTGCACTGATGGTGTATTGTTTTGAAAGGTTAGAGAAAATTTCAAAAAGTGCATTAGTGCTCACACATTCAAACAAACATGCAAACTAGGAAATAGGGACACAAGGTAGGTCATTTTAATAAAGTTGTCCATGACTTTCAAATGTGTAAGTATTGAATTTTATTTGAAAGGTATTAGCTTCATAATTTGCAAGTAATTGTCTTTGTATCTCTCAAATGCATGTGAGCTACATGTAAACAGTGCCCCCAATAGACTCCACAAGGAGGTGTCTAACTTGTCTATTAAAACTCACCATTAGTCACAACAAATCATATGGGCCAATTTTAGGAAGCTGCTCAGAGCCTTAGTACAGAATTATCTACAAAGCCGATGTCTCAATAATTACCGTGGAAAGGTTGCTGAAGTCGCTGAAGGCCTGAGCCATTATTTTCGACCAGAACCCTAAGAATTTTCCTCTGAGATTGGGGTAGAGGTGGCAGCTAGGGTTCATCAGGTGCGGATCAGGAAGTCTGAGTGGAGGGATGGAAGGAGAGCTTGGAAGTGTTCCTGCCAGCTTCTGGTGCAGTCTGCTTCGGATGAGGTCATTTGCAGCGTTATCCTTGAGGAAGTGTTTATTTTGGGGGACAAGCCTTGGTTTGCAGACCTCAAGGAGGAACGGCTCTGGTCATGGCTTTATTGTCCCTGAATTTACCTGGTCCTCTGAGATGGCCGATCTTCAGAGAGCATTGAGGCATCTATACTCTGTCAAGTTCAGACAGGCTAAATGGCATTGCAATATGTTGTCGAGTGTGTGCTTCCAAGGTTTACGAGACTGTCTGGTGGTGGAACCAATGACTGCCTAAAATGCCACTACATGTAGAACGTTGGTCTTGAATACATCAAAATTGGTGGTGTTCTCCAGCCCTAGGGCACTGAAGCCATTTGCTACCTCACAGCATGCGATGGAAGAGACAGTTGGAACCTGCAGGCGGATGGAGTCCATCCACTCTACTCTGGTACTGCGGGCTTCAGTTGAATGTGGGTAACAAGTAGGCAATGGTGGGTTTTGCCTAATTTAGCTCCACAGTAAATGCAGCATGATGGACAGAATCTAGCCAGTGTCTTTAGATGAACATGTGATCTAAGGCTTTGTTTGCTACCGTCAATGCTATACCATGTCAGCTTGTCATGCTTGTGAATGCTCTTCTTTAGGAGTCAGCGTTCAGTTTCATGATAGAGCAAGATGGTAGGCTAACCACTGTCTTTGGTGTAGCCTTTTAAGGATATGCCGACGTCATTGCTCTAGTCCTCCCGCTTGTCCCACGCTTGAGGCATGGACTACAAAGCAAGAGGCTCGACTCTATGGCTGCTATACTCGCATGCGGAGGATGGCTCTAGACGTGAGTTGGAGAGACAAAGTCAGGAATGAGGTGCTCTATGGCAACCTGCCAAGAATCTCCACAACTATCAGAACTAGGCGTCTGCGATTGGCTGGACACTGCGTACGACATCCAGAGGAAAGCTGCAAGCCAACTCATCCTATGGGAACCCACACATGGAGAAGCCTCTCGAGGTGGGCAGATGTTAACCTACGTGGACCAGCTGCGTCGGGACGCTGGACTAGCCTCTGCAGCCGAGATCAGAACGGCCATGGGAGAGCGTGATGTATGGTGTGCCTTTGTTGCAGTCCGATGAGAGTCAACCTGATGCTTGTCCCACGCAAAGGTTGAGTTGGCATCCGTGAGGACCAAGGAGCTCATGTGTAGACAGACCGTAGAATGAAATGATTGAGTTTTGCGTCATCATCCACCAGGTCTGTAGTGTGGCACACTGTGATTCTCAGCCTACTGGATCCCAGCTGACAAGGACCCGACATGCCAGTGGCATAATAGCAAGGATGACCCAACCTCGGGCCAAGTTGTTAAGTGACCCAGATCAGAGGAAGATGTGGTCACCAGCCCGACATTCCCTACTGCTGGCCCACCTGGACTTGCACAGACTTGCGATGGTGATGCCATACCAAGTGAGTGCACAGGACAAAAGACATCCCCGATGGCAATGCATGTTGACTGTCGGAGGTTCATAGAGTCCAGCAGCCCATTTAATTTAGTTCATGACTGCTCATAACAGGTACTGGCACATGCAAGTCCCGACTGGCACTCATCAGAATTTAGGCATGAATGTAGTATTTTCAAATATACAACTATTCAATTGAATGCAACGTTAACTGAATTTGTACAGATGCACAGCACTGGTATTTAATTTCTAATGATGGTGGAATGTAGGATTCGGAATCACTAAAGTTGTCATTAGATTCAAGATTCGAGAAACCTCATATCTCAGTAGTAATTTCCCACATGCATGTATCACTGCACCTCAAGAGGGTTTTAGTAACAGGTGCGATAAACATAGAGTCCCCTTAATACAATCCTGCGAAAGGTGCAGATAAAATTTCCCCTATCTGCTTCCTTTTGTGTCGTACAAACTCTTCATAGCTTGTGGAAATCTCAAAAGGATAATCTTTATCATCCGCTTCTTGGCTGAGCAGCACTATTTGTGCAACAGAACTCCCAGATATCACTGATCGAGATCCAATCAGCCAATTAGAGAAAACTTCCCTGCAAAATTCCCCAGATTATTATTGAGATGACTTTTTATTTTGGCATTTTATCATTTTAAAGCATTTTATTATGAAAATTATTTTAAAGCAGCTCCCTGAAAAGTAGGCCCACGATTGAAGGGTGCTCAGGGCAGTGAGGGAAAAAATGAACTTTCAACTGACCAATGTCCGTGAATCTTTGGGCCAGTCGTCTCCGTCAGTAGGTGAATCGGACCTGACCTGGGGCTTGGGAACCCTTTGGGAATACGCCAGGGCCTGGCTGGGTCCAGGCAGGACAGATAGATACAACAAAATTGGGAGGCGGGATGGGGATGAAGTAGGGATAAAAATGGGTACAAGGATGGTGAAATTGAATTATTTAAACACGGGTTGAAAATGAACGGACGTGCACCGATTTCACAAAGCGCATCTGAACTCTATGTATTCAAGCTGAAATATCTGCAAATTGGTACCTACGCTTGAATGTTATAGTCCATTGTTTTTAATTCTGTTTTATAAAGGCAATTAATTCTATCAACAAAAAATGTCTGTAATGCATGGCATTTCAGTTTTAACTTCCTGTAAGGGCTGGCATTGCTGGTTTATACATGGCACAAATGTGAACATGGATGCTACTTTCTAACGCCAACAAATTCATAGATGTCCGAGCCCACCTATTACCCTAAAGCTGCATATACCTGAGAAGCTGGTAGATCATATCCAGTCTTGGGAACTACGGCAGCGCTACCCACGAAATTCCGAGCATAACTCAGAATTTCATGGGTAGCGCTGCAAAAGTTACCAAGACTGCATATGATTCATCTTGTTGACAGCAACCTCAACTCCAATGGTAGGTCATCTGCACTTGCAGTATGAGAGGAAAACCCAGATATTTCGTGAGATAACTCCCAGTCCCATAACTCCTTCCTAGAGGTATATTATACTTACAATGTCTCTCTTGGAGGGTGAGGCATCTTTAGGCGTGACAGACTCCTGGGGCCACAGTCTCTTTGTCTGTTGCAGCTGCTTCTTATTCTGCTGCATGACAGTCTTAGCATAGTCTCGCTGACGGTTCACCTTCTCTTGCTGTTGAGCAGGGAAATTCATATTTCATTGGACTTAAGTGCAATACTAGCCCTCCAATGGCGACAATGAGAGAGATACCGGTACTGAATGATTACAGTCTATGAGCTCCGTGCGCTAACAAAGAGGGCGCCCTTTTACCTAGCAACAACGTCCCATGGGCGGGACATTTCGCTGGTTGACGCGCACCGTTCCTTGTGTGTGACGCGCGTACACCAGGCAGTGGCCGCGCTTCGCAGCAAATGAATTGCAGTCAGGCTAGATGGCGTCAGTCGGTCACTCCCAACTGTACTTCCTTTGTCGGTGAGGGGGTACTTGTGAACGGAGCGGATAATAAATCAATACACATGGACTACGTGCATGACCAGCAGATATGACCACTAGTAGTTCCATGTGCGGGACACAACGCATTGGCACACTGGTTCCCTAGCAGTGCCCTGTAATAAACCCATTGGCCCTCATACCACCCTAAACCGCCCTGTCTGGTACTTCTCATACAACTTCAAACCGCTCCCTAGCACTCTATGGTGTTATTGATTTATGAAGGAGTAAATACAATGTAATACAATAGGACACTTTTGGAATGTTGGTGGCAACAAACACACCGGCCCTTTTTCGATTGTTTGCGTCATATTGAGCATGCACGCTTTAGCTTAAACATGACGTAAACAATTGAAAAGGACCGGTGTGTTTGCTGCCACCAACGTCTCAAAAGTCTCCCATTTAATACAAGTGATGAAGGAATAAATATGTGTAAAGCCACTATAATTTTTTTGTAGATGCACATGCTGTTCCTTTTTTACATATTCCATGTGACAATTTCAATGAAGCGAACTGGAGAAAGCGATGGATGTGAGGGTAAATAAGACTCTCAATCACAAAGGCAAGTGTGCAAATCACATCAAGATCAGAGTAAATAACCACGTTAATACATGGTCAATCTACCGAAAGATGTTTTGGGGTGTACAAAGGGCAACGTACTAATAGTTTCAAGGCATTATGCGGCCACACGTATGCAGGTATTAAGAAAACCCTACAAACTCGAAACAAAACAAAAACCTGACATCATCAGGGAGGTGTGGGGGTGTGGATGCCCGTTCCAATCCCCCATGGGCATGGCACGTGTGTGTTGTTTGCAACAAGCTAAATGAAACTCTATTTCCCGATATTGTTTGCAATATGAGGACTTTTTTGGTAGAGAAAACCCCTCGCACCTTTTCTGTGATGAGATCTGGGTCAGGTCCCAGTCCGCCCAGCCTGATGTCGCTCTTAAGGTTGCGATAGTCCTTGATGGTGTACTCTTTGTACTGGGGCGGCTGCTTCTGTTTCAGGAGCCGGGCTGTGTAGCTGTCTGGATCACTCTTGCGCAGTGGCGAGGTGCCATCTGTGTGGGAAGGTGTGAAGGTACAGGGTCAGATAATGCAATTAGTCGGCAGATACCTGTAGGTGATGGGATTGTGCCTTTAATGATACAAGAATGGCATTTGGCACACAGTCAGAGTATGTCATGAGAACAATGTTTGGTTATAGGGCCATCGCAGATTTGTCCTTCGAAAAAAAATTGGAGAAATACATGTAACAAGCAATGGCAGCCATTTTAAAAATTTGGAAAAATGCTTGTTATTCTACCTGTAGATATTTTTTCAAAGGACAAACCTGCGATGGCCCTATAGCCAAAGATAAGCACAATTCCCCCAAATATTTCCCCTATCTGCCCCACTAAATGGTTTGAATGCAAGTTTAATCTCGTCTTGGCCCAAGACAGGCTTTAGAGTTTCCCCCAATGCAGCCAATCTTTGGCAGGCGTAGCCAAGCCACACAGACTCTAACAACAATATGAATAAAATCCAGTCATGAGAATCTGGGCACTTGGACTAGAGAAATTCTGAGCACATCTCACATGCACTGGATGAATGCTAAATTACGTGCTTGAGATTTTCTGGTGTGAGCTCCCAGATGAAAATTCCAGTTGAAACCAGTTCAAATGGAAATTGGTGACTGGTTTAAATGGTTTTCAACTGGTTTAAAACCAGTTAAACCAGTTCAAAACCAGTCACCAATTTCCAGTTATCAGGTACATGTACCAGCTGAAATTAGTTGAACCAGTTGAACTGCTTTCAACTGGAATTTTCATATGGGAGTGCAGAGATTCTGGAGATAAGCCTTCAACCATTGTGATGGCTTAGCTACACTTTTCTGGAAGGGAAAAACAACCCAAACTTCAGTCATGGACATAGACTTAGTTAAAGCAGAGATTCAGAGGAATCAAGCAGACAAGAAAGTCAGATCACAATTCTAATCACAAGGTAATCACAATTAAGGTCACAAGTAACAGGGGAGGAACAAAGAAATGCCACGTAAAAATTAATTTGACTATGATTTGTGATGACTGGTCAGGACTAGGTAACAACTCTGGGTTTCAGAGACTCTTGTGCTGCCTTCTTGTAACTGAACATAGCTTCTGTGACCCTGTTTTGGAACTCAAGATTGACACATTAGGTTAGTCGTCTAGAGCCACTGTGGTCATTTCATCTATGGCCACTGAAAGGTTAACCCCAACAATCCACAACCTGAGATTTTGAACATTTCAAACTCGATTTCAATTGTACACTTACCCTCTCCAGGTTTGGAATGTCCAGGTATATCAGGCAGCACGTGGTATGGGCTTGTTCTCCTGGTTGCATGCTGGTACCCTGCGCCTGTCCCTTCATTAGCATAAACCATGGGGTTCATGTCAGAATCAAAGCTGTCGTGGTAGTCATCTGCGAAAGCTACTCTGGCCCTAGGAGGCCCACTCATCTGAGGACGTGCAAACCCATTGTTCCGGGCAATCTGGGTAGCATGATCGGCCGAGTAGCTGTAAGGTTGGCCATTCATGCTGCGAAGGACCTGTGGGTAGGTCTGATTGTATCCAGGCTGGAAGGCTTGAGGAGCTTGGGTGTATCCTGGACCAGATTCATTGTATCCAGACATGGCAGGTACTCCCTGTGGATAATACCCTTGTGGGATGGGACCAGGTCCTTGGTTCTGGATGTACAGGTTGGTGTCTGAGTGCCCACGTCTCAGAGGTAGGTTTCGCTGATCTTGGATCAGCTGATGGGTCCAGTCTTCATGAGCCCATGTCTGGGCACTTCCTGGATAATGTGCATCCTCCACCAAAGGGTCATCATACTGTGAACTCTCCCTAGAAATGTCTGGCAAGGGCTTCTTGGGGTTGATGCGAGTCGGAGTAGGAACCTTCTTTTGCATCTCTGAGTATTTCCGCCTAGGTGGACCGCGGGCTAGGTTGGTCTTGTTCAGGTCGATGAAATTTGGCTTTGTCTTTGGTGGGCCACGTTGCCTTGGTTGTTCATTCTGTGCTGGTAGGCCTGGATTAGGATACTGCCCCGGTGCAGGTTGCATGCCCTGATTTGGGTATACCCTGCTTGGGTTTTGGGAATGGTTGATGTAGTCTTGAGGACCTGGAGGTCTTGCCTGTTGTGTGGCAGGACCTGGGTTATTTTGGTAACCTGTATCATATGGATGCTGCTGATCATAGTATTGTGCTTGGTCTTGATATGGGACATCCGATCTCTCCATTGGAACATTGTAACCCGAGTACTGCTGATTATAGAAGTATTCCTCTGGAGGGTTGTGGCTTCCTTGCTGGGGATTATACTGTGGTGCTGGCTGAGCCCCGTAAAACTGCTGAGGCACTTGTGATGGATGGGCATTACTCCAAGGAACACCAGGAGCCTGCTGCTCCCAGCCTTGCTGCATCCTAAAGCCATCTGAGTTACCCTGGCTATGTTGTGGTGCAGCACCAGGGAATCCTGGCTGCTGATTCATGGTACTCTGGCTCTGGGGATTTGGATACAAATGCTGATGCTGGTTATTGAACTCGTCCTGATGATGGACTGGATGGCCTTGTTGTGCACTGTAGGGTTGTTGAAACATAGGATCCTGTGTGCCCTGGGATTTAGACGAAGTCTGCCGCTCCCTGTTCTGACCTGCCTGAGGTGTATATTGGATGCCCCTATCCTGGTAGCTTGCTCCAGAAGCACCCCTTGACACAGATGGGTAATCTTCTGGTTTTTCAAAGTCTTCCTTCTTATACGTGCTGCTTAGTGGCTTCCTGGTCTTCGGAGGAGTGTGATTTGTTATGCTTTTCTTCTCCTCAACTTCCAAATCATTGTTGATGGCTCTCTGAACAGCAGATTTGTTATCTCTACCATGCTTTTGGGCAGCATCTGTTTCAAACCTCAGATCCCTGTAAGGGTCTCCCTCTTTGGTCTCTGAAACAGGTGGAGTCCTACCCCGACCCATGGATTTTCCAGACATTACTGTGCCAACACTTCTAAGTCTCACCTCTCCAAAGGGTGTCCTTGATTTTGAAGCACTGCTGCTAGGACTCTCTGTCTTATCTTGAAAGGGAGGAGGGCGAGTTGATTCATTAACCCCTTCTTGCTGTGCAGCAGTTTTCTGTATCATAGGTTCTGAGATATGTTTTGGTGTGCTGTGCCGTGGTGGAAGTGTTTCATTTGACAGACCATTTTGATTTCCCACTTCATTTTTTACAATTGGTTCCTCCACTGGAAAGGGCTTAGCAATTGTAATTTTTCCACCATGGGATTTCTTGCCACTGGGACTTCTTCCATCATCAGCAGATGTCCTTCTGGCATTGATGGTTTGTAACTCAAGCGGGCTTTTCTCCTTTGGTGGTGTTGGCTTAATCCGGAACTCAACTTTTGGTTCTTCAGGTTTCGTCTGCGTTCCATGGAGATCCCTGTAAAGAGGTTTGCCAAAGTGATCAACAGGGCTTCCCTTCTCATCAAGGAAGTGTTCTCCTTCGTCTCCACTATCATCAGATATGTAAGCCACCCGGACCTCTTCTCCGTTCTTCCTGACAATTTGAGAGTCTGAGTGTTCAACTCTTGGCACCTCAACTGCAGCATCTGATTTAGACCTTGTTCTCTTAAGGAGCTCCTTAGCAGAAAGCTCATCAGCAGGGATGGGTGTTGCCTTTATCCTATTACTCAGACTTCTGACACGGGTTTGATTTCCTTGCACCGTGTTCCCTTGACTTTGAGGATTTTGCTGTGGTGATCTCCTTTTGTTGCTACTGTTTGACCCAGCAGACCCTTTTTGATTTGCTGAACCACGCTGTCTTGCAAGGTCCGAGTAATTAGGACGATTGGATCCTCTTGATCCCAAGCCACGACTTCCAGACCTTGAGGGGGTCTTCCTTCTACCTTGAGGAGGAAGGTCTTTCAATCCTGCAGATCCCCCAGCACTAGGAGATCCATGTGAATTTGAATGCTTCCCTGATCCCAAGCCACCGAGAATCTCCCTACTAGAATTGGCTGACGAGTTATTACTACTGTGACCACTCCTTAGAGCTACATCACTATGTAATGGCGAGATGCTAAGTGGCTGCTTATTTCCTGGCCGTTCTTCCTGAGGACTGTTTTGTTTTGGTGCATGAGCATTAGCCGACTCATCTTCTCTTTGAGGCGGGATAGTATTTGGCACATTGTACGACTCCTCTTCTTCTAAGGAATCATAAGGTGCATCCTCGGCACCGTTGTCATCTGTATCATCTTTTTCATGAGTATCATTAGGATGTGTTGGCTCACGTGCCTGTTCTGGATACCCATCATCTAATGAGTCTTGGGGATAAGTTTCAGAAACTTGGGTGTTTGGGAAACCTAGGGCAGTACGATTTATTGCAGCATTATCAGGCTCCTCAAAATCCAATGAATCGGGTGGTACAGCATTATTTGAATCCCTAGTGGGTTGTCCATAATCAAGCGAATCATTTGGTGTTTGATCAAAGGGTTCCTGTTGCTCATGTGGTGCCTGATTTCTGTCATCATATTGTTCCTCATCATCTGCATAATCTTGATTATCATATCTCCTGGGGTAACTTGAGGAGATCGATGGGGTTTGACCTTTTGGGTAGTTATTTTCGTCTTCTGGCATGTAGGCATTCTCACGAGGTACATTGTCATGAGCATCCCCTTTGGGGTAACTACCTCCTTGAGGATAATTGCCTTCTTCTGGATACCCACTCTCTTCTGGATACCGAGCATCCTCATGGTATCCGTCTTCGTTGGGATAACTATCCCTTTCAGGATAGTTTCCACCTTCCGGATAGTTATCTTCTTTAGGATAACTATCCGCCGTGGGATCTACACCAGGTTTAGAATTGTTCCTTATGCCTTCATCTTCAGCAGGATTATTCTCATACTCAGTATCCTCAAATTGGTCTTGATCTGGATAGTTTACAGGAGCTCCATTGTTTTCAACACCTGTGACTTCCTCTGGCTGTCTTATGGGGGACAGACCAACCTGGCCTGCAGTGTTGTCATTTGCATGGTCTCCTTCCTCTGTGGGTTCACTGTTTACTATATCCCCATATGGGTGTGATATCTGATCATCATCTCCATTGGGATATGCCCCAGTGAGGTTGTCATTCTCTTGGCCCCTATCATCAGGATATCTGGTTGGTGTGGCTTGATCTTCATATGCACTTTCTGGATCAGGATAATTACTTGCAATTGGATCATTTGAACCATTAATAGGTTCACTTTGTCCTTGGGGATCCTTGGAATAGGCATTTGTCTCATCTCCATACGCGGCAGGCTCATCTGCATAATTGGCAGGTTCATTACTGTGATCAGATGCCACATCTTCAACACTCCCCCCTCTGGTATCGTCCCGAGATCCACTGCTTCCAGATTTGTGAGAAGTTTGTCTCTCTGACGCTGGCTGTTTTTTCTTTCTTTTGGCACTCTTATTGGTTTCCTCAAGGTTTTTTCTATTAAGGACGCCTTCAGGCTCCATCCCAAGGTCCTTGAAGGATTGCCGGACCCGCTCCTTCAGGTCATCCTGATACTGTTTTTCTGCATTGAGACTATCCTGAGAATCCGCAGGTTCGTCAATAGGAGAGTCATCCATACCTCGACTATCAGCTGACGAGTTGCTTGCTGGACGCTCATCTAAGGAGTCTCTGAACTGATCCGGGTAGCCCCTGCCTTCATCATCAGGCTGGTCGACGCCCGGCAACTCCCCTCCCATGTTGTTATTTACCTCCATTGCTCCACCGCGATTGGACAATGGGTCTTCCTGGCACAGTGCATCACAGAAAGGCTTCTGCTGGTTAGGGAGGCTTCCTGTTTCTTGATCATCATTGTTGTTGAGATGGAAATTGATGCGACAATGAGATGATGCGACCAGAGCTAGGCTTGGAAGGAGCGGCGGTGGCTAGATCCCTGGAGCGGTGTGGTGGCTGTTGATACCATGGATCACAATTTGTAGACTTCTACTTGACAGTAAGCTGATAACCTGTGTGATGCTGACAATACTGTGGAAAAGAAAAAAGAGACAGAAATTAGTACGAACAAGATTAGTACAAGAACTAAGTACCTGCACTTGTGGTGTACATTGTCTTCTAAACTTTACATGCAGGGAAACATGTACATTCACATGCATCTGAAACTATATTTTAACACTTTAATCACAATGGAACACTAAGCGATCAGAGAACAAAAAACTGTAATGAGTGAAATGCTAACTGGCAAGTTCCATGAGAATGGAATTTTTAAAAATTAGAAAGTCATCAAAAATTACACCATAACATCAGGGGTACTGGTATAAAAGGGGGCGTCAAGGCCATTCATTTTAAAGGGAATGTACATCATTGGCTTTTGCTGTAATTTTCAGAAATGAACTATTTGAGAGGTTAGTATAATAGATCGAATATTGTTACACTGAAATTTTTGAAGTTTGGTGTTCGAAAAGGTTGGAAAAACCAAGAAAAACAAAAATGTTCAAGTAGTCTGGTTCCCTGACTCCACAAAAGATAAAATGGATCAATTTATAGATGATGGAAAATTGTAAAGCAAGGGAACCAGTCTAGCTGGCCTGCACCCGTTAATGAACATGTAACCAAAAGCAAACAAAATTTGGACTGAACAAAATGGTAAATTTGGAGCAGTAGTTGAAAAATAGTTTTTCCAACGCTGGTCGGCCGACCACCGTTGGAAATGTTGCAAAAATACCATTTTCTTGAAAATGACTTCACACCAGGTGCAATAATTTTACAAGATGCTTGAGACTGTCATTTACCAACATCCTAGTTTTTCGTAAAAACTGGGTAGTTTTATTTTTCGATGTTTGCAAATGTTGTATATTCCCTTCAATGATGTGCCAGTGTGAGATGGAATAGCTATGGTCGAATGTATTTTTTTTGGTTAAAAAACACTTTAAATTATGAATTTATTTTTACATGAACAATGTACAATGCAAGTGTTATTGTAAGTTTTTTTGTTTTTCAGGAAGAGAAAAAGTAAATGTACATTGTATTCTATGGCAAATGAGTTTTTTTGTTTGATTATTAGTTTTTTAAAAGTTTAAAGTTTTACCCAAGATGGGCGGACAAACTTTAACATGAGCTACCAAAATATATCTAGAAATCTATGATGAACTATTTTCAATAATTATAATGGCAGACTATGACTTGTACCCTAATGACGGAAGGGCACAAAAAGATTTTGCACAGGCTTTAGTGCAAAAAAATGCCAAAAAGCGAAAGGGGATAATTTTTTCCTCGTTTTGGGGGTTTATTGACATTTGTAATCTTTGATAAACACATTTGAAAGAAATAGTATCAAAATCGTGGAATAATGTTGTTGTTGTGGGAAAACAATTGGCATCTTTCAAAATTTTCCCAAATTTTACTTTTGTTGACACGTCAGTGGGCCTATAAAATACAAACCTTTAATAGCCATAACTTGTCAACGGAATGTCTGATTGAAGTGCAACAAACAGTACTTATTGTAAGGAGCATTTTTTTTTCTTTCCTAATACAATACAAACCCTGGTTTCTACCTCTGCTCGCTTCCGTCACATTTTGCCAGAATGCCTCACATATACAGGGTGAGTCAAAAAGAACTTGACCGGGATTGGTGATGTTTTTCAAAACAAACAAATGACACCCAAAAGTTCAGTAAAGCATATATTTAACAAGCACTCTCTCCTGCTTATTAGAAAAAAAAATGAAACAAATTGATCATTCCTAAGAGGAGTTATGTCTATTTTAATAAAGGTACTCATTTTGCAAGCTGTCCACGGAATACTTGAACAAACAAATGTAAAGTAAGCATTTTAGCTGTGTACATTAACATTCAATGGACAGTTACAAACATGAGTGCTTTCAGTAAAACAGGCATAACTTCTCTTAGGAATGATCAATTTGTTTCATTCTTTTTTTCAGATAAGCAAAAAAGAAGGCTTGTTTAATATGTGCTTCACTGGGGTTTTGAGTGTCATTTGTTTGTTTTGTAAAACATCACCAATCCCGGTCAACTTCTTTTTGACTCACCCTGTATGTACTTATGCACACACTTGTAAACCTGATTTTCCAAAGCAATACCTTTGTACACTGTCTGCATTCATTATATGCTGACTACTCATACATTGTATACATGTAGTCCCAAGGCAACAATATTGACGTTTCAAACTATTAACAAACTGTTGTCATTCAGACTCGTCCAGCTTTCAGGATTGGATGAAATACACTGCAATTAATAATTCATGCTTGTACATTGTTAAGTATTGGGTCAATATGCATGTGTAGGTGGGCTGAGCCTAAAGTGGGCAGGATCATCAGCATGTAAAGTATGGTCGAGGGCAATTCCACTGTTAGGTCCAAAAAAAAAAAATATTCGATCTCTGGTCAGACCAAAGTTCCGGAATTGACGCGGCCACGCGGCTTTTTTTTTTTTTTTGGCTTTTTTTTTTCTTCAAGCTTGGATTATACAGACAAGGTGGGGTACGATTTTGTTTTTTTGGTGTCCTCATGTACATTGGTGTCCTCCATAATTTGCCTTGGTGCTTTCGATCATTTGCCTTGGTGCAATTTCCCATTCCTTGGTGCCCTTTGGTAAAACAAAATTGAGGTGCCGAAATAGAGGGCGCTGTTGGAGCTACTGCGGAACATTTTGGAAAAAAAACAAGATCGACGCGCATGATTAAAATCGACGCGAGCGCTGACCAGAGACCGACTTATTTTTTTTTTTGGCCTTACTCACATTACATTTTTGTAACGTGAGTAACTGATTTTGTGTGTCTTGTTTATCATACATAACACATTTTTCTGGATGTCATCTTTGGTGCTTAGGTACATTATTATGTAGGTCTAGGTCTACTCTATCTACCATGGGGATAACAGTTATTAAAGTATGGTAATTGCTGCCCAAGAAAATTCAAAAGTACATCAAAAATGTAACGCGAGTAACCATGGAATTGCCCTTATAGTGATGACATGCATGACTAAATACAGGCAGGAGTTAAAAAGCCAATTAAAACAAGGAAAGAGTTTTCTAACAAACATTTATTAGGCCTAATGTATGCACATTTGTATGGGGGAGGAAATAATTTGTCAAAATAGCTCAACTTCAAAGAAATTGTTTATTTTCACTGGAGAGTTTCTCAGATTTGTTCAAGTGCACTACAGAGAACACTACAGTGGATTTTGTGCCATGATGAGGCGACCATTTATTGGGTAACTTTCCGACCAAATTTCTGGACAATAAAATGTTTCACTGGTTTCAACAGCAAACGTTATTGAGGTAATAAGCCTTACACGTAAACCAATCAGCCAGTACATGTATTATTTAAATGAGTGAATTTGAACCTTGTCAACAAAGTGGTTTGGCAATTGCATTCACTAGCGCAGTGCCCGTCTAAAATGTGCATGTTCGGGAAACGCAAATTGCTGTGCCACTGGTATAGGTTGCATACTTGCAGAGTTTTGGAGAACTGCTCTAAAAAACAACGCACGCGATTCAATGGTGTTGTTTTCACAGGTTGAACGCACACTTACGTCAAAGTTTGTGCCAAGTTTGAAGTTCGACCACCTACAATGGTCGCTCAGTCGACTGCAAAAATAATGTGCCCTTGTACATACGAAAACATGGTATGCAGTGCTATTCACCCATACTGGACAATGTATTGCCCTACAATGCACGTGCGCGTGCCCGTCCTTTATGCATTGTTTGCGTCATATTTAGCATGCGCGCTTTAGATTAAACATGACGTAAACAATTGAAAAGAACGGCAGTGCGTGGTGTTATGTTCAAAGCTATACACTACCACGCTAGGCTTCAGAAAATACTGCTTTTTTTGCAGCTTTTTCGAGAACCGCTCATCCAAACCACTTCAAACTTGACACTGCACATTCTGTGGCCCCGAGCAATACACCCGCCGATTTTCAACTCCATACAGTGCCCGGTTTTGGAGATAATCAACGGACAGACAGACAGACAGACAGAGATTCCTGGAATTATAGTAAGGATGAGGAACTCTGAAGTGCACTTTAAAATCATTGGACCAACCAAACTAGTTGGCGACATTCTCAATAAATACCCCTGGAACTATGGGTATTACTTGTAATACCCATAGGTAGGCATATCAACGCAAACATGCTGTATAGTGCACGAATATTATTCAATCAATCTGCCAGAATGAAGTCCTCTGAGTTTTGGAGTGATCGCAGTATATTTGTACCCCAAGACCTATGCCCAGTACTTCTTGACATACTCATGCTCAAAACGCTAAAACTAAAAGGGTTGAAATCGATCCCGATGGTGCAAAAAAATGATGAAAACAGTCTCTGTTCTGTACCGAAGCTACAGCTTGAGTTTTAACGTTCTAACGTGCTCACGAAGCATTGTTGGCGGGACGTCAGAGTCTTTCAGTCTGGGAACCGACCACAGACCCCGAATCGCAAGGCCCAAACAAACCGTGCAGGAAAATCATGATTTCTACCCCAAAAATCTGTCCAAAATTGCAAACCGGGTATTATTAGAATTGAGAAAAGTCTGCTTTTGATTGTATAGAAGTTGATTTTGAGCAATAAAAAAATGTTTCAAAATTTTGAGTCAAAAACATTTTTTTATTGCTCAAAATCAACTTCTATACAATTGTAGTGCTTCACGGTGTATCTACACATGCGTCAGGAGCGTGAACCGAGACGGTGCTTGCCGCGGCCGACTTCACTTCTTACGGGTCCGAATTCCTCGTAAAAAGACAAGCCCGCAGGATTACTGTTAATCCCAGGCTTGAGTCCGATCCGGCAACTTGGGTCTCGAACGCAAAGGAGACGGATTGGTGCAGAAACACGAGAACACTAGAAGTTCTAGAAGAGTTTTGGTAACAACCATGTGACAATGTTTATCATACAACAACGACTGATCTAAGATGGCGGCGCCCACGAAAAACGATAAATTGATCATCGGTCACGTGACCGCATAATTCTGATACATTGATTAGTACGGGTGAAATATCAACTGGCACTACACTCCTCCCACTTTTCTTCTTTGGATGATGGTGTGGGGGGCTCTTAACATAAGTTAGTGAAAACTACAAGTATTACAAATACTAAACATGGAAAAACACTACATAAAAAACCCAACACTAAATAAGTGCCATTCCTCCTAACTGAAGGAAAGCATTGGTAGAGGTTCATATTGCTCCCTATACAGCGGCAAAGGCTGAGAGAGTTCTATGTCCTGTTTCAGTGGAAGAATGCCCTCGCGTTTGTTTCGGTTAGTTCAAGAACTTCTTCCGGTGAGATGTCTCCCAGAATGGTGGCCACCGACTCAGCTGTGTAGTCAAGTAGAGATGGGGCATTCAGTTTCTTGCCAACTGGGGGGCAGTAAGGCGCATCGGTCTCCAGAAGCAGCTTGTTCCTTGGAACTGACTTCAGGGCAGCCCTCTGTCGACTGTTGAAGTTGTTCGCCATGTTACTTATGCTGAAGTGGGTACTGGGGAAGGACTCCAGCCACTGCTGGACTACCTCTGTGGTGCTGGAGAAACAGTGCAGCTGGATCTTCTGACTTCCCTTGATGATTGGTGTTATGACGTCCAGGCATCGCATAGCCCTTGTCTGGCTGTTGGGGAAATGCCTGTTCAATAGCCGCCAGATTAGTCAACGGAATCCTGGAACCTCTGGCCAACAATCTGTCAAGATGGAAGTGGCTATCGAAGCTGCGGATGAGAGTCTTCTCCGCCTTCTTGTATGGGGCACTTCCTGTGGATCCCGAATGCGGGATCTGTTTCTCGTCCTGCTGCAGGACTTCCTGTCTGGGGCTGGGGGGAATTTGCTCCAATGATGCTTGGATGCTAGTGGATGTCTCCGAAGAACAGCGGAGTCCGGTAGATGGATACCGTCGTCTAAGCTCCCCCATCCCTTGAGGCGATATTTCTCCTGCCAATACCAGTAAGCACCTCCAGTGAGACAATGCTGCTACACTGTTGACGGGGTGCAGGGAAAATTCCACCGGCACTGGCCACCCTGCCACTCGGCACATTCCTACCATGGCACTCCTTTGTTCTGGTGTGATGTGCCACCCCGGCTTGATGACATCTCTGTTTCTAGACTATGTTCTAGACTATGGCTATGTTCGACGCATCAGTGTCCAGGATAAATTCATCGTGCGTGTTAGGTAGAGCAAGGACAGGCGGTTGCATCATCTTGTCTCTTAGGGCATTGAAGGCTGTCTCCTGCTCCTCCTCCCAACGGAATTCTTTGCGTCCTGTGATGGCATACAATGGAACCGCAAGTTCCGCAAAGTCGGGGATGAAGGCTCTGTGGTAATTCACAAAGCCTAGGAATCGCTCGACATCCTTGGTGTTTTGAGGTGTTGACCAGGACTTCACTGCACTTATATCTGCGTCTGAGATTGCAATGGAGTTTTCGTTGACAATTCTACCCAAGAATTCCACCTTTTTTGAACAGAAGGCACACTTTTTGGGTTTGAGTTTAAGTCCGTGCTGTCTGAAGCGCTCTAGTGCCTCAGCTAGATTGTGGAGATGTTCCTGGAAGTTACTTCCTAGGGTGACAATATCATCTAGGAATGCCAAGGCAGTTTTCCAATTCAAGCCTCTGAGGATTAGGTTGATTACTCTGGAAAACGTGGAAGGACTATTGCAGAGGCCAAATGGCATTTTGGTGAACTCAAATAAGCCATATTTGGTGATGAATGCCGTCTTTTTGCGATCCTCTTTACGCAAGTTGACCTGCCAGTATCCCCAGATAGCATCAAGTTTCGAGAACCAACGGTTTCCCGATAATGTGTCAACACAGTCCTCGACCAGTGGGAGAGGGTAAACGTCCTTAACAGTTATGTTATTGAGGGCCCTATAGTCAACGCAAAAGCGGACTGTACCGTCCCTCTTTCTAACTAGAACCGGCGGAGATGCCCATTCAGAGACCGAAGGTTGGATGACTCCAGCCTCTAGCATTTTGTCCAGCTCTTTCTCCTCCTCTCCAGCAAACTGAACTGGCGTTCTTCTCATTCGTTGCTTGATTGGTGGTGCATCTCTAGTGTCAACGCCATGTTCAATCTCTTTGACTGTCCCGATGTCATAGATATGAGATGCAAATCATCAGAAAAGTTACAGATGACATCTCTCAGCTGACTGAACTGTTCTTCTGTAAGTTCTCCCTTGGACCTTTTCAGCATGTCTCTCAGGTGTGCAGGTACATTCGCACATGGGTCATCAGCTAGCCCGAATGCGGAGCTAGTATTTCGAATGTGTTGATCACCTACCGGTGCATGTGCGGCACTGGTTCCTTGTGAGTCTGTTTCTGACCCAGAAGCGGTGTCATGAATTTCGGGAAGTACATCAGCTTCCACAGCTTCTCCTACAGCCTGCCCAGGCTTCAACACCACAAAGCTGTTTGTGACGTTGGCAACATATAATGTCGGCCTGGCTTTGCTGCGGTGTGCAGATCTTGGAATTACAAGATGCGTGTTTGGGAGTGGTTCTAGGACATAGTCCGGCATTGTCCCTTCTAGCTTACCAACAACCACAGTGACAGAGTTTGGAGGGATAACTCTCCTCTTTCCTACCATCACTCGGGAAACCCTAGTTTCCCTGGGTTTGTTCCCAAACTGAATAGACACTGTGTCCTCTCCCAGCATCATGAGATTTGTCCCCATATCCATTTTCATAGTTCGGCTCCTGAAGAAATCAACCCCTAGCAACATATCATCCTCAATTGGGGCGACATGTATTATTTCATGATGTACCGTGGAGCCAATCCTGAAAGACACTGGGCCTATTTTGTACCCATTCATTGTTAAGTCTCTCCCAGCCATGTGAAATTTCATGTTAGAGAGTACCTCTGGTTTAGGATGTAATTTATTGAAAATACGATCCGACAGTATGGTAGATTCCGCCGCGGTGTCTATTACTGCCTCGATATGCTGGTCCTCTATTTGTACTGGTACATGGTAAACTGCACTTGACTGGATTTGGTTGACAGTGACGATGTCTTCTATTGTCTCTGTAGGTGTCTTTGCAAATCCCGTATTGGCAGGGCATTCATCCTCTGCCATCTCGAAAATCGCATTTTCCCTTTCTTCTCTGATAATATCCCGATGCGGATATTCTACCTCTGTTGTGTCCCGATGTGGTTTTTCTGTACTTTGATGTGCATGGCTAACAACCTGGTGCGGTTGGTTATTTACTGTGGCAATAAGCGTGTAGCATAGTGGGGGGCTCAACAGATGCGGTGAGTCCTCCTGGCCGTAATCTACTGGGGCGAAAACCCGGCCTCCGTCTTCGTCCCTTGAGATTTTGGCTGCTCATCTTCGAAACGAAGAACCTTGGTTTCTTTTCCCTTCAGGTCCTTTGTTGGGCACTCTCTTGCAAAATGCTTCTCGTCGCCACACAAATAGCAGGCTCGCCGACTCGGAGATGTGCTCCTCTGTCGTCCCAGCTCCCGGAACATTCCCTTGATCTCTGTAGTAAGATCAGAGATAGAAGCAGCTACCTGCTTGGTCAAAGCTGATGTAGCCACTGTCATCTGTGACATCTGCTTAGCCAACCCTGCTATCCCTACATCCTGTGTAGGCTCTGGTGTTTTGTTGCCACTTTCTCTTTTAAGGATAGGCTGGGGAGTCGACTGCTTCCTTCTCACTTCCATTTTCCTTATCCTTAGATCTTCTTCTTCCTCTTCCTCGGAACCAGGGTCGTTTTCGCCGAACTCATACGATGCGCATTTATATGCCCTAACTGGGGGTGCTGACTTGGTTGGCTTTTGTGGAGCATGTCTGGCACCTGCTGATTTGCTGATGCAGCGGAACCACTCCATCTTGTCCATTGCCTCGTCAAATGTTTTAGGTTGCTGTATGCAGGCATGCTGACCAGCTTCCTTGTCCAGGCTTCCCATGCAAAACCTGATGATCGCATTCTTCCTGATCCACGCCTCGGGCAAATCCTTGTAGGCCTTGGCTGCCAAGGAGAGGATTTTATCGGCCCAGTCTCTTAGGGTCTCGCCTTCTTCTTGGCATTCCAATTGGAAACGGGCCTGTAGGGTCTCGGGAAGTTCTTCCCTCTTAAACCTCTTGTTAAATTCTGAGATGAGGTGGCTGTAGGACAAGTCTTCGTTCATCTTACTTAGAAGGACGTAGAAGTCTGCAGCTTTCCCTGTCAATCCCCAAATCAACATATCTTTTTTCTGACTTTCTGTCCAACCAACAGACATTGCGTAGGTCTCAAACATCCGTTTGTAAAGAGACCAATCGAGTTTGCCATCAAACTCCAGCGTCTTGGGGAGCACTCGTGGTTTCCGGTCCTCTGGCGTCACACCTCGAGCCTGGGGTGCGCGAGCAGCCGACTGCGGGATTGCCACTGGACGGTGCCTATACGGAAGTGGTGGTACCATATCTGGTGACGGATATGGAGGTTGACCATACCATTGCTGTGGTGGGTCAGGGCGGTATGCCACCGACTGCGGTGGTAGGTACGGGTAAGCACCTACATCTGGGTTTTGGGGTGGAATTGGTGGGTATGCATACATGTACGTGGACGGTGGTGCGTATCTGTCCGAGTAAAAAGACCATGGGGGCATGTCTTGCGACACCGGCCTACCAGGTTTGTGTGATACATAACCCTGAGGTCTGCATCGTGCTTGAGCAGTGTCAATGTGGTGCGACATGTTCTGCACGAAGGCCTCTGTGGAATGTGGAGGGGGTTCTGATGGCTTTGGTTGACTGGACGACCTGTTGCGGTTGTCCTGTTGCGCGGGTGCCACCGGCTCCCTAGTCGGACTTTGATCTGACTGCATGGTTGCCTGCTGACAGGTGGGGTCTGTGGTGAAGTCGATTGACCTATACAACCTCTCCGAGGGTTTTAACCTGGGTATGTGTTCAATGTTATCGGGAGTTATTGGAAAATTCTCCTCCCTGTATTGGACGATATTTCTAGCAATCCTAGACCCTATCCCGTGAAGTTGTTGCAACTCAACCTCCCCTGCAAAATTTATCGGAACTAATCTGGACATGAGGAACAAAGAAATCTTCCCTCAAAAGATTTACGGCGTACAAAGTTGCTCTCGGTAGCACGACAAATTACATGTACACAGCTCCAGAATGCTCCAGTCATGAACAAAAAATTATCCCAAACAAAAATACAACAGATGCGTTGTTTTCACCAAGAAATAAATTGGAAAAAATTAACGCAAAACAAAATTACAATGGCTGCCTAGCTTAAATACCACAGAAATACAACGGATGCGTTGTCTTCACCAACAAAAAAACAGGCTGAATGCGTTCTAGGCATAAACGCTTTCTTGTTGTTGCTTTTTATTTTGTTGTGTTTAAATTATTTATTAACACAAGCAACATGCATTGACTAAAACAGGAATCACAAAAAAAAAGGAAAGTAATTGAGGAATATTACTTATATAATACCTGTTACGGTATTAAGTTACCCAAGATACCACAGACGTGCTTTATTTGTTTAGTGCAATAGACTGCAGAGAACACACACATGTATCTCTAACCACAGTCCAACAGTATATAGTCCCCAAAATCAGCCCCGTCTATTTCTATATTCAGATGCGAAATAAAAATAGACAGTAGTAAACATGGTAATTTATGTTGAAAACTGTAAAGAGGGGCGTCCCACTAGCTGACTGTATGCTAAAGTGACCCAAGGTCTCAAAATTGTAAACGGCCAAAGTACCCAAAGTGAGGGGCTAACCAGTTGTTAATTTGTTTTGTGGACGGTCATGACACTGACCATGCTGACAGTACTATTATCTTTAACCACTTTCCCTTCCGCTTATTTTTCCCCCTTTTATTTTTTTTTTATGTTGTATTTTTCTCTTTGTATTGGTTTAATTCCTTATCAAACCCAATACTGAGGTCAAGAGATGGCCCAACAATAAGCTCTAAATGTACTGAAGGCTACTTGCTGTGCCGCTCCGAACTATCCTCGTCGCCAATGTAGTGCTTCATGGTGTATCTGCACGTGCGTCAGGAGCGTGAACCGAGACGGTGCTTGCCGCGGCCGACTTCACTTCTTACGGGTCCGAATTCCTCGTAAAAAGACAAGCCCGCAGGATTACTGTTAATCCCAGGCTTGAGTCCGATCCGGCAACTTGGGTCTCGAACGCAAAGGAGACGGATTGGTGCAGAAACACGAGAACACTAGAAGTTCTAGAAGAGTTTTGGTAACAACCATGTGACAATGTTTATCATACAACAACGACTGATCTAAGATGGCGGCGCCCACGAAAAACGATAAATTGATCATCGGTCACGTGACCGCATAATTCTGATACATTGATTAGTACGGGTGAAATATCAACTGGCACTACACAATCAAAACCAGACTTTTCTCAATTCTAATAATACCCGGTTTGCAATTTTGGACAGATTTTTGGGGTAGAAATCATGATTTTAGACTTTAGTCTAAATAATTTAAACAAAACAGGGGCCCTTCACTTTCATGACTTCACGATCGCCGTGGCCTCGGTATTGCTGCACTGTACGTTAGGCCAATGAACGTACAGCGCAGCAAATACCGAGGCCACACAAGTGAGGCTAGCCTAAAAAAAAATCATGAATTCAGTGTTTAGAAATAGAAAAGTGCGTCCCAAAACTGGGCACACAAATTTCGGCCGAATTTGTCATGTCCAAAAAAATTCTGCAACCACTTACCGAAATGAGTTGAAAATGAAGCGAGTCTGAAGTTTCGGCTTAGGCCCCTACTGTGCAAAGGCACTGTGAACTGATTGCCTCAGAAATATGACGAAAAATCATCTCAACATCCCCAAAAGCATGAAAAGTCATGAAACAGAAAGTTAACTCCTCCGACATGTCCGATGTTCTTGCACGCAAAATGGCGAATCTCCCACAATCCACTTCACTGTTTACATCATTTGCATTTCGTCACCGTAGATATATGAATAAAGAATAGCAAATTATGAATATTTATCTTGACCTTTGAGACTGAGGCACGGGTCATCAACACTTGAGGGCGCACTATTCTCCCATCGGTGATCGGACGTGGTTGCGAATGCGATTTTAACTCGAAATTCTAGCTTTATTTGTCGTCTAATTAAAAGTCAGCATGCCAGTCATGAAAGATCTGATCAGAGGTCTGTATCGAGGAGCAAACAGACACAAAGAGATGACCAGCAAACGGGCTAATAAACACTTTCACCCGAGTAAGTGAAGCAGAAATTTGAGAAACTATGGGGCGGCCGGGGGGGGGGGGGGGGCGGAGCCCAGCGGCGGCGGGGGGGGGGGGGGGGTGTCACTAGTTAAGATAGACCTGACATAATTAAGGCACCCCGTGTGCCTTCTAGCACAATATTACTCATTATCAGTATCAATTTTAGTCCGAGTAACTTGGACCCAACTTATCGCCTTTTTAAAAATTTGGACATGGTCTGGCGATAGTAGGGTCCAAGCCCATTCCTCGACCTAGACAACACAGTCACTGACAGTCCCAAAAACCAACATTTTCCAACAAAAAACATCAGATTTCACCTTCAAAACGGCCTCCAAATTACTATATATGCCACCTGAGGTACAAGTAGACATCGATAATTAAGATAGTTGTACTGAAGTTTACTTACGATCCGGAAAAAAAGTGAAATTTTCCGTTCATTTCGGAGAGCTCCCCTCGCGATCTTGAACACGTTAAATTTGCGATCGTGTTTAAAGTTTGAACGACGCGATTTCTTCTACATGCCCAGCGTACATTCGATGGTCCCCGTATCCCGAGTGCGATTCCGTTACCGAGCGCGCGCGATGCATCGATTATGATAATGAGTAGACTGGATCACGTTTGTAAACACATGTGCATTTCAAACGATAATAGGGAGTCGGGAACTAGCGCAGCTTTTATAGCGGGTACCAGTTCAAGCTGGTTCCCGATTCCCTTTTACAGTTCGAAATGCACATGTATGTGTTTACAAACGTGATCATTATCATAATCGATGCATCGCGCGCGCTCGGTAACGGAATCGCATACGGGATACGGGGACCATCGAATGTACGCTGGGCATGTAGAAGAAATCGCGTCGTTCAAACTTTAAACACGATCGCAAATTTAACGTGTTCAAGATCGCGAGGGGAGCTCTCCGAAATGAACGGAAAATTTCACTTTTTTCCGGATCGTAAGTAAACTTCAGTACAACTATCTTAATTATCGATGTCTACTTGTACCTCAGGTGGCATATCTAGTAATTTGGAGGCCGTTTTGAAGGTGAAATCTGATGTTTTTTGTTGGAAAATGTTGGTTTTTGGGACTGTCAGTGACTGTGTTGTCTAGGTCGAGGAATGGGCTTGGACCCTACTATCGCCAGACCATGTCCAAATTTTTAAAAAGGCGATAAGTTGGGTCCAAGTTACTCGGACTATATCAATTTACCATCTTTGGGGTCTTCGTAAATGGATGGGATTTGGTTGGGCGCGCTGTGACTGATTTTTTTGATAGACAAATTTCCAGGCCTAGGGCTAGGCCTAGGCCTAGCCCCCCTACATAAATATCAAGTGTATTCTTACTTCAAGAATTCCACTTTCTCAAACAAAAATCCCCCCCCCCTTCCCCCAAAAAAGAAGCTTCCTTTATAAGTTCACTTGGTTTAGGCCTAGTTAGGCATTAAAAAAGTGGTGTGGCGATGCAGGGTTTTTGTTCCATAAGATTTCGGCTGATGTTTCAGGTAACTGATTGTAACTCTTTGATCCCCCTAAACAGCTTAAACTCTATAAAAAAATATCCTTCAGGTGACCTCAGTAAGGCATAAGGTTTGAGAATTCTGCACCCAATTACAAATTGAAAAATGCTGTACAAATGGTGTTACCCGCAAACTTTTATAATTGATCAATATCGGCCATGCAAAGCATCAAGTCAAAGATACTTTTCAAAGTCTTGTGTGGTTTGGAATTTCCTTGTTGTTTTTCTCCAAAATTCCAGTCGGATGCTTGTGTTCTGTTTCTGATACCTTATGCTGAAACTTGCACCCTACATGTAGTTAAACACATTGGCAGATCAAGGGGGGTGCTACGGGGGTGTGCGCCCCCCTCCCCCCTCCCCCCTCCCCCTCCCCCCTCCCCCTCCCCCCTCCCCCCCCCCCCCCCCCCAGTGTCCACAATTTGGTAAAGAAAGACCATTTTTCACTCGAATGAGCTGTTGGCCCCCCCCCCCCCCCCCCCCCCCCCCCCCCCCCCCCCGGCACAAACCTCTCTGGATCCGCCACTGAAACATACATTATGTAAATGCCTATATTTTGGCCCTTGGAAACCTTTTAAATTAAACCTACATGTACATGTATGTCATGATTTTTGAATTTGCATGTACACTTATTACTATCAAAACCTATAAGAGGGGCACTGTCGGGCCTGAAAGTATCTCCATCCAAATATTTTACTTATATGAAACCCAACTTTTTGTGTTGTTACAGGTCGGGGAATACAACCTACAGGAATAAAGGTCGGCTGTAAGTATTAAACCAGGTCATTACAATACATCTCATGCATATTCATGAGCCAAAAGCCAGTCAGTGACAAACGAGGTCGCTATCAACAAGATGAGTCAAATCAGTCTTGGCAATATTGGCAGCTCTACCCAGGAAATTCCTAGCATACATCACATGCTGTATTTAACTAATACGTGGGATTTGATGTCATATCTGAAGATGTCAAAATTGTCCCATTTTTTCACCTGCGTTTACTTTCCAGTTGTAGAAAACATTTATATTCACAAAGAAGTTACAATTACATGTACATATTAACAGAAATCAGACCTAAGAGTCTAAGGCAACAAGATTCTTCAAAGTCAAAGGTGTTTTTTTTTCCTTGATCACTTTGCAGTAAGATTCAAGAACGTGAAGGAGATGATTCCTGAGATTGTCGTTCCAAATCTGGACGGATTCACGGTAAGTGGGGATGTTTTGGTCAATTGTTTCCTTGGCATGCATATGCCAAACATACCATCACCCCAAACAGACAACATTTTATTCAAGTGATTCCAAATGGTTATTCACTGATAACTTTCATTCATGTGGCCTACATGATGGGCTGTGGTCCAATGGTTACGGGGTTGGACTTGTGTGCCGTGGTACACGGGTTCGAATCCTGACGGGGGACAAGGTGCTTGTGCGCTTGGGCAAGGCACTTTACTACGATTGCCTCTCTCCACCCAGGTGTAGTAAATGGGTATCTGGTAGGAAGAAGTTCCTTTAGCCCTTACCCCACCTTAAGCTCCAAAATACTACTGAGTAGTAACCTGTAGTATGCATATTTTTTTCCATACAAGTGTGCACAACACATGTAGCATTCTGTAGTATTTGGTCCTTGACCCCCAAAGAGCCCTTAGGACGTTAGGTAATGGCAGCCGTGCTAAAGTCGGGTAATATTGGAGCGCCAGGAGTGTTGATCAATTTCAATTCCCCCTCCCCCCTCCCCCTCCTGGATGGGATGCCAGTCCATAGCATTTTTTCACCAGCCTATACATGTACAAGTACACATTTAACTTCTGGCGAGAGAGAGCAAATACTGGTTAAGTAGGTTGCCCAAGGACACATCATATGGCCAGTTGCAGGATTTAAACACCCTTTGTTCATGAGTCATAACCTAAATCACTAGTCAGGTTAAAACCGAGTACTCGTGCACTGAATTGGGATAAATGCAAATGATCCTCCTTTGAACTGATGCAGGTAACATCCCCATTGGGGGGAGTTGGGGCCGGGGGAGGGGGGGGGGGTGGGTTACCCACCCAACCCCCATGGGGATGTAACTTGCATCAGTTTAAAGGCTTTTGTAGGATCATTTGCAGTTATCCCAAAAGTATTTACCAAATTATTATCAAGAGGCTTGCTTGGATTAAACACTTCGTGAAATTCTTTTGTCTGGCTTGCTGTCATTCACTAAAACTTCAGAAGAAATCGAGACGTGTAGGTGATTTCCAATGATCAGTCAATTGACTGATTTTTGGAAATACCGAGTGCTATGAAATTTTTTTGCTGACGAAGGTCACACATACTTTTCACCGTTTTCTCGAAAAGTGTTAAATCCACTGAGCTGAAACCTAGGTATTGAACATTCTTCTTTAAATTTTGAGTGGTATTATTATTGGAAACGAACAAAATGCATGAAAAGCAAATGATACTATATACCTTTTTTTTTTGTTAAATCCCTATTTTAACAATTTTTGCTTGACAGTTGAAGCCGTACGTATCCCACAAATGCCCAGACACCGAGCAGCCTGCTATCACTGCGAGGGAGCTCTTTGATGCCTGTATCGCACCGCAGGTCAGGGCCGACTTCAAAGCCGGAAAGTACTCCGACGCCAGCACAGAGACCGACAACAGTCAGGACACAAAGAGCTGATGACTTTAGTATACATATTTTGTGTTTGTAAATTATGCAATGGAGCCAGACGTCTATTTCACGAAACTTTACTGCTATGGTGTAATTCCACCTAAGCCACAGGCACATTTTGTTGTCTCAAATTTGCTTGCAATTTCCTCCTTTACAATGATCAATGGGTGCGTTCGATTAGCTTAGCCGGATCGATTCGGGCTAGCCCCGTGCCGTTCAATTAGCTCTAACGTCATTCTTGGGGCTCACCGGGGTCAGCCACCACAGACCCTACTCGTGGAGCAGAGTCAGTGGTGGAAATCCGTCACACGCATGCGTTGTTCATTCCAAGAAACGGACAAATATGGCGGCCGGACAGCGGCAATCTCAAGTGGACCCAAAAATCAACTTTATTTGAAGTCTAAAGGTAATTATTTATTGAGTTCATTGCAACTTTTGAGGCTGTAATTCCAGCCCAACTTTTTTGAGTTTTGCAATTGACTGAAAAGTAGTTCATCTCAAATTAAGACCCAATTCGAAACGGGCGTTTTGTCAGTGGCTACGGCCGCAGCTAGGGGCGTCACGTGGGGATCGTAATGGCCCACGGTTGAACGTTCGATTAGCCCGGCTGTCGTGGCTAACCCGCCTGCCTTTACCCGAGTCGATCCGGGTGAGCTACTCGAATGCACCCTTTACAAATAAAATATTACACCCACCAAGTTTGATGTCAATATGCTTTGAACCCATTAGCACCTGTACTACATTGTATTACATTGTGTTTATTCACTAATGAATCCATAAAACCACAGAGTGCTTTGGTACTTTCAGGGACTGCATGGAGTAACAAGCAGGGTGGTTTGGGGCGTTATACTGACTTATATGGGTTAAACACCACTTTTGATGCTACTGTATCCCACAAGGTGCACATGTTCAGGATGTGATTGCGAATTCGGGATAAGCTGGGATGTTTCTTCTTGATTTTTCTTTCCGAAGAGGGTACTCTTTCCGTTACGGTAATTGTGTTGCACACTGTGCAATGGACAACCATTACTCAATACATGTGTATAAAGTTGAATTAAACTGTTTGAAGGAGGAATTGAACCTAGGACCTCTGAGTTACTGTACCGGTGCTCTGCCAACTTAGACCCGTTCTACAAATGTAGATGCCGAGCTTCTTCCATGCCGAACTCAATTAATTTGACTTTTTTAATTCGGCACGGCGATGGCACAGCTATAGCACTGCATTTAGAACCATTTGGCTCGGCGAATTGAGTTCGGCATGGCACCATCCTTCAAGGCAACAGGGCTGCTGCCCTATCGCCATTCCGAATGTTAGCGGCACGGCACCTTTCAAAACGCTGCGCCATTGCCGTGCCAAAGTCAATTCAGTTCGAAGTTGGAGCAAACATTTTAGGAATGTGCATGCTCACAATACCCTCTCTCGCGTCTGCAAAACGGGGAGTGAAATTGGCGCGAATAGTTTGATCGTGCTGAACTTTGGACTGCTTTGAATAACCTGGCCCATTACTTCAGATACGTTAAAGTTTTACTATTACATTCGGCGTTTAGAGTACTGCAGTGCTGTAGACAAGCTATTGCTGCACTCATTTCAACATTAAGTTCAGGGCAGAAGTAGCAAGGCATCTAGAACGGGCCCGAGCTATCCAGCCCTATGTAGGTGGTCTCCGAGTTTGTCAGGATTTTGTGTTCAAGGGGTGCTAGTCAGAAGACATAAACTGAAGTGCCATGTAGCCAGGGATAAAGCCCAACATCATGATGTAGGCAATGCTGCAAACCTGAAAATGGTACTCGGGATCATCTGCGTCAACCCTATGTCGGGACTCTTTTTTGGTCTTAAATAATGCAATCAAAGTGTAGCTAAACCTCTGGTACAGTGGAACGCCGCAATAACGAACATCGAGGGATCCACAGAAAGTCTTCTTAATAACGATCGTTCGGTATAGCGATTTTGAACCGCCGGTACCCTCTCTTTTGACCAACAGTGAAGTCACTGAACTGGCATTTCTCACATCCCGCCGCCGCACGAGGAGTTGTCACAAAACATAAGCAACGGGTGGTTTTCCCTTTTATTCCTTGGGAAAATAATAGCCATCTATCGCTCTTCAACATTCAAACACGATGTAACTATGGGTAGTTGGATGTTCGGGAATTAAAAGTGGCCCCAAAAGTGTTTAATACATATACATGTACAACCGGTATGTTTTTTGTTAATCTGCGGACTATTGTCAACAACAACGTTCGGTACGTTTTGTACATTAAAACCGTCCGGGAGCCAAGGATGATGTTCGGTATAGCCGAATGTTTGGTGTAGCGGTGTTCGGTATAGCGGCGTTACACTGTATATCTGCCTTTTTACCATTACTATAAAACTGTGCGTGCTTATTGCAATATGCACGCACCAATATATCTATATGCACGTACCAATATATTGGTACGTAAGGAGTTGCAACATGTAATTACATTGTGGTAATAAAGTCACAACTTTTAAACTGAACTGTTGAATCTTGTTTTAGGTTTTTGCTTGCTGTTTATTCAGACTTGAGATTTGAAGTATAGAAGACATGCAAAACAAAGGCAGGCCAACTGGACTACCCCGGCAGACTTCAATATTCTCCAGTGTCACTAGAAAGTGAAGTCGGATGATTAAAAATATGAAGAATAAGACCAAACATTTATGAAAGAGGGACCATGATAATGTAGTCTGGTGGCATGATTGTGGAAACAATGTATAGGAAATAAGGATTGGGTACCAGATTATGTGCAGTACTGCAGAAGTGTTGAACATTTAATTATTTCATTGAGCTAGTCGATTTTCTTGATTTGGCATATTTTCAAAATAGTTTTGGCACTCAATTTTCAGTTATCTTAGCAAATTGAGTTTCCTCCTGAAGAACTTTTTATTCCGAATGAGTTGAAGAATTACTTTGCAAATTTTGAATTATTTGCGGCCCGACAAAAATTAAGTACTCTTCGAGTAGACTGGTTCCTATCCCCAAAATCCACAAAGAAGTGACCAGGATCATTAAAGAAAAACTCTTTAAAGTCAAAAATCCTTAATTTGGCTAGACATCATCATGGGAAAACATGAGTCGCACAAAAATCAACCACGCCCAGAAAAACAAGTTTTCACGAACATCAAATGGCAGTTGGAACAACTTCTCTTTAATTTAAGTACCATGTACAAACTTTTTACATCTCTAAAACATTAAACAGGACCCCTGTGTACAATGGAATTGCCCATTACAATTAACATATTAGTCTGCTCCCTTTTGCCAGCAATGGTAGACAGAGGCAGGAATAAGACCCAAACTCAAATTTTTGGATCGCTCCATTGTCATGACAGGTATAGGGCTAGTAATCATCAGCAATATTTGCGAGTACTTCATACTGTTTAGAAAATAGCTTTCAAAACTCCATTAGAAATAACTCCTGTATATGGAAGATTCCAGCTTTATATATATTGGCTTGACATCTTGTGCATAATATAATATGCATTATTGTATGCCTCCATAATACATTATACACAATGTACATGTATACATTACTTCAGAAAATTATGTTCATAATGCGTTATGCAGTGAAACACAGCACTATCGAAAAGTAGGAGCTGAATTACTCCATATTTAGGCAACAAATTGAACAATTTCCAAATATCTGTCAACTGAGAATAAACACCATTTTTCTTCAGTCAGTTATTATTTAAAACTTTACATGTGTTATACTTTAAAGTGTACGTATGTAAAACACACTCTTATTTTCTTTCTTCGAATAATATTAACACAAATTTTGGTATTATTTATATTGAATTTGAGTTGCATTTAAATCTCTCCCACTACAATTTTTAACCAGAGTCTCATCCACATCTTGAATTCAAGAATTTCACGTCGCCGTGGCAACCAAGTCAGATTGACACAAATTGGTCATTATCTCACATTTTTTTCTCCTGATTCCCTGAACAGCTGCTGTACACGTACGTCCCTACTTCACCCTTAATATTCATCTTGACACATCAGGTATGTCGCCGTGGCAACGAATGACATCAATGGGTGGCCATATTTTTTTTGCATGTGGTTGCTAAGCAACGCCCACTCTAGGAATGTGGGTGCTTTACTGGGAAGTAATTTTCAGATGGATCTGAATGTCGAATGAGTGAACACTGACTGGTACTCGGACTCCACATCATATAGTGCCAATAAGACCAGTATTCGGACACCAGAGCAGTCAGAGAATATATATATTCTCACCAACATTTTGAGTTAAAAGAAAAGCAAAAAGGGCAGCTCATTAAGAGAGAATTAATTATTGCACAGTAAAGGCCAGAGATGAATGTTGATGGGGAATGAAAGTTTACGCAGTGAAAGGTTTACAGAAAACAATAATAAGAAAACATATATCTAACAAAGATTTTGAAACAGTGGTGAATACATGCGTAATCGAAATTTTTAAAGAGTTTTTCTGTAAGTAATTTATCGAGACTTGACCAACAATCTGTTCATGTGCTTTCCTTACTCCATGTGTATGCTTCAGTTGGCTATGAAATACGGTTAAAAAATTCTTCTGAGGCAAATTAAAAAAAACATCAAATTTGCTCATGTCTTTCCCCTGCAAAAAAAAATTGTTTTGTATTATAAACGACTATCTAATGGGTAGATTTGACTCAATATTTCTTGTCATCATGTGAAACAGTGCAATTGTAAATAATTTTATTTTTCAGGCCACGTGGTTTAATTTGTTTCCCACCTTGTGATTACGTGTTTGATCCATACATTATAAGTAACATTCTTTAATTTCCAGTTATTTCAATACAGGTTCACTAATTATCAATACTGGACCATTTCTTGGTTTTTCCCTTTTTTTTTTAGTAAAGCTATAGAGAGCACAGTGATCAAAGATCTATATTTAACCCTCCTATGCAGTATACATTCTGTACCAAGTAGCCCTTTCAGTCAAAATTAATCAAGTGACTGTTTTCAACAATTAAGAGCTCCCAGCCTACACAAAGTGGGATTGACTGGCTGTGACTGTTTATGCAACTTGATACAGCTGTGTTTTGACTGTATGTGATTGATACAACAGCTGTGTGCCCACAACTTTCCTGCTTTTGTCTGTTGACTGATTTTAACTAGTAAGAGTGCTTGCTTAAAATATATTCCATCAAGTTTAGGGCTGTCCCGATTTTACCGAATGTTTGAATATTCGACCAACAGAATAATCGAATAGCTTTTTGCCAGTTCAAATATTCGAGGAGAAAAAATAATATGCACGTGTAGACACACGCCCGTGATGTTATTTTAATTGCAAAGTTGAGGCGCTTTATTAGCAGAT